CATCCATACCATGTTTTGTATGAAATATAATAATGAACATCATGTAAAACCAACATCAAAATTAATTGTTAAATAATTAATAATTATTATTATTGTAAAAATAACTTTTAAAGCTGTTAAAACAGGCAAAATTTAAACAAACGGAGGATTGTAGGATGCAGAAAAAAATTTATTTTAAAATAAAGATGATATTACATTTTTAGAGTAAAAACTCAATCTTATCAGGCCCGATTTAGCTTCATTTTTGTTCCTTTATCTTAGATCTCGTCTCGAGATAATTTTTTGTTTCCCCTCTTACCGGGCGAAATTTTCTTATAAAAGAGGCACTCACATTTTCATATGAATTACATATTAAGTCTATAACTTCACATCTTTAAGAAAATTAAATGTATGATCATTTTCAACGAGATGTGCTTAACAAAATTGTATACGTCACACGTTCTCAACAGACCATTACGGTTAAATTGGCACAAGTCCTAAACATCTCTGGACTGCTGAGTCTTAACAAATATTATTACACTGATGTTTTAGGTTTAAGCAAACCAAACAGGAAATCAATGTCAAATAAAAATTTATTAGAAAAACCAAATCAATCACTTACCACCCTCGTCTGTCATTACCAACACGGTGGTGTTTGGTCCTAGTCCTTCAGGGTTAAACACTTGCAATGATACCAAGTACTGAGTGTACGTCTCTAAGTTTTGAATCGTGTGGCTCTGAAACAAAAAAAACGAATATTAGAATTTTGCAAAAATGACGGCGCTTTTATATCGGATTAAAACTGTTGTTAGTTCATTTTTGAGGGATAAATTTCGATTTACACAGAAAAATTTACTATATTTTTTATAGATGCCGCTCTATACAAATATTTAATTTAAATCATTTTTAGATAATATTGTAACGAGTACCGCTCTGGATCTCAATCGAGAGTGGTGTGGAGCTCGCTGGAGCAGTTAGTCAAGCTTTGGTACTCGCGACGAAATAAATAAATATACGTGCAAATAAATAGACTGTAGTACAGTAGTAATATATGAATAATAAGTAGTTAAGTGTTTAGTTAGTTTTATAGTTTCTTAGTGTTTTAAGTGTAATTTAGTTATAAAATATATAGTTTAGTTCGTTAATAAACCAGTGCATGTTATTATTCACACTACGAACAGTAAAAACGTTACAATATTAACTATTTATCGTATATAAACTTTTCTAGACACTTATTTAATTAAACATTTGCTCGCAAGCTCGATAAATTATATAATATGACATTTCGAAAAGTAAATATAATTTTAATATAATATCTACAACATTAATTTTCCTTATTGATTTTATAGTAAATTTTATCATCAAATTATAAAATTCTCGGTACTTTTTTAAATTAAATTGACATAGGACTTATTTCACTAAAAGCTTGCATTTAAAATAAATTTATTCCTATTTTCATTTTGATTTACTGTAAAATAAATTTTATTAAACACAGTCTGCAGTAATTGTATAATAATGTATTTTTTAAAATAAAACTTTGAATTTTTATAACTTAGTTAATGATTGATGAAAAAATTTAAAATCTGGCACAAATATAGCTATTTATAGTATATAGTATAGTATAGTATATAGTATATAGCAAAAAATTTAAATATTTTTTTATAATAACATATGTAATTATAAAAAAAATATTTAAATTTTCTGCTATTTATCCTAGGTAGGTTTTACTTCTTCGTCATGTCTCAAAAGTCTTGGGACTTGCTTTGGCAAAAACGTACCGGCGTTGCCAAATATTAATAAAAAAGCGCTTTTAATTTAAATAAATCCACTTCACTTTGATCAACTTTTTTGTAATTAAACAATTAGTAATTTAATTTAATTACAATCTACGATTCGTTTGAATGATCCTTACAGGCCAATCCAGGCCTTTGATCGTTCAATTGTTGAAAAATTTAAAAGTTAATTTCGTCATTGTGATTTTTTTGTGCAAACGCGCAAAAATTCCGTTAGCGCGAAAGAGGAAATAAACATGTCAGGTGTGCTAGACGAAAAATCTGCATTAATGGGATAAAATGATTAAAAGTCCCTTTTATTTTGTTGTCGAGTGTCAGAAACCGGAAGCTTACATTTTAAACGATAGTGCTTCCAGATTTCAAACTGAATTAAAATTATTTTTTCTACTCCCACCTTTAACACGCCCATTATCGTACATGTTTCATGACGGTAAGTGCGGTTCTTAAATCTGCGATTCTAAAATAATAATAAGTGTTACTTATTATACAGGGTGTATCACGGTCGATGGTAGGTTAGACGTTTATGGAGAACGGCAAAAGATTTCGAATTGAAATTTTTATAGCAATTATAATATCATTTAAACTATTTTTCTAAATTATTTTGAACAAAATTCCTCTTCCGGTTTTAACGGAAGTGAAATCAACTTTATTATTTTAAATGAATCATCAAAATTTTTTTTACATTTTTAAATTCCTACTATCATTCCTTATAAAATGGCTATACCTAAACTTAATAGTTTTTGAGTTATTAATTTTTTTGTAAAATTCGGTCAGTTTCACCCTCAACAAAAAAAGCTTATAACTTTTTTATTATTAGGTTTGCTGATATCCGGTTGGATTTATTGGAATCCTAAAGCATTCTTTTAAAGATTCCATGTAATTTATTTTAATATTTCTAAAAAGATACTTGATAAAAAACAATGTGAATGTAGCTAACTTAAAACAGCAATAACTTTTTTATTTTCAATGGAACGCCCTGTATATTTTTACATAATTAAATATGAAATTATAATACCTTTTCATTGATATAACTATTCCCTATACCTAAAGTTAATATTAAGAAAGATATTTTACAATTAACCTAATATGAAGAAAAACTGATAAAATGTTGCGTATGTGTATTAATTTCGTATGAATAAAAAAAACTTTCCCGATATTTATTATTATTAAAATAAAGGAAAATAACTACTCAAAAGAAGTTGAAAATATTTATGCTTAATGGATAGGTAACCAAATTAAAGGTACAACATACAAAAAGTTTTAATATAATATTTATTATTTTTTGAGAAAATAATTAATTTTTTTTGTCATAACTTATGTAAAGAAAAACAATTCGATTTTTTTTAAATGAAGTATAGAAAAAAAACGATTTTTTCACGATTATTGATATTTCGTAAAAATTGTAATGTTTACCGAAGAACACTCGATAAACTTCACGAAAAATATGATATTTCATGTTTTTGAGACAATATTTCGTGATAGAGTATGAAAAACTATAAAAGTCATCATTTACTATTTGAAGTTGAACTTTAACCTCAAATAACTTTTAAAAGAGTCGACTATGCAAAAAATCATATTAGATCTTTTTCGTAGATCGTTCAATTCCCTACAAGAATATGTATTGATTTCTATAACTCACTGATTCGTCAAAACGCAATAAAATTCCAAACAAAAAAAATGTATTTTCCCGTGTTATTTAAAAGGAAAATAAAAAATCGCGATGAGCCACCTCTTAATATTGTTATTAAGAGCTCAAACTTTATCAGAATTTTTTTTTCGTCATCTTGAACGATATTTTCATGGTAGCTAAAGAAAAGAAAATTAAAAGTTTTTTTGGCCCACCCTAATATATATATATATATACCGTTTCCGAGATATTCGAGATTACTATAATTGTTATATTGCAAGGATTAAAAGATATATGATAACAAATTTTACTTTTTTAATTAAAAAAACTAAAAAGAGCCTTGGTTTGTTTGCCCTCAACCGTCGCATTTTTTAAAGTAAAAACCACTGTATTTTTTATTATTATTGTCTATTATTAAATTTTGATTGTGACGGTCGGGACGAAAATTTCCGAGGCTCATGGAATGCCTTTTTTAGTTTTTTAATTAAAAAATAAAAATCGTTATCATATACCTTTTAATCCTTTAATGCGATAAAACAATTATTGTAATCTTGAATATCTCGGAAACGGTTTATTTTATCAAAGTTTAAAAAGTACACCTTTTTAATAGTAGCCGAACTAAGGAATCAAAAAATTGCATCAAATGTTACAAAAACCTAACCTCAAAGTTTTTATAGCAACCCCCGTTTCTACGACACTGTGTTCACTCAAACAATTGTAAATATGTGTACTGGTATCAATATTACCTTTTTAAGTCTACCATAGTAAAAAAAACTGATATGATAAGTAACACTTTATAAACCTGTATCTTGGAAACATAAGTATTTAGAAAATAGTACATTAAAGAACTATTGTCATAAGACGTGATTTTGTCGCATGACATGAGTTCTTTATGCTATTTTATCTATTTTGCAAAAATTCTATAAAATTAATTTTATACCTTAAATTTAATTTGGTCGAATTTTACTTTAGATAGTTGGTATCACAGTAATTGGTTTGACAGTTAATGTCAAAATCGATTCGCCATGCCGTCCTTAATTTACTTATTTACAATAAGCGGCTATTAATGTTAAAGAAGAAAAAAAGGATTTTTTTTGGTGTTAAACAAAATTTATTGCCAGAAAAGTCTCGTAAGTACTGGAAAAATCATAAAAATATTATAACTAATATCCCCGACGGTGGACTAGTGGTTAGTGCCCGCGGTCCGTTCCTACCCCTAACCCGCACAGCCATTCAGTTGGCTTATGGGACTTTTTAAGAAGTAAGGGTGGAACTAAAAGAGTATATGAACTTTTTGTTTTGTAATATGCAAAATATTATGCTGTTTAAAGTATAGCCACGTATAAAATCAAAATTTTGGGTGGGATAAAGTATCTCATTACAGCACCGAAAGCGGTGTTATAATGAAGTCATTATGAGGGCAAAATAGATAAAATATTTGTTTAGTATTTGGTCTTATTTTGACTTGCTAAATTTATGCCACTAAGTTGTATAATTATTGTATTACCTTTGTTAGCTGCGTTTTCTGATTTTATTGGCAAAGTAAAAACAGAATTAAAGTCAAGTTTATAAAGCGTGTAAAGCAATAAAAAATAAAAGGTTTAAAAATGTATTACCTCGACGCTGGGGTCTCTTATGTAGACTTCTTGAAATGCTTCGTTTCCCATATCCCTCGGACGATATGCAATACGATATCCCAAGAATTCCCCGTGAATCATATCAGAAGGCGGTGCCCTCCAGCTTATGTGGATAGCTGAGGCCGATGTATTGTGGGCAGTTGTTATTGTCGGTTTTCCCGTCGGCACTGAAAATTCAATTTAATTTCCCATAAACCACGCGGTATTTCATTAAAAATACCTAATTTGAGCAGCATTTTAACTTTAGATAAGCATTAACACAAACGTTGATATAACGTCAATATTACCTTATCGACTGATATAAGTTTAATTATATTATAAATCATAAAATAGCCACAGAATCCATCGCACTTAAAAAACTTATGCATAAAATAAAATTTCTTTAGACGTCGCTACAAATATTTTTCAGCTCTTCAGCGAACGCATGTTTACGTTTAAGTGAAACGTAAGACAAAAGATGAAAGAGGACAAATAAAAAATTATATTCAGCCATGTTTGACACACAATTATATGCTAAAGTTGGTACACTGCAATACTGTTTTGCGAATAATACCTACACTGATGCTTTGTTTCGCTAGTTACGGATCGTAACCAAAATACATGCCTATTAGGTGTTCATTAAGACGAATAAATCGATTTTGCTTGAATAGGTTTTTGTTCTAAATTATGTATATAAAGGTATTGGTAATGAAAATACACATGTTTGAAGAAAAGTGGAAATCTGTTAAATACTTTCAAAAATGGCGAATGTGCCGGGATAATAATAATTAATTAATTTTATTATTATTTCCGAAACAGCTTAAGATAAAATAATGAAATATTGTGTAGGGGATTTTTAAGTCCAAATTTTTTGTGTGCAATTTTTTGTGCTGCAGAATATAAAAAAATTAGAGTTTTCTACGTAAAACTTGTTAAACATCGATAAAATTCACCATTTTCTAATCAAAATAAAATAAGAAATGTAAAAGGAAGTTTTTACGCACCACAATATAGTAACAATAAAACTCAGTTTTGCAAATTCACTACACGATTCATTACAGCTCAATTTGGGAAAATTACAAAACGTTTGTTGAAATTCACTAAGCATTTATTAAAAATTTGTTCAGTAACATTACTATACAGGTATTGTAATTTTGCTAAAAAAATACTAAATATGTTTAGTAATTTTAAAATGGTGTATTGTAATTATACTATACAATTCATACTCAGTTTAAGAAAATTACAAAATATATTTTACAATTTTACTGAACTGAATAAAATTCGTTTCGCAATATTACAATACAAATTTTGTACAACAAATTACACTAAAAATATTTAAAAACCTGCAATTTTCTTAGTTTCTCCAAGAAAATTTCTTGACACATTACTGTAAAGATTTTAAAAAATTGAACCTTTACCTCGCCGGAGTCTTTGTTTGAAGACCTATTTTGGGTCTTATCAATGTAGGACAATTTGGTGTATTGGAACATACCAAAAACGAAAGACACCTGAGCTTATATACTGTCCACCTAAGTCAACCGAGGCGAGATGTAAAAACATCACGTGATTGCCGCAATCGGTACATACTATGCATTACATAACATTATAGCAAATCAAATTACAAACAACGTTTGTAAATCTGAGATGCTTTTTATTAGAACCTGTCAAACTGTTTAGTAAAATTACAATGTGTGTAGGATTTATACATTTAGATTGTAAAATTACAACTTATCTTGGTGGATTTTCCAATATGTCTTGGAAGATTACTCAAATTGTATTATAATTTTGTATCGGTATACTCTGATTTGTAATTTTACTCTTCCTTTGTTTTCCAAAACAATTATAATTTTACAAAAAATTTTAATAATAAAATGATATTTAGTAAAAATGCAAACAGAAGTTGTATAAAATAAATAAAGATACAGAATTGTAAAATTACTACAAGTATCTGACAAAAACAAAAACATTGTAAAATTGGAACCTGTTTAGTACTTTGGCTATAAAAAAATGTAATATTACAACAAATGCGTATTAAAATTGCAATACAATACAACATTTTGTAATTTTACTATGCAACTGCTTAGTAAAAATGATTAATTGTACAAAGGATAGTTATGAAATAATATTAATATTAATTTGTTCCAAATTAAGTAAAAATATACAGGGTGTTCCATTATTTTTGTAAATATTTCGAAAATTCAAGGCCTAATTGTTTTTCTGTTTTCACCAATTTAATCAGATGAAAAAATGGGATGTAAGCAATGGTGAGCAGCTAACTTTGCACACCCTGTATTAATGTGTATTGTTTTGTTGTTTCACTTTATAGTTTTGTATACTTGTTTATGCAAAATTACGCAATTTTAATTTAAATTTAATAATCGGAATAACTAACTTAGTTAGATATAATTTCGTTCTAAAATCTGTGGCAAAATTAATTCACATTAATTGCTTTCATATGCTTAGTGTAAATGAAATGATTATGTTAGGGAAGTTTTAACGTTGCAGCATTATTATTTATGTCTCGTTTTTGCCCTATTCTGCTGTGTAGCGCATTCGTTTTAAAAAGAGGGTCCCTGAAATGTCGTATCTTTCACAATGTGTAATGTTCAATTCAATTTATCTCAGGCTGGCTTTAATAGAAGAGATTTTTTTCAGCTAAAGAGTTTACCGTTTATTTCTCTTTTTAAAAGGGTTTTAATTATTTAACGGGCGGACTAGTTTAAATAAATACCGCACTGAAATTAACACATCACTCAAGATAATTGCGAAAAACGTTTTTTTATACTCCCGTATATAATCCTGAAACATGCAGCGCTATCACTCTTTAATTTTCATTAGCATTATTCCCACCTTTCCCGCGTTTTATTTCTACTGATCCCTGTATATTTAAACAGGATTAAACCATTTTATTTCCGGTCAATTCATAATTAAATTTAACATTTATTTATACGTTTAAATATATTACTTTTAATATCCGGTAAATTTATTAAAAGCAAATACAAACAAATAAAATTTTTAATAAAACCAACAAAATAGGAATTTAATATCCACGAGTATAAATTGTTTGGTCTACCAGCAGCAATATTATAATAAATTTACCCAAACGTTTTGTTCTTAATTTTTAAAATCTGAGTTTTGAAATATTTCACAAATTTTATAGTTTTAAACTTTTGCTGCACAAAATATTGATCGAGCCAAACAAGAATAGAAAACAGTAATTAAAGTTGGATTAATTTTTTCCTTTTTTCCCCTTCTTTAAAAACGTAATCTGCCAGTTTAGGATTTTTAAGAGTTATGGAATTATCAACAGTGATTAATGATATAATTACTATAATCAAGGCACACCCTTCAAACTAATTTTTAACACTTTTCAGAATTTATTAGACTTATAGCTAAATATTTTATTAAAGAATATGTAATTAAAAGTTTTATAAATTTTTTAATATAAAAATAGTTAAAATTACCATAACTTTCACATCTCGACGCCATCATGGCCTGTATCCTGTCAGATACTCACAACCAAACTTATAGTAGTAAAAATTTACTTGATAATGATAATTTGCTTAGGCTACGAATACATTAAATTTCTTTGAAATATTAACCTATCCTTAAATTAAAAAGATTTTATTTCTTAGCTTAAAATCAAGTACAGTTGAAACAAGATGATTGACATAATATTGTCAAGGCTAAAACTAACATTAAACTAAATATTAATCTTTCTTTAAACAAGCAGATCTTTATCATGCCTGTTAAATGTTAAGAAAGACTTTAAGTTAAATAATCTTATTCTTAATTTAAGATTAACAATCGATTAGACCATTTTGGAAAATTCCCTCTATTCTGTTCTTAAAGATATATAACTATACTGGATATAAATATAATTATATTTATTCTAATATTAGTAAATATTGGTACGACTGGCCTATTCCTAAAAATATCCCCCACTCAAGAAAGTGGCCGACATTTTGGAAGATTGTTTCTTGTGTTAGTTAATATTTGGTTTGGAATTATGAAAAAGCTGCTAAATTAGTGGAATTTGATATAATTAACCACCAAATGTATGTGTAGGTAATAATTATTATGAAATGAATTTTAGATGTTGGAGTGATATTAGGTTGTCCGAAGAATCACATAAAAAACAATTATTTATCTTTTACCTCTAGATTATAGGTACGAATAAAAATTTTGGTTAAACAGGCCAATATAGCCAAAAAATGTCCGTCTCGCAAACAAAATCAACGTGACTAAAGTTTTGAAAAAATCATTGCAGTATACAGGTAGATAGGTATTTGAAACATTGTAAAAAAGTTATGTAATAAAGACAATGCTATAGACCAATATTTTTTAGGTTAAGTTAAACAATAATTGTTTCAAATATTGTCCATTCTTTTTTTAACGTTTGCTTGACTTTAAAGGTTAGGATATAATGACCATGTTTATTTCAAAAGGTAAAGAGTTATTCTATCTATTTTTCTCTGCCATGGCTGTCTTAGAAAAAAAGATATAGATAGGATAGGATAATCCACTTTTTACCTTTTGAAATAAACATGGTCATTATACCCTTACCTTTATTAAAGTCGAGCAAAAGTTAAAAAAGGAATAGACAATATTTGAAACAATTATTGCTTAATTTACATAAATATTCATTATATTTAATCCAAAATTAAATATTGTATCGCCAAGAATTATAACATCTGTATCAAAAAATACTTATTCTTAAATTAAGCATATATAGTGTATATTTTATTTGAGGGTGCTTGCATTTTAAATAATATGATAGTTTTTCTTGATATAAGAATATGTTTACCTTTGCACCTTACATTGAGATTATATCCAAATAAGTGTAGGTTAGTTCTTGCATTCAACTCCCTTTATCCTTCAAATAAGTAATAATTTAATTTACAAATAAGAATAAATCATTCCTTGAATAAAAAGTATCTATACTTAGACACATTTTTTGTTATATGTTCAATACAAAATTTGTTTTAATATTTTTTATCTTTTTTTGTTGCTTTTTATTTCCAATTTATTTTTTTAAAGTAAAATACTGTTTTTCGTCTGACAAAAACCTTTAACCATATACCTATAACTTAGTTATAGGTATATGCCTTTAACATGCTTTTTCATTTAACAATAATTGTGATTTGGTTGGAATATATGTATGTATATATATATATATATATATATATATATATATATACGAGGTGTGTTCAGAAAATATCGGGAATTTTCGTTTTTTGAAACAAATATTTATTTATTCGTCTACATTAATGTTGTCGCCTTCAAAATAGTCCCCATTGGATATTATGCACATGTACAAGCTCTTCTTCCAATACTCGAAACACTTCTAAAACTCGATCTTTCGGATAGCCTTTAGTTCTTTCAGCGATGCGCTTTTAATGTCATCTATGCTTGCAAAACGACGGCCCTTTAAGGTTCTCTTTATTTTTGGGAATAGGAAAAAGTAAGACAGAGGCATGTCTGGCGAATATGGAGGCTGGGGCATCATTACAGTATTGTTTTTGGCCAAAAATTTTGTTCAAAATTTAGACAATGTTAGAACAAGATTTGCTGCCACGCGTTTCATACCCAAAACATTCGAAACAATTTTATGGGATGAGCCAATCGATATACCAACATCATCAGCGACTTCTCTGATGGTTTATAACCATTTCTTCCACTTTTTCCATGTTTTTATCGGTTGTTAATGTGCTTGTGCGTTCGGGGCGTTCGTCATCTTCAACGTCTTCTTGGAAACTCTTATACCACTTGTAAACTCTTGTTTTACTTATAGCAGACTCACTATAGGCCTTTGTTAACATTTCACAGAATTTATTTAATTTTTTAGGTAAAATTGGATACAAATTTTTTGATACATTTCTTTTAACGAACGAAAAATCGCCGAGCTCAAAAAACACGTCTAACCTTAGCGGCTGTCACAGACAAAGTAAACAATGAAAACAGCTAAAGTTTTTATCATACTTCGGGGGCATGTATACCAACATAATAAAGAAAATTTTATGACAACTGGACCCTCCGAACCCGCGAAATTTAACAATTCCCGTTATTTTCTGAACACACCCCGTATATATATATATTACGTTAAGTGATTAGAGGCAAACATATTCACACAAAAAATGGCATTTAATAAAGTTTGTTAAGCCATTAATAAAATTTTAATGCTTTTCGGACTTACCTAGTAATATTTCAAACAAAATTAATTTAATTAAATTAGATGTTCAAAAATCCCTTTTAAGAGTACGGTATTTTTTTCGATTAAAATTACCTGAACAAGCCCGCTGAAAACTAAAAAATAACGAAACTAAGTTAATTAAAAAAAATACAATACAAGTACAAGCATTGAAATTTTTTAATATCCTTCTAAATTTGCAAAAATATGCAATAAAGGATTAAAAGTTGTTGTGACAGGGTATACGATCGGGAATTTGAAAAATAAAAGCAAGTTTCTTTTGTTGGATTTCATGACTATTTTATTCGCATTAGATCGATTACAATCGCAAAAAATAAATTACATTTTAAAATAATCGAGCCACTCAATCTTCACACTGTCAAAATCCATTTGTTTTGACGAAGCCGCAAATTAAAAAATATTTACACGGGCATTTTCAATCACTAATAAATTATTTTACGCCGGACATGTTAAAATAGTGACTACAAATGTATAATAAAGCAAAAAATAAAAGTAAATTAAGGTGAAAATTATTTACACGACATTGATATTTTATAAATCTGGAATGAAAAAAAAATAATCAATTTATTTGAATTTCGACGTTATTCATACATTCATTCGTTAATATTTAAAGTAATATTTGGAATATTACGGAAATAGAAATACGATAATAAAAAATTAATACCAGTATTTTATTTCATTAAGTTGTTTTTACGATGTATTTTTTATTTTTTATATATAATATTTTATTATTATTTAATTTTAACCCTTTTTTATTTCTTTATATTAGAATTTTCAAACAAAGCAAGCTTTGATTTTCCACAATTTCACATTAAACAAAAATAAGTATACTGAAGTACATTTTCTCTTATTATTGTTTTATTTGTATTTCCGGGCCATTTCCAACAATGTTGTCTTGCTTTAACCATTTGAGAGTGAATTTATTGAACGATTTTCTTTAAGAAATATCAATTGTTTTTTATACATTTCATTCTCCTATTTATAAAAAATTGTTTTAAAATTTTAATGTCAATCACACCAACAACGTGAATAATGAGTTCATTATTCCCGTTGTTAGGCAGGGAATTTATAATGTTTTCACGAAAGTGAAGAGGATGTTTTTATCCAAAGAATGGTAAACCAATTTGACAGTGATTGAGTGGGTCGATTATTTTAATTTATAATTATATTTTTTATCAATTTTTATTAAAAGCTCTATTTTTAATATTTAATTAGATAATATTTCTTCAATAGCAATAGACCAAAATCAATGTACAGAATTTGATTAGGAAGTTAGTTTGTGCAACCACATATCATTTTTTCCAATGAGTTGAAATGTTACAGGTTTGCGGTTTGAAGATAAATTAGCCACCAAGAAGTTACGATTTAACTCCTATGGACTTTTTAATTCTTTACTTTAGAAAAACTAAGCAAACTTGACTTACCCTCTCGAAGTGTGACCATATAGTACGACGGTATACTTGGTTGACTTTCTCCAAGCTCATTGACAGCAATAACACGAAAGCTGTATACGGTGTAAGGGTGTAAATTTTTGATGTGATATATTGTTTCATTGTTCTTGGTTAAAACCGTATCCATTTCGTCCCATTCCCCTTCCTCCCCTACCCTGCAATAGATAAGTAAATCAATATACATGCACTTTTTGCTGAGAGTGCTTTGTGCACTACGTTGGCAGATACGGAAATATATTTCGGGGGGGGGGGGGGTTGTCAAAATATTTATATATAATATTTATGATGATATAAAGGGATAATTAAAAAAGGCCAGTGCCATGGATGTCCCCATCTGACTGACTCTAATTGCTGACAATTTTATCACAACAAAAAGTAGAACGAGATTTTAATTTAAATTAAATTATACATCGATATTGCACCAATTAAAAAATTTAATTGAACAAATTAAATTTCAGTTTCAATATTACATAAAGAAAGAATGAAAAATTTAATTCAATGCGGATTTTGCACATAGAGAAGGAATTTTATGATATTAAAATAATGCATGCAGGAATGCAACTAAAAATTACGTTTTAATTTTAAAATTAACTCTGAAATATGATAAAATTTTGAAAACACACGAAGTAACTGTTGTTTAGCTGAAAGTTGAAAATTTAATGTCGAAACACTGGAAAATGTAAATGACAATAATTCTATAAAGTAATATGTTTGTTCCAGTTTACCTAAACTTCCGTTTTAAATGTAAAGTTTTATCCTGTTATGCGTGTACTAAATTTGTCAACCATCCAAATTTATTAAGCATTAAGCAAATAGCCTGAAAGTTTTCTTATTTAGGTATAGATGGCACAATCGTTTTTTTTTACAAGTAGACATTTTGTCGTATTTCTTTCAGTACCTTAACTCTTCTGGGTTTTCTATAACGTTAACTTATCCCGTGTAAAACGTTACAGCATAAAAAAAATCAAAACCTAAATGATAGAGACAAACTTAATTGATGACAAGCTAAAATAATGGCAGGCTAAAATGATCACGATAATAATTTGGCTTCATTTAAGCTTGTCATTTTAACAAATGACGACAAGCTTAAATGATGACTGTATAAAATAGGCTAAAATGACAAGTAAAAATAACAAGTTAAAACAACGATAAGCCAAGCATAAAGGATGATAAGCTAAAATAATGACAACTTAAAATAACAAGCTTGACTGATGACAAGCTAAAATAATGACCAGTTAAAATATCTAGCTTAAATGATGACAAGATGAAATAGTGACAAGTTAAAATAAATATTAATGGTCGACAAGCTTAAATGATGTCAAGCTAAAATAATGAGAAGTAAAAATAAAGACAAGCTTAAATGATAACAAGTTAAAATTACGATAATTCAAACTAAAGACGAGCATACATAATAATAAGCTAAAATAATGACAAGTTAAAATAACAAGCTTAAATGATGATAAGATAAAATAGTGACAAGTTAAAATAAAGTTTAAATGTCGACAAGTATAATATTGACAAGCTAAAATATTGAAAAGTTAAAATAATAAGCTTAAATGATTACAAGATAAAATAGAGATGGCTATCTAAAATACCCTAAAATGACAAAAAGTAAAAATAACGATAAGCCAAACTAAAGACGAGCATAAATGATGATAAGCTAAAATAATGACAAGTTAAAATATCTAGCTTAAATGATGACAAGATAAAATAGCGACAAGTTAAAATAAATATTAAGGGTCGACAAGCTTAAATGATGTCAAGCTAAAATAATGAAAAGTAAAAATAAAGACAAGCTTAAATGATGACAACTTAAAATAACGATAATTCAAACTAAAGACAGGCATAAATAATAAAAAGCTGAAATAATGACAAGTTAAAATAACAAGCTTAAATGATGACAAAATAAAATAGAGACAAGTTAAAATAAAGAATAAATGTCGACAAGCTTAAATAATGACAAGCTAAAATAATGAGAAGTTAAAATAAGCTAAAATGACAACAATTAAAAATAACAAGTTACAATAACGATAAGTCAAACTAAAGACAAGAGTAAATGATAATAAGCTAAAATATTGACAAGTTAAAATAACAAGCTTAAATTATGACAAGTTAAAATAAAGATTAAATGTCGATAAGCTTAAATGATGACGAGCTAAAATAATGAGAAGTTAAAATAAAGACAAGCATAAATAATGACAAGATAAAATAGAGATGGGTAGCTAAAATAAGCTAAAATGACGAAAATTAAAAATAAAAAGTTAAAATAACGATAAGTCAAACTAAAGACAAGCATAAATGGTGATAAGCTAAAATAATGAAACGTTAAAATAACAAGCTTAAATGATGACAAGATAAAAAAAAGATTAAATGCCGACAAGCTAAATATTGACAAGCTAAAATAATGATAGGTTAAAATAAAAACAAGCTTAAATGATGACAAGCTAAAATAATGAGAAATAAAAATAAAGACAAGCTTAAATGATGACAAGATAAAATAACGATAAGATAATATCTAAAGACAAGCATACATGATGATAAGCTAAAATAATGACAAGATAAAAACATAGTTAATAGTTTTTCCACAGTTTTACACATCATAATTAAATGGCGCTTATAAGACCCTTTATTCTGTATTAAAACTTTTACCGCAAACACAATTTCATTAAAATTATAAAATATAAAAAGTTGATTTGTTCATAGCGCATGTTAAAAATGAAAATCGGCGAGCAGAGAACAAAAAAAGCTGGGAAATGAAAGTGCTGGGGGATCGATTTAGGTGTCAAAAGTTCATTTTTACAACGGCAAGGAACAAAAAGCGTGGCACTGTAATGTTCCCTATCAAATAATTATCTTGCAATGAATGTTTCCTTGCCTTAATCAAAAATCGTGTAAGTTTTCCTTAAACGTTTCGTCGAGATGAAAAGTTCATCTTTTCGGTCGGAAGCAATTAGTTGAAAACCACTCTTAGGTCTTCTTTGAACCTTACTCTTTCCCCATCAAGATGTATCAAGATCTAGTTACTTCCATTTTATCGATCTATCCTTATCTCCGGCTATTTTACCAACAAATTAATCTTCGGACTAGGTATTAAATAACAAAACCGATATGGTAATGATCCTAGAGAACATCATGTTGTTTTTCTAATCGATAATCTGCACGGAAAGGTAACATTTAGATTTGCTAAGCCAGCACGTGGGGATGATAGTACACGCCAAAACAAAAAAAGTTTTTCCACAGCCTGTGTAGAGATATTTACAAAAAAAAATTAGTACTTTCTTTTTTTAACTTATTTTAAAGTTAATAAACTTAATAAACAAGCTAAAATTCGCCCAGACAAATTGGAACCAGCAAAGGAAAAAATAATAGTAATTTTAATAATTTATTAAGATTACTGCACCACCTGCTGACTTTCTTAATAAAAAATGCAATAGCAGTCGACTGAAAAAAATCCCAGATACATAAATGATTGATCCCCTTTATATTCCCCACTAAACGATTGAAAAGGGCGCTTCACTACTATCAAATCCCCCTCTCTCCTTCCGTTTATTTGACTTGTTTGGCTGATCAGTTCAAAGCTCTTTATAATGAACCCCTTCATTAACTTAAGATCTGTCAAGACACGTATTGACTTTAAAACAATTCTGCGCTACTTCATAACGCTTTCCATTCAAAATTATCATGCAGTATTTTTCAACTGTGCTTGTAAATATAACGGTATACAGTTAATCCCTGTTAAGTTATTGGTTTTGTTTTTGCAGTGAATTTCGGTGTCACAATATTTGCGTCAAATTTTCAACCGAAAACTTAGCGCCACTCTAAGGCTCTTAGGTCAAGTGTTTCCAATGTTCCTCAACGTTTTGCGCTACTCGTTCACGTTAATTTATTTTATTAGTGATGCTAAAGTCAAAGTTTAACTAAAAAAATTGAGAGGTCTTGATTGGTAAGTTATAATGCGTCCCGAACCTTGCAACACGTACCAATCAAGTTCTATCAATTTTTGTGATGAAGAGAATTAAAAAATTAAAAATAATTGTGGTATTATAGATGTTGATTGAAAACCGCGGACTTAATTTCTTTAAGCATACTGTGAAATAAACTCTCAATGCAGCTTTGTAACAATTGTAACTTGGTTGCTTGATTTATTCTTTTGTTGGAAAATTCTTGGCTAACTAGCGAGCGTTGAAAAGAGAACAAAGACATTTGTTTCGTTTTTTTCTTATTTATTCATTAAGGTAAGAATTTTGTTCTGTACTTTTCGTTTTAACTTTAACCAAAGATAAAAGTTTATAAGGTGAAAATATCTTAAGATTTCCATAGCGACATTAACAATGGGATTTTTGTTCGTTTAAGTCGGTACTTACCTTACGTGAATAACGTAATTTATTATAGGGCTGTAATGGGTATGTTGGGATGGGGCCCATGACAAATTCACAGATCTTGACGTGAAGCTCATAAATAGAGGCCTCCCTGGCGGGTCGGGCACATCTGAAATAATTCACTTACATATTAATTTCATTTTTGACTTACACATACCTTCACCAGACTAGCGTCACAAAGTTTCTTTCCTATACTTGTATTTTAAGTTTTTCAAACAAATAAATCTAATTTCAAACTTATTATAAACATTATTTGCCAAATAAAAAGACATTTTCTTTTCGAGTTAAGATTACTTTTCTTCTACCAACTTTTCAATTATAAACAAATGATAAATTCTGACAACGTACCTCAACTAAAAAAGTTAAATCAATAAAAGCATAAACTTTATGAGAGATATTTACTCCAGATACAAATAGTTTTTCAAGAAAACAAACCAAAAACAAAATTGCCATAATAATGAAAAATGAGTGCAATGAAATATTGGATCAAAAATTAACTTTTCAAACACATAAAGTCTTAGTAATTTTTTTAGTTTAAACTATTTATGTTATAGTCCCAACTATCCTGCTTTTTATTAGGCTTGTTTCTAAAATAATACAAATTTTGTCAAAATGGTTCCGCCTGCTATATTAAAAATTGAACAAATTAAAAAATATTTTTAAATGACCTGTTTTCCAATTATCAATTAAATTCTCCGTTTTCCCAATTTTATTTCGACCAATTTATACTTTTTATTTTAAATTAATTACTAGTATTATAAAATAACAAGCCTAAATGATGATAAGTTAAAATAAAGATTAATTGTCGACATGCTTAAATATTGATAAGCTAAAATAATGATAAGTTAAAATAAAGACAAGCTTAAATAATGACAAGATAAAATAGAGATTGCTAAATAAAATAAGCTAAAATGACGACAACTAAAAATAACAAGTTAAAATAACGATAAGCCAAACTAAAGACAAGCATAAATGATGATAAGCTTAAATAATGACAAATTAAAATAACAAGCTTGAATTATGACAAGATAAAATAGTGACAAGTTAAAATAAAGATTAAATGTCGACAAGCTTAAATATTAACAAGCTAAAATATTAATAAGTTAAAATAAAGACAAGCTTAAATGATGACAAGATAAAATAGAGATTGCTTAATAAAATAAGCTAAAATTACGACAACTAAATATAACAAGTTAAAATAACGATAAGCCAAACGAAAGTCACGCATAAATGATGATAAGCCTAAATAATGACAAGTTAAAATAACAAGCTTAAATTATGACAAGATAAAATAGTGACAAGTTAAACTAAAGATTAAATGTCGACAAGCTTAAATATTAATAAGTTAAAATAAAGACAAGCTTAAATGATGACAAGATAACATAGAGATTGCTTAATAAAATAAGCTAAAATGACGACAACTGAAAATAACAAGTTAAAATAAAGATTAAATGTCGACAATCTTAAATATTGACAATCTAAAATAATGAGAAGTTAAAATAGAGACAATCTTAAATGATGACAAGATAAAATAGAGATTGGTAAATAAAATAAGGTAAAATGAAAAGTAAAAATAACGATAAGCCAAACTAAAGACAAGCATAAATGATGATAAGCTTAAATAATGACAAGTTAAAATAACAATCTTAAATGATGACAAGATAAAATAGTTAAAAGTTAAAATAAAGATTAAATGTCGACAAGCTTAAATATTGACAAGCTAAAATAATGATAAGTTAAAATAAAGACAAGTTTAAATGATGACCAGATAAAATAGAGATGGCTAGCTAAATTAAGATAAAATTGCCACAACTAAAAATAACAAGTTAAAATAACGATAAGCCAAACTAAAGTCACGCATAAATGATGATAAGCCTAAATAATGACAAGTTAAAATAACAAGCTTAAATGATTACAAGATAAAATAGTGACAAGTTAAAATAAAGATTAAATGTCGACAAGCTTAAATATTAACAAGCTAAAATATTGATAAGATAAAATAAAGACAAGCTTAAATGATGACAAGATAAAATAGAGATTGCTTAATAAAATAAGCTAAAATGACGACAACTAAAAATAACAAGTTAAAATAACAAGCTTAAATGATAAGATAAAATAGTGACAAGTTAAAATAACGATTAAATGTCGACAAGCTTAAATATTAACAAGCTAAAATAATGATAAGTTAAAATAAAGACAAGTTTAAATGATGACAAGATAAAATAGAGATGGCTAGCTAAATTAAGATAAAATTGCCACAACTAAAAATAACAAGTTAAAATAACGATAAGCCAAACTAAAGACAAGCATAAATGATGACAAGAAAAATAATGAGAAGTTAAAATAAAGACAAGTTTAAATAATGACAAGATAAAATAGTGATGACTAGCTAAAATGACGACAAGCAAAAATAATAAGAAGCCAAAATAATAAGTGTAATTTAGTGTTGAAAAGTCAATATATACAGGGTGTCCCATAAGCGAACGATATCCTTTGAAGGACTAATAGGTCAGCTCATGACTAATCAGAATATCAAAACATGACCTTAGTAAAAAATCATTAGTTTTTAAGATATTGGCAGTTTATTTTATTTATTTTATATACATATATATATATATATATATATTGTCCAATTTATACTTTTTATTTTAAATTAATTACTAGTATTTCACGAAAAAATATATGGCATCATAATAACACAACACGTTTTTTTTCTCTCATCTCGTGGCAGCTAAACTTATTGTATTCGATTGTAAATTTTACGTTTAGCACAAAGGAATATTTTAGACAGGAAGTAATTGAAATTATTTTCAGAGTTCTTTGGAGGCACTGGCACGTACATCATTGAACATCAATCATTCATATTGGCGCACTCACCAGCTTTAAAAGAACATTAACATTATCCAAGGCTTTTTAGAAGAATAGTTCAGTCTGCATGGAGAATTGATATAAAACGAGATATTTTAAATTAAATACACCTTTAAATAATGCAACTTATAAGTTATTTTTACTGTAAAGGAAAACGGTAAAATAATGGTTTTTATTTTTACTACATGATATGATATTATAGGTTATGATATTATAGGTTATGTACATGAATTTATTCTACAGTGACCTGTAATTTTACATTTTCTTTGCTGATTTCATGCTAATCGCAATAGATGTAATGTAATTTCAATGTATTTTTATTATTGTACGGCGTACAAAAATAAAGTATTTTTACAGGGTGCACCAAATAAGTTGTAATCCTTTAAGGGGATTATAGAACACTCCAAAATAAGAAAGTTTTTCCTCTATCATTTTTACATTAAAATTTTATAAGTTAAGTTTGTTAGGTGACACCCTGTATAATATGAACATTTTTTACGCTTAAAAAAATATTATATATTACTTTTTTCTAAAATATTTGTAAAATATATTATAGAAATTCTTATTAAATATTGGATAATTTTTAATAATTAATAATGGCGTCTTTAGTTTTATTTTTCACGGAAGAATTTTTTTCTTTAAAGTTGTTTTTAATAGTTTTTTATACAACTTTAAACTTTAAAAAGTTCTCAGACAAATATTATTTTTTTACGGTTATAAAGTGATTTTAATAAAGTAAAAATATGACTTATAAGTGAAATTTGGTTTAAAGTGAAAATATTTACTTTAAATTTACAGTTAAAATCCCATGAAACAAAACCTTTAAGTAATTTTTGTTCATAAAAATTAAAAATTAACATTATTCAAATACTTCAGAGTTCAGGAACTATGGTTATAAAAGAAAGTAAAAATATCATAATAAAAACGTATATTACTTTAATGACAGTTTTTAAGGTTAATTTAACAACATATTTACATAAATTAAGTAATATAGCTCGAATATTTTATATAAAATAACATCATGTAAATATAAAACCAAGATTGACACTCAATAGTTGGATTTAATCAACATGTAAGTATTAAAAAAAGGATGTGTCTAAATCTGATGGACGTAAAATCTCCTAAAAAATTTACATCATCCGAACAAAGCGTGTGTGTGCTGGGGCTGACTTTATTTTAACTCGAAAAAAGGCGATCCAACCATGTATACATTTAAATATTAATAGGCCATTATTCGGATGAAACCCGAAGGTTTTGAAAATAAAATCGTTTTAGTAACATTTGATTTCTTCTTTAAAAAGTGTGAATATTAAGGGTACCCTTGAATATTTTACTATTGTTGAATCAATGCATTTCATATTCGTTAGCGGTTCAAAAGTCAAATTATTATACACCGCCGTACAATAATGAAAATACATTGAAATTACATATAAAGAGTGGTACCATCTATCGCGTTTAGCAAGAAATGAGCAAAGAAAATGTAAACTTACAGGTCACTGTGGAATAAATTCATATACATAACCTATAATATCTTCTTCTTTTTAAGATTTTTTCTACTCCCACCTTTAAAACGCCCTTTATACATGTTTCCATGACACTAATTGACCTTTTAAATACACATTGACAAGTTGTGGCTTTACGCCGCTTTAGTCACGGGCTGAAGTTAGCAACAGGTTTTTAGTCACGGGCTGAAGTTAGTTTTAAGTTAGTTGACAGTTGTCAAATGTTATACAATCGTTAAAATAATGTGCCTATCTTGTAAAATAATACTAAATGTTTAAATTATTTTATTATCTCAATACAAAAATACAAAAGTATTAAATAGTTTCTCAACGCCAAATTTGAAAAGTTTATATGAACATTGTACTGACCTTTCAATTTCGCCGGCAGTAAACTATAACTTAAATTCGGGCACGGACTCCACTGTAAAGTGCTCATAAAACATTTTCTTTACTTTCACTGTGAAAAACTGTCAATTTTCAAGAAATACATTTCAATTTATGACCTCTATAATCTGTGTTTATAAAATGTAAAAATGTGACATTTGACGGTGACACACAGATTCCCCTATTATTTCATAGATGGAGCTCTATACAAATTTTTGATTTAAATCATTTTAAGATAATAATAAGTATTTGTCGTAGAAAAAGTATAGTATGCACCTCGTTTATAAACTTTTCTATACACTCATTAATTTAAGCACTCGCTCGCAAGCTCGCTCGTGCCTAAAGTAAATTCGTGTATAAAATGGCGTTTATCAAACTTGATACATAATATACTATTATCTACTCCTACATTGACGAGCTGTCACTTTATGGCGTTTTATTGACGGGCTGAAGTTAACAACAGTGGCTTTTCGACATTTTACGTCACGGGCTGTTGTTAGCTTTATTATAAATTGGGAAAAAGTGAGATTAAATTCGGGTGACAGTTGACAGATGTCAAAATTTTAACAAATAAAATTAAATTCTTTAAATTCTGTTTTGTGTTCGTCGTAGATAAAGTATAGTATGCAACTCGTTTATAAACTTCTCTAGACACTCGTTTTTATTAAACACTCGCTCGCAAGCTTTGCTCGTGCTTAATTAAACTCGTAACTAAAATGGCGTTTATAAAACTTGATACATAATATACTATTATGGCCTTTAGCTTATTGAAATCCTATTTAATATAACATATGTATGTCAAACGTCAAACCTGACAAAATTCGATAATTTTAATGTACAGGATATTTAAATGCTTAAATAAGCGCTTTCTCTGCCTGTTAGATAATGTACTATTTACTGATTGAACAATTTAGATAATTAAAATCTTTTCTAAATTTAATTTATTAAACCTGCATGTTATATTTCCATTAGGTAAAACAAATTATGTGTAAGTTGATTGCATGTATGTACTTTTAAAACATTTTGTATACTTTACTTCCTTTATTAAATCTTTAGATTTAAGAAAATTTAAATAAAATACAAATTCAATTATTATATTTTTCCGCTCCCACCTTGTAAAAGCCCATTATCGTACATGTTTTCATGACACTAAGTGACCTTTTAAATAAACATTGACAAGTTTTGGCTTTAAGGCGTTTTAGTCACGGGCTGAAGCTTTATGTTAGTTGGCAGTTGTCAAATGTAATACAAAGTGCCCTTCATGTAAAATAATATTAAACATTATTTTATTATCTCAACACAACAGTATTGAATAGTTTCTAATTTTGCCAGCAGCAAACTAGATTTAACTTAGTTTTGGTGTGAAAAACTGTTGTTAGACCATTTTTAAGGGATACATTTCGATTTACACATACAAATTTGACATTTTCACCGGCTATTGTCGCTCTATATAAATATTTAATTTAAATCATTTTTAGATAGAAAAAGTTCGTTTATAAACTTTTCTAGACACTCATTTAATTAAACACTCGCTCGTGCCTAATTTAAATTTGTGACTAAAATGGCGTTTATTAAACTTGATGCATAATAAACTATTATGCGATTTGGGGTTTATAATGGCACACAAAATTTATTATCGTTTCTGAATGTAAGTTTAAGTCTAGGTTTTATTTTTAAACTTCACATAACTTCCCTTCCATTCGAGTTTGCACTAGAGATTTTAGGTTTGTTTGAAGAAGGTTTTACTTATAATTGAATATCGAGTTTATATGACATTGTATGTACAGCACAAAATTTACGCGAACCCTGTTTATACATAATTATGCCTTTAAAGGCAAAGGTTTTTAAGCAATAATAAATGAACATAACTATCATCATGAGACATACATTAGGGTGGAGCGAAATATGAATATTTTTAAAATAGAAAACTTGTGTATGATAAAAATAAATATTTTGGTGAAAAAATAAATATTTTTTAATTCCTTCCACCGCCCCAGAGCTATCCTAAATATAAAAATCATAAAATTCAGACAAGGGCAGAATTTTTTTTTTGAGACAAGATATTTTTAGAGCATAATTAACTTTTCCAAAATGCAGCCCGTGACTAAAAACCTGTTGCTAACTTAACTTTTGTATATTTGTTAATCGAAACATAAAACGTACAATTAATAAAAGTAGTAATTGACGTTAGATCGATCTGACAGATATTACATTTGCCTTAAAGCCTTAAAGCTCAGCACAAAATGACTAATGACATTAATAACTAATTAAAACAATATACTTAATTATAAAGAAAAAAAGTACTATTTTTATTCTAAAATTTCTAATCTTTGGAAATAGTGATTAACGTTACTAAACAAATGTGGATTAGGTTAACATAATATGTTATCCATCACCATATTTCGTTAGTAACGTAAATTACTGTTGAAATAGTATATTATGTATCAAGTTTGATAAACGCTATTCATTTAAGCACTCGCTCGCAAGCTCGCTCGTGCCTAAATTAAATTCGTGTATAGAAAAGTTTATAAACGAGGTGCATACTATACTTTTTCTAGCGCCATCTATGAAACAATAGGGGAATCTGTGTCACCGTCAAATGTCAAATGTCAAATTTTTCTATTTTATAAATACAATTATAAAGGTTATAAATCGAAATGTATTTCTTAAAAATTGACAGTTTTTCACAGTGAAAGTAAAGAAAATGTTTTATGAGCACTTTACAGTGGAGTCCGTGCCCGAATTTAAGTTATAGTTTACTGCCGGCGAAATTAAAAGGTCAGTACAATGTTTATATAAACTTTTCAAATATTGGCGTTGAAAAACTATTTAATACTTTTGTATTGAGATAATAAAATATGTTTCACATTTAGTATTATTTTAGAAGAAAGTCAATTTATTTTAACGATTGTATGACATTTGACAACTGTCAACTAACTTCAGCCCGTGACTAAAAACCTATTGCTAACTTCAGCCCGTGACTAAAGCGGCGTAAAGCTACAACTTAGTGTCATGGAATAATTCAAAACAATAAAAAATCAAAATCCTTATAAATTTAGTAGGACATAGGTATAAGCAGTTGCTGTTTTGTAAAGCAGCTCAAGTTTTACGGTGTGGCAGTGATTTTTCGTGAACGCAGTAAAAATTGAACGGGCTAAAATTTGTAAATATATGATAGTGGAGCATGGAGCATGGTTTGGCATTAAAATGAGGCAAGGTGGCAAATAATGTTTTTGAAGTTTAATATTGTTTAAACTTATACAAAAGTAAGGAGGAATTGTAAATGTTTTAATACTTTATAATTAAGGGATTTGCAATGAGTTAAATATGGATGGAAGTTGGTGCTAGAGTTGGTTCGTTGAATAATTGTTGGAAGTAGCTGTTTAAATAATGACTTGACCAAGACTTAGTTTCAAGAACATTATTCAAATTGAAGCAAGCCCTGTAAATTATGAAAATAAATAATAAGAACAGGAAGAAAACTTGTTGGAAGTTTCGTAGTAAGTAGCATACGTTAGAGTCTTGAAAGTTTGATATCATTAAAAGACACATGTTACATGCAATTTAACAACCCTACTCAGTAATAATAGCGATTTACCTTTGACTATAAATCGTATAATACCATCAGGTTTTGGTCTGCTGTTTACAAGGCAAATATAGTCGCCACTATCTTCGGCCACTGCTGGATGAAAATTCAATGCATAATTTTCAAGTATCAGAGATATGCGGTGCTCGTGGTCCCAAACAGTTGTTGAGTCGGAGGCAAATTCGACCAGCTTAATTTGATGTGTTAAAGTGAACCATTCCAGTGCGCTAACTAACGAGTGTTCATTTACCCCAGGACAGGGCAGTGATTTATTTTCTCCAGCTTTTACGGTGATTATTTCCGTATGCAGACTGGTGACATCTGAAAAAAGAAACAAAACGAAATGGTTAATAAACCCAACCGCTGCCATTATATCAAAACTCCAGACATTGCCGGAATTCAACCAAAATTAACGCTTTAATCCCGTTTTATGATACCAAACTCATTTTAACTTTACACATCTTACATCAAAGTCCATCTAGGAGTATTTTCCAGCTGCGCTTTTTCCTAGCAAAGCAAAACTCCGTTTTGCCTATTTCAAACTCTCTCCATCCAGCATCATCAAAATCCTTATTAATTTGCTTAAAAGTAAAAATCCATGTTTTATTCAAAGTTGGCGGATGACATGGGCGCATTTCAATCGAGTTTTCCGCCTAGTTTTTCATTAATCTTAGTTTTCCTTGGTCGACAGCACTTGGAATCTTGAGCAGAGAGAAAAATTTATCCCTTCGTTTCCTCGCCGGATTCTTGCTTTACAACTTTGCGCTCTTTTGTGCCAATTTAAAATAAAATATAAAAGAAAATTTAACACGTTCTTTATCATTTTAATTAGCTGTTGTGTGATAATTAAGCGAAAAAAGTATCGTTAATTACGAAGAAAGCGATAAATCTCGATTTTTCACTCCTTTGTAGTTGTAAAGAGGAGCTTTAGGGAATAGGGAGAAGTTGAATGTAAATTTAACGGAAAGCCTTAGGGAACTATTTCTGGCTTTATTAATGTTATATTTCAGATTCGTGTACATTTAAAAATACATTTGAAAATAAAGGACGAAAACTGTTATCTCATTTGAGGGCCAAAAAGACATGTGTATCCTCTGGAGATTTCAATTTTCCCGAATTTAAAATCCTCTTGCGAGGGTTGTTGCTTTTAGGTAAAACGTTTTAATATTAAATTATCAAACTTCGCTAAATTATGTTTTTTGTTCGGAAATCTTAAGATCTGCGTGGGTCGAGTCCGAAGATATTTATGCGGCAATTTAGAGCCCCATAGGGGCATCTAAGGGACCGTTCATTATGCCCATTAAATTGTGTAATAAACTGCCCCTTAAACTTTACTCTACTAGCACATCACAGGTACGAAATTAAGCCCTTTCCCAATACCCCACGAATTTCCATTTTATTCACAGCGAAGTTAAATGTCCGAGGGTTCGGCCGGAAATATTCCTTGAATGTTCTCTTTCGGGTATATTGACATATTTGGACATATTTTTGCCATTTGCAAATAAAAATGCCACAAATAAAACCATTTCGGCGAGCTAAAATAATTTCATAACCTTAAATAAATATGAATAAAGATTCAGGGGACGTGTCCTGAATGCGAACTGTCAACGATTGTAATTTAAAACAGAATGTTTATCCTCTAAGAAAATTTTATTAACACAAGTTTAAAAATCAAGAGGAAAAAGAAAATCGTGCAAAACTTTCTTTAAGCAAACTATTAATAAATTATGAGCATATTTTAAGTAAAACAGCAAATACAGTGCCTACCAATTAGCATAGGAAAAAATTTGTTATGAAAAATAGTCATTCCTCATGTTTAAAACATTGGATTTCCCCAAGTAAAAATAGACAAATTAAAGCCTAATTATGAAATTCAGGAAATCGTGAAAAAAAATTCATACAAAAATATATCTTTCATTATGTTGTATAAATAAAGGTTTCGAAAATAGTATATTAAAGAACTAATGTCATAAGACGTCATTTTGTCGCACGCGGACAATTTATAAAACGAGCGACGAAGGAGCGAGTGCGACAAAAGGTCTTATAACATAAGTTCTTTATGATATTAAATCTATTTTGCAAAAAATCTATAAAAAAATTAAGTTTATACCTTAAATTTTATTTGGTCGAATTTTACTTTAAATAGTTGGTATCACAGTCATTGGCTTGACAGTTGATGTCAAAATCGATTCGCCATGCCGTCCTTAATTTACTTATTTACAATAAACGGCTGTTAATGTTAAAGAAGAAAAAAAGGAATAACGGGAATTGTTAAATTTCGCGGGTTCGGAGAGTCCGGTTGTTATAAAATTTTCTTTATTATGTTGGTATACATGCCCCCGAAGTATGATAAAAACTTTAGTTGATTTCATTGTTTACTTTGTCTGTGGCAGCCGCTAAGGTTAGACGTGTAGCTCGGCGATTTTTCGTTCGTTAAAAGAAATGGATCAAGGAATTTGTATCCAATTTTGCTTAAAAAATAAAATAAATTCTTTGAAATGTTAACAAAGGCCCATAGTGAGTCTGCTATAAGTAAAACAAGAGTTTACAAGTGGTATAAGAGTTTCCAAGATGGCCGTGAAGACGTTGAAGATGACGAACGCCCCGAACGCACAAGCACATTAATAACCGATAAAAACATGGAAAAAGTGGTAGAAATGGTTATAATCCATTAGAGAAGTCGCTGATGATGTTGGTATATCGATTGGCTCATCCCATGGAATTTTTTCGAATGTTTTGAGTGTGAAACGCGTGGCAGCAAAATTTGTTCTAAAATTGTTAAATTTTGAACAAAATTTTTGGCCAAAAACAACACTGTAATGATGCCCCAGCCTCCATATTCGCCAGACATGCCTCTGTCTGACTTTTTCACATTCCCAAAAATAAAGAGAACCTTAAAGGGCCGCGTTTTGCAAGCATAGATGACATTAAAAGCGCATCGCTGAAATAACTAAAGGCTATCCCAAAGATCGAGTTTTAGAAGTGTTTCGAGTATTGGAAGAAGTGCTGGCACATGTGCATAATATCCAATGGGGACTATTTTGAAGGCAACAACATTAATGTAAACGAATAAATAAATATTTGTTTCAAAAAACGAAAATTCTCGATATTTTCTGAACACACCTCGTATTGCCAGAAAAGTCTCGTAAGTACTAGAAAAATCATAAAAATATTTTAACTAATATGTTAAAAAAGCCAAGAATAGCCAACCTATAAAATCAAAATTTGGGTGGGAAAAAGTATCTTATTACATCACCGAAAGCGGTGTTATAATGAAGTCATTATGAACGCAAAATAGATAAAACAAAAAAATAAATATTTAATGAAAAAAAAATTGAAAAAAAAGTCGGCCCACTCTAGAAATAGCTTCATTATTCTCTGAATCAATTTAGGTGTTTTTAAGAAAAAAAAAGAAAAACAATTCAAAATGTCGACTTTGAAAAGTTGTTGGATTTTCTAAAACAACTAAAATAGAATAGAATTTACATCAAAAAATTTTTTGTATTTTTTTAAGTACATTCAAAATCAAAAATTAAAAAAAACGTTTAATTTAGTCAATTTAAAAAAAAAATATGGTTGTTGCTTTGGGTGAAAAAATTCTGAGAAATATTTTTAGTGGGTAGAAAAATATGAAAAAATTTCAGCCAAAACGAAAGGGGACTTTAAAACAGTTTATCTTTATTAATAAAAGTAGGGTGTCAAAAATTACACAAAAACTTCTTATTACTTTTGGTCAAATTAAAATCAGAATTTTTTTTATTAGATAGATAGATAGATAGATACATTTATTAAGTAATAAACATTACATTAAATTATAGCTCCTTAACTGAAGAGTTCTTTTACAATTGGGTAAACCAAGCACCAAAAACTTTTTCTGGGGTTAACAAAATTATTTGCAAAGTAACTCATTTTTAATGCTCCTCAAAAAAATAATAATGATTTGGGAACCCTCTCAATCCTTTTGAGAAAAGTTCCAAATGATGATCAACCTTTTGAGCATAACTTAAAATAAATAATTTTACAAATAATTTTACCAAGCCCAGAAAAAGTTTTAGGCGCTTGGTTCCTTTTCGATAAGCGTTATCCAATTCAAAGAAAAAATGATCAAAATCAGATGAGGGGTTTGCGAACATTTTCTGGTGGTCCTTTTTTTGCTGGTGAGGGTGTAATATCAACCTATTGTAATTGGATTTGTTAAAGTTGTTAAAAAACATTTAAATGTTTTATGGTGTTTCACATTCGTGGTCCATAGAAGTGATGATATGATCTGATGATATGTATGGAATTTCCCAAACTGTCACGATTTGTGTCATAAAAATGAATATTTATTCTTGATATGGGAAAATTGTATGATCATGATGATATGTGAAAACTATTTAGGGAATAGAGTTATAGCTTAATTACTTATGTGTCTAGCGCAAGAAAGGTAAACTCTCGAGTGCTATAAATATTATTACGCCCAAACTAATCTAAAAGTGTGAAACCGTTTTGAAAGAAAACAAGAAAAAGTTGCGTTTCCAATTCTCGTATCGTTATTAAATGTTGACATTTAATTGTTTGATAAAGTGGTGTTCTGCCGGTGGAATTTTATGTGGTTCGATCTAAAATCAGAGCTTTTTTGAAGTAATGGCCCCTAGCAAGCAACAAAAGTTAAATTCTGTTTCAAATATTGTAAAATACGGAAAACAATAACGGGAAATTTATATGTTGAGCCATTTAGATGGAACCCCGTTGTAAAGTTTTTAAAGCCGATGTTGAATCAAAACTTGTTTTATATTTTATATGCACACTTAAAAACGCGAAAAAGTTTCCTTTTTCAATATAAAATAATTATATAGCTTAGAACTCATCGCTCAAAATAACTCTTATAAAAAGTTTGGAAATTACATTTTCACTGTCTACCCTCCTAATTATCCATTATATCCAATATATTATTTCCTCTATAGCTTTTTATTTACTCCATTATTTTTTATGGCCATTTCACCTCATTAAAATATTATAATATAAGTCATTTACTTAGGCTTTTATTGCCCATACAAATTTAAATAAAAGCCATTAAATGGACACAAAAACAAACAATTATTTTTATATGGAACCACACAATGTTTATTATGTCTTTTATTTAATAAAGCTTAGAAGTAGTATGTATAAATTGATTTACTGATTTAATATTTAGATATGTAAAATAAAAGTATTAACTTACAAAAGGGAATTAAGTTGAAACACACATAAAAACAAAAATATTAAATTATAGGGGATTTCTTAAAAGTCAGCTCAAGATAAAGGTTTTTAAATCATGAAATCCCCTTTTTAAAATTTAACTTTTTTAAATTAGAACCTGCTTCCTTCCCTGGCTAAGAAATTGATTCAGCCTAAATTGCAACAATTAACTTTTATGTATTTTAGCTCGGGCTGGATTTTCAGTTTTAATCAAAATATCAAGAACCAGAGAAATTTTAGGGTGGTATTATAAATTAATAAATACAAATCAATAATATAATATTTAAATTAAAACTTTAAATGTAATTCGTTTTATTAACATACAAATAACAATAGGTGTTTATTACTGAAAATATTGCAATATCGCAATTAATTTACTTTTATTGTTAATAAAAATTTTGAACGCTCGTTAAATAATCCAATTAAAATACTGTAAACAATTATATATATATATATATATATATACATTAGGGTGGCCAAAAAAAAAGAATATTTTTTTTACTTCTCTCTTATAAAAATATGTTAGTTTATCATGCTGTAAGAGCCCTGTCAAAATATCAGCCCAAATAAAAAAATTTTAGGAGTCGCTCAAGATTTTTTTAAAATTTTCAAAATCATCAAAAATTGAATTTTTTCATCAAAAATTGAATTTTTGTTTTATTTTAATTTTTTTTCTCGTCTCGATATTATTTTTTTGGTTGAAAATAATAAAAATTCTGTAAATTTTAAATCAATATTTTGATTTCTAAAGGTCGCTAAAAGTTCGTTGATATTTATATTGAGAGGTCGCTCAAAAACATTCAAAATACTCTACTTTGAAAGTTAAAAAAATCTTGAGCGACCTTTAGAAATCAAAATATCGTTATGACATTTTCAGAATCATTATTATTTTTAAATTAAAAAATAATATCGGAACGAGAAAAAAAATTAAAATAAAAAAAAATCCAATTTTTGACGATTTTGTAAATTTTAAATCTTGAGCGACCCCTAAAAATTTTTTAATGGAGCTGATCTTTTGACAGGGATCTTAAAACATTACAAACCAACATATTTTCACAAGAGACGAGAGAAAAAAAATATCTTACATTTCGCGACCTTATTGCGTCTACTAGAAATACGGTATTTAGCGAAAATATAGAAGAGTATATTGGCGTACTTTCTTTTGCTGATTCCAAAAATCTTGTCAGAATTTTTTTATCTTAAAAAATAAGATATACACTTTTTTCTTAAGTCACTACATTATCAACTCATTTTAATCTTGATATAATATTGCGTCACGTGTATATTTCATTTTAAATTTTATATGGCTTGTACATACTTTATTGCGTCCTACAGTGTTGCCAAATTATAAATATATAAAAATATATAAAAAATATATACAGTGTGTTTCATTTTGATAGGCGACAACTCGGTATTTATTTAAAAATGCATCAATTTAAAAGCTCTATCTTTTAAAGAAAACAATGTTCATATGCAATTTTCATGGCCCTGTATGATTAATAGAAATAAGGCATTTTTTAAAATTTTAAAGCAGATATTGTTTTTGAATTTGGCATACCCAAAAACCCCTAAAACGATAGTTTTGTATTAAAATTTTATACAGGATGGTAAAAAAAGGTCAAATTTGAAAAAAAAAATCTTTTTAAGCACTGAAACAATGTTTTATTTCTTTAGGTATTACACAAAATATACATTTTCTTAATTTTCTTACTCTAGCTTATACAGAGTGTTCACAAATTAAAGTCAAAAATTTTAAAAATAATGTTTTTTTAAAATAGTAATATTAATCTAATTAAAGACAAAATTTTAATTAATAAACTATTTAAAAGTGATCTTTTATGTACCAGTACATATTTGTGTAAAATTTATTTATTAATACAAAAAAAATAATATTTCTGTTTAATACCATTATTTTTTATAATTTTTTACTTTAATTTGTGAACACTCTGTATAAGCTAGCGTGATTAAACTAAGTGAATGTGTAGTTCGTGTATAACCTAAAATCTTGGCTAGCATTTATACAGAGTACTCTCTAAAAATGAATTAGTCAAAAATGACTAATAGCGAAAAAGCAGCCACTAATAATTCTCATCAATAGCAATTTCTATCCCGAACATTTAGCAGTCAATTTCTATGTAAAATTGTCCCCTGAATCCGAAAATGTCGTTATAAAAAGTTGAATAGTTTTTGAGATATAGTCAATTTTCTATGTATTATGGAATTGACTATATCTCAAAAACCGCTCAACTTTCATAATTTTTAACGGTATTTTTAGATTCAGGGGGGAATTTTACATAAGAATTGGCTATTAAATGTTGACGATACAATGGTTTCCCATGGTTAATCATGGTATAAGTGAAAAAGCAGCCACTAATAACTGTAGTAACTAGTTATTTTTGACTAATTCATTTTTAAAAAGTATATAAATGATTTTTTTCCATCCTGTATAATTTTTTTTAAATTATTGTTTTATATGCATAATTATAAATTGTTTTGTGAAGATATCAATTTAAGTTTTCCAAAATGCGAAACTGTATTAATTATATCGTCACCGTAAGTTATTGTTGTTATCTCGAACGTTTTGTATGGCAGCGCGGTAGTAAATGGTTAAGTAAATACAAATTCGCGTGGAAATCTGAAACGCGAAAGTTTCCTTGTTTGATAAGATATAATTAAAACACTTCTCCCTTTCCATTCTCCCTTATTCCTCCAAAGATAATCTATTCCACTTAATGGGTGTAGATTTATTTTGGCTAAATTTAAATATTATCTTTTTTTCAAGTCAAGTGTTGTTGCTAATGGATTTCAATAAGACGAGTTGTGTAAGAAGCTTTAAGTGAAGCACGGAAAACCTTCTTATATAAGAACTTACCAAAGTTGCGTCTTTCAGCAAATCCAGTGGTAAACGTAACCGTCAAAACCGAAAGAACCGTAAGAAAAGAGGTTAATAACGTCCACATTATGCACATTTGATCGTTAGGCCAGCACAAAGGTATATTAATTGATGATGACGGACGCACATTTTTTTCTTCACTTAAAAAACCGATGAATTTCAATGAAAATGAGTGTTTAGTGAGAAAAAATCGGCGGTATCGACGTGCCGAGCATTAGGCCGCGTGAGCAGAGAGTACGTTGTTTTCCAATATAACGGAGAACCGGCGGCCGCAATACGTTCATCGCGTACAAAGGACGGAAACTAAATCACATAGCCAGAGGCTTTACCGCCACACACCGCCCCCAACTTGGTCGTCTCCTTCTTGGAAGCGGCAAGCGTGCGCCATACCCAGCGCCGATACCGTACGCGCACCACCCCGAACATCAACATCCAGTTGCCACCGCCGCTTCCACCGCCGCCGCCGCACTGTGCTTTCTACACACCTAAAATACGACAAAATACAAAAAATACATTTCATACAGCGATTAGTCCTAACAACCTTTTAAAGTGCGCGCCACACCAAGATCTAAAAGAAGAAGAAGAAGAAAGTATGTTTTTTAATTATCTTTAAACTCCAACTTTGTACTTGAAAAAGGACAACGTTGGTGATATGTTAAACAAATATTAGAAATATTCCCCAACACCAAAGCAAAACACAAAGTGCTTAAAGTACTTTTCGCCAACGATTTTGGCATCTTCAGAAGCGAAAGTTGTCCTTTTTTAATATTCCCCATCACCAAAACAAAACACAGAGTGCTTAAAGTACTTTTCGCCAACGATGTTGGCATCTTCAGAAGCGAAGTGTAACTCAGTACTTTAAGCACTTTGTGTTTAATTTTGGTGATGGGGAATATTTCTAATATTTGTTTAAAATTTCACCAATGTTGTCCTTTTTTAATATTCCCCAACACCAAAGCAAAACACAAAGTGCTTAAAGTACTTTTCGCCAACGATGTTGGCATATTCAGAAGCGAAAGTTGTCCTTTTTTAATATTCCCCAACTCCAAAGCAAAACACAAAGTGCTTAGAGTACTTTTCGCCAACGATTTTGGCATCTTCAGAAGCGAAGTGTAACTGAGTTACACTTCGCTTCTGAAGATGACAACATCGTTGGCGAAAAGATCTTTAAGCACTTTGTGTTTTGTTTTGGTGATGGGGAATATTTCTAATATTTGTTTGACATTTCACCAATGTTGTTCTTTTTTAATATTCCTCAACACCAAAGTAAAACACAAAGTGCTTAAAGTACTTTTCGCCAACGATTTTGGCATATTCAGAAGCGAAAGTTGTCCTTTTTTAATATTCCCCAACACCAAAGCAAAACACAAAGTGCTTAAAGTACTTTTCGCCAACGATGTTGGCATCTTCAGAAGCGAAGTGTAACTCAGTTGGGGAATATTTGTTTAATATTTCACAAAAGTTGTCCTTTTTTAATATTCCCCAACACCAAAGCAAAACACAAAGTGCTTAAAGTACTTTTTGCCAACGATGTTGGCATCTTCAGAAGCAAAGTGTAACTCAGATTACAAATAAATAAAGCTGCGCTCTTATTGGCGGCATTAAAATTTAAATAACTCCTTCAATTTTGCGAACTCAAAAAAATGGTAAAATCGATTTGATTTGAAATTCCAAATCTATTTTGTCATACTTTTTAGGCCGTGCGAAGCACTGTGCGCTGCCGCCACTCCGCTGCTATCACCACGACACCGACACCCTTCTTCTTCGGTCGTCCTCCTCCTCGGATACCCCCAACGTTTCGCGCTCCACGCTCCACGCTCTCTCTCTCCAAAGAACTTATGCCATACCTAATCCATGCTTATGTAGCAAATTTATATAAGTGTTATACAATCTCTTATCCGTCTGCGTCCATAACACCACACACGCACGATCTCCTCCACTCCTCCTACTTCTTAAATCAACTCCAAATCATCCTCCAACCTGTGACATTATCCTCATTCATTAAACCCATCTGTTTTTTTACGTCTGAGATTTTCTTATTAGTAGTTTATTTAAAACTTGTTCTGCAATACATAACCAAACATTTGTTACCAAAAATCAAATATAAAACTTAATTCATAGAATTTTTAATGTTTTACACAATTTTGCGTCAAGAAGTCTAAATGAAGGGAGAGTAACTTGCTAGGTGGGTACACTTGATAAAGGACAACTCAATTACACTTCGCTTCTAAAGATGCAATTTGTGTTTTTGTTTTGTTTTTTTTGTTGGGATACGCCAAAAAACGTACGGATGCGCAAAATGCTTTTGCGCATTGGATGATAGATATGCGCGGTGAGCACTTGTAGTCTTACCTGCGCACGCAATTGTTTTAAGTAGATTGCTACAAGATCTTTCTCAAGAATTAACAATGTCGACATACAGGGTGAGTTTTAAGTTGACGCGTTCCTTTTAACAGTGTGTAGAAATCAGCTACACAAATAAATATTTTAAGTAACTTTTTTATCAAAACTCAAAAATAAAAAAGTTATAGCCCATCAAAAATAAGAGAGTTATAGGCCTTCCAAGTTTAATTAAGCCGATCCTGGCTATTGTTAACGAAAAACATAACTATAAAAATATCAAAATAAACAATGCAAAATGTCATATTTGACAACAAACATAACTATTTAAATCAAATTGACATTTTGCAATAAAAAATGTCATTATTTACTTAAGTTGCAGCATTTTCATTTTGACGACACTCTCCATAAATTAGTAACATTTCCACTAATTCATTATTGCTATAATTATGAACCATTTTTAAAAATAATTGAGGCACAAAAAACTGACATTTTTCATTGCTAAATGTCATTTTGATTTAAATGGTTATGTTTGTTGTCATAGGTGACATTTTGCATTGTTTATTTTGTTATTTTTATTTTTATGGTTATGTTTTTTGTTAACAATAGCCAGAACCAGCTCAAAATTTAATTAAACTTGGAAGGCCTATAACTCTCTTATTTTTGAGTTTTGATAAAAAAGTTACTTAAAATATTTATTTGTTTATCTGATTTCTACACGCTGTTAAAAGGAACGCGTAACTTAAAACTCACCCTGTATTTATATTTCCGGTATTTTAACTGCGAGTTGGTTTTAAAATGTTTCAATATGTTTTGTTATAAATTGATTTTATTGATGCAATAATACAAAATCCTTTACTCCATAATATCCCAATTGTTCTGAAAACTACAGAGCAATTCCTCTTGGATCTAAAGTTACAATGACCATTTGCATCACAATGTCCGCTCTAAATGGCAACAAAATCTTTTTGTCGTTTCAATTAAATACCATTTACCCTCGGAAGTTGTTCGTGTTTTCATTGAATCCGAAGAAATCTGTACAATTCTTAAATTTAATTCGTTTTTTGTTATCGGAATTATGTGAATTTAATAACAAAAAGCTGATCATAAAACAAAAGCTTACTCCTGATTATAATCTGGATCTGCATGGAATTTTTAATGCGTGATATAAAAGCCTTGCTTCGTGTTTGAAAGTGTTATTATGCAAATGAAAAAAATCTAAAATATTTTATTATTTTGTTAAGAGATTTAAAAAGGTAATTGCGCCGAAAGAAAATCCAGAAGATATTTTTCAAATGGTTGTAAATGTTTTATAAACTAAACTCAGTCAAAGTTATAAATGGAAAATATCGTCCGTTTTATCTTTTATGAGCTAGCTTAGGCAAACATGCTATAAATGTGAAAATATATATTACAGGATAAAAAGTTTCTTCTATGAAATATCAAGACAATACTAATATTGTTTTCACTGTACTTATGTCAAAAACCATCAAATTTATAGCAACCTTTTATTGACCCATATCTATAAAAAAAATCAACATGATTTGGCCTTTTCGATCTATTAGGACAAGATTTATTGTTAATATTTCATCGATATTCAACTTGTCAGCGTTAATTCACATGAAAAAAATTACCACCTAGGTTTTAATAAAATTATCGATTATTTGTCCAGGTGTATTTATTATAGGGTATATTAAAGACAGGTTATTTGCTAACATAATAAACCCTTGTAATGGAAAAATAAAAATGTATTCTCACAATGATTTCATACCTTCAAATTCTTACGCACGAGCGTCTTTGATTTTTAAGGGTTTTCAAGAGATTTTTTTTATTTAAATTACAAATATTTCCCTTTTATACTCTTTGTTTCACCCTCGCATTAATTCAAAAAATGTTCACTCTTCAAATTTATCAGCTCAATTACGGCTTCTTTGACCTTAATGTTACAGATCGTCTTCAATTTAGAATAATGATATTTTTTCTTTGAAATTATTAATAAAACAGGCCGAGAAAGCGCTTATATTATAGCCAAGCTCAGTTTTTTAATAACTAATAATGACTCCAACAATAATAATTTGGCATAACCCAGTTTAAACCTGACGATTAGCTAAAAGGAATTGCGGGTTAGTTTCATGGAAGAGAGATAGATGCACATATAAATAAAGTTAACATATTTTATAATTTGGAGTGTTTTTTTCTGGAAGCAAGATATTTATTAGAGTAACAAACATTTTCCGCACTTGCTCGTATTCCTTTGTTTCATAAGTCAGTTCTTCATACATTGCAATCTGGGTAAAACACGCCTTTAGATTTAATTCTCCTGGTAAGGGAGTTATTAATTTTATAGTATACACTGTTCCAACAAAGTCATTAATTATCCAATTCATTTTGTATTATACATTTAAAATATAGATATAGATAGAAAGAAACATGAATAGTTTAGAGTCAATAATCTTAATATTCATGGGGTTAAACGCTAAAACCGATTAAAATGTCGTTTGTTTCAATATTTAATTGACGTATTTCTCTTTTGTTGAAGGTCTATTTATTATGAAAACGATTAGTATCCATTTTTTAAAGAATTATTCATAGTATTTTTATGTACATTATTCAAATACTACAATTGAAATATTTTTTGAATTTTTCGACTCTAGAGACTCGAGGCCTCTTCATCTTTTCAAGACAAACGAACAAGCTGGGAGCTATTACCGGAGCACATCGTTAACATAAATCATTTTGATGCATTTTCTGCCACTCTAAGATTTGCTATAGTATTTTATTGATCTCTCTTTATATGATATACGACTACCACGTACAAGAAACAATATATGTAATACATAGCTATTTATGTTTAGACTCGACGATACAACAACAAATCGTTCCTTTTGAAACTTTTATTATTTTTATTCCAGATTACTTCCAATCAGGTGCCTTTGGTTTTAAACATTTTAACAACTTTATTACGCTATTTAGGATTTTTCTTTTATTTCTTGGTTATTAACAGTTGATAAATAATTAATTACTCCGGTCTAACGATGGTACTCATCAGTGCCTGGTAGCCATGCGATGTAGAAGTACACTTGAAACAAAATCGCGGTGGCGAGGTAAACGGCCAGTTATTAAAACTTGTTGGCTATTGTAATGAAGACAAATAAAAAAGTAAAGCGTTTATCTGACTTTATCAACAGGAAGTAAATGAGCGGAAGAGACTAATTAAATTATATTAGTAGTGTTGAGTGTTTTGTTAGCAAAATATTTATCCATTGGGGCAAATGTTTAGTTAATAGAGTGAACAATTCTTTTGCCGGAAGACTAAAACCATTATTAACAGTAAGTTGAATCCTTTTAAGAGTTTTATAATAATCCCACCTTTGGGAATGGAACTGTTTTCTGCTTTAATATATTCATAAAGGACTTTTGTGACATAACAACTTTAGGCGCGAGTTTATGCCATATTAATTTAATTAAATTGTGTACGATAATAATAAAAAAAAAAACAAATTGGGTTGTGCGATTCTTAATAAAAATGTGTAAATATTAAGCTGTGGTGAAAATATCGAGCATTGTTTATGTGAAACAATTAATAAATGGAAATGAAATGTCAGAGTTAGTAATTTTTCAAAGAAAAAATATGAGCAGAGGGATCGCAACGTAAGGGGAGGGGAAATGGAGAAGGGGAACGTTTGATGGTGTCAGTAGGTAGAATAGGTGTGTGCAAGAGCAAGAGGGAAGCATCAGCTCGGCTAAAAGGATTAGACTCGGTTGTGTGGCAGTTCGTTGTGGCGTGTTGCTAATATATTAGCCAGTTCAAGATGACATATTCTAGAGCTACCGTACGGGCATAAATATTGTTAAAAACTTAATTTATTGCCCTCTGAAAAATGGCGACAATTATGTTTTCACTTTGTTCATTTAAACAAAATACATTTATCTAACATACCTACCAAATAAACTCTCATAAACCACCCAACATTTAGTCCATGTTAATAACTTATTTTACACAGTGTGGCCCAACGAAAACGAAATTGGATCCCTAATCCAGCAATCCAGCTAGATCCAGCGCATTTTTCAGCCTGCTGGATCCAGCCCTGCTAATCCGCAAATAATTAACGTCCTACACCCCTTTCTACACCGCACTTTTCGCTCTCGCTTGATAAAGTTTCTTGCTAAGTAGTTTCTTCTTAGCACCGATGTGGCGAATTGACTAAATTTTAACAAAAAAAACCACAAAACTAATAATAATTATTATATAAAATAATAATAATCATATAATCTTTACATTAATTTTGTTCAAGCTTTTAAAGAAGTAATCAGTTTAATATTCTACAAATATTTAATTGTTCAGTAGGGTTTAAAAGAGGATATATATTTATTTTTTATTTTCTATAAATTCGTTCCTATTTTAGTTTTTTTTATAAAAATAAAAATAATAATAAAGTTTTTTGAGTATTAAAATTTTTTTATTTTTTTTTTAAATTAATAAATTATATATAATTATAAAAATTGATGTTGATCCAGAAAAAATCCAGCTGGATTGCAATCCCTAATAAGTATACTATTGGAAAAGGTTTGTGAAATAAAATTCAGTTTATGGTTTATAAAAAATATGTATTTACAAAATCTGATAATGTGATGAGTAAGGTAGAAACGTTTTAGCAAAATAAGTGTAAAATCGTATTAGCACTCTAGCACAAATCTCTTACGAACAAGATGAAATGAATCATGTTAAAAAGGGGTAAAACGCATTTATAACCAACTGTACTTAATAAGTGAGCAACAAACAAATTCAACCCCCTATATTGTCAGTAAACAACCCTTTTCAATGGAACAATTTGCTGTTTATTTATATATAATATCCTTATATTTCATTTAGCTTTGCCTAAACGTATTATAATTTACTTTACCCTTTTTTACGCAATATAACTAACAAATAACTTATTATTAAAATGTAAGTAATTTATAAATAACGACGATAAGTTAAGTAAACTAGAGATTTCTTTTAAGGTTTTTATTCCTTTTATTTTGCTTTCCACACAGTGTCTGGAATTGATCCGATCGCTGAAAAGAAATAAACCATTTCAGTGCGGTGTCCTGAAAAGTGAATGGGAACATTTGGAAAAGTCGATGTTAAAACATAAATCAAATGATTAAATTCATCGGATGTATTTTGAGAAATAACGGAAAATACTCCACAAATATACATAGCTTAAATAAAGTAATTTTTCCTATATATAAATATATACAGGGTGAGTCATGGGTCCGATTTTTTATTGTTTAAGGTTTTAAAAAATCTACCTAAAGTTCTAAATATTTAAATCGTAAATATGGCACTTCATTAAAAAATTAAAAAGACACCTGTCTTGAGCTTGAAAATATTTTAGTTAAAATATTGCTTAACAGTAGGAGATATCAAATAATAAAATGGTATTTTAGGAAATGGAAATCGATAATTCGGGTCGCGTAAAGAATACAGCAAAATACCTAGAGCAATCAAAGTAGAAATGCTTAGATAAAAGATAAAATACAAGGAACAGCAAGAAATAAATGAAATAGGTAGACAGGGACCATAAAAACTGAGAGCTTCGGTAATAGTTTGGCCATAGCCCCTCGATACTTACGTCTCTAATATATAAAGTTAGCCTCTACACAAGATGCACTCCATAAATGAAACACCTGAATTCGAGCCTGTGCACTCGCAGTCCATGCAACTTTTTGGCTCCGCAGATTTCGCCACTCGTCTCGAGAACACCGTGGATAATCGCTTCGAGTACTTTTTATCCAAATATTTACTAGTAAATATTGATCCTGCAAAAAAACATTTTTTTATTTTTAAAACTTCGACTTTTTGTCAATATTAGAAAATTAACCCCGGCGCATCCGCCTTTTTTGCAACTAATAATTTTATTTGTTATATTGATTTAATTTTAATATTTTTAATAAATCCTCAATAAAGTAAAAATTGAAAACCCAACAAGTTTATTCAAAAAAGGTTTATTAATCAATTCCGTGCGATAAAGTGTCCATATAAATGTCATTGAGACGGTTTTGATCCTTTTTTAGGAGCCGTTAACCTTCTTAGGATACGTTATTGCATAAAATACGGCCATGTCAACGGCATTATTGTATTTGATCATTTTTGATAAATTAAAATCGTTTTTTATTTCTTGCCGTCGTAGTTTGGAATTTCAAACAATTCAGAAACCTTAAGCCACGTATCGAAAATAGAATAGAATACTGAAAAATTGCGAAATGAATATTAAAATAAAATCTAACTGGATATTGGACTGTCAGTAATACTTTACGATAAATAGCAGTGGAGCAAATAAAACAGACAACGCGGATAAAATAAAACGTTTATTTAACATACCGTTCATTTCCAGAGCCAGTGGAGTACAAATGCCCAAAGCCGATTTCGGCAAATTAGTGTCTTTTCTCAATGCAGTGTCACCCTCAGATCTCACGTCTCTCTTTGAATAGGCAAAAGTACTATCAATTCCTGTAATAAGAAAAAACAAAATAAGCACAAACAAAAAACTTTATTTAGCTTTGTGAAATGTTAATCTTGGAATGGTTTAGAACCTCTTCAGATTTGGTAATTACTGAAAAACAACTGAATCTTGAAAATGGAAGAATAATAACAGGAAAACTGTTTAGAAGATGACATCGTGAAAACAAATTGTGAAAAAACAACTTTAGCTAAGTCGCAACTTGGGTTTTAAGTGTGGACCAAGTCTGGACAATACAGTCGATGGAAAAGCAATTTATAGCCCGTTGTAGTGATTCTTTAAATGTGTTTTTTCATGATATTATTCTTCCATTTTCAAGATGGTTGATTATTCCAGAAATGGAATCTGGAAAATGGAAGAACAATAACAGGAAAACGTTATGCCAACTTTTTGTACTGTTTAGAAGATGACACCGTGAAAACAAATTGTGAAAAAACACTTTTAGCTAAGTCACAACTTGGGGTTTAAGTGTGGACCAAGTCTGGACAATACAGTCGATAGAAAAGCAATTTATAGCTCATTGTAGTGAATATGCAAATGTGTTTTTTCATGATTTCATCGCATAATATTTTCCTGATATTATTCTTCCATTTTCAAGACGGTTGATTATTCCAGAAATGGAATCTTGAAAATGGAAGATCAATAACAGGAAAACGTTATGCCAACTTTTTAGACTGTTTAGTAGATGACACCGTGAAAACAAATTGTGAAAAAACACTTTTAGCTAAGTCGCAACTTGGGGTTTAAGTGTGGACCAAGTCTGGACAATACAGTCGATGGAAAAGCAATGTATAGCTCATTGTAGTGAATATGCAAATGTGTTTTTTCATGATTTCATCGCATAATATTTTCCTGATATTTTTCTTCCATTTTCAAGACGGTTGATTATTCCAGAAATGGAATCTTGAAAATGGAAGATCAATAACAGGAAAACGCTATGCCAACTTTTTAGACTGTTTATAAGATGACATCGTGAAAACACATTGTGAAAAAACACTTTTAGCTAAGTCGCAACTTGGAGTTTAAGTGTGGACCAAGTCTGGACAATACAGTCGATGGAAAAGCAATTTATAGCCCATTGTAGTGATTCTTTAAATGTGTTTTTTCATGATTTCATCGCCCAAACAGTTGGCATAATATTTTCCTGTGATTGTTCTTCCATTTTCAAGATGGTGGATTATTCCAGAAATTGAAAAACAATAACAGGGAAACATTATGCCAACTTATTGGACTGTTTAGGAGATGAAATCGTGAAAAAAACACATTTGGCCAACCAGCTTCCAATAAGTCGCAACTTGGGATTCAAGTTTGGACCAAGTCTGGATGGAAAAACAATTCATAGCCCATTGTGGTGATTCTTTAAATGTGTTTTTATATTAATTTATTTCATCGCCTAAAGAGTCCTATAAGTTGTCATAGTATTTTGCTGTTATTGTTCTTCCATTTTTAAGATATAATATAATTCCAGAAAAAATATTATGCCAACTTATGGATCTTATGAGATGATATCATGTGTTTTTGCACATTACAACTCGATAGAAATTTCATTTGGCAGTGTATTTTTTTAGTTGTAGTCGGGCCACCCTTGATAAGTAAATGTGTTAGAGTAAAAATGAAGTTCGCCATAGTTACCGAAAACTTTGTTATCCTTATCCTTTTTCTGAGAAAACTCGGCATGCATAATAATGTGCAACGAGACGGAGGACTCGAATAGTTGGTAGTGGACTGTTGAATAGTCATCCTGGAACATAAATATTTTAGTGGATTCTTGAATGAAAGTTTTATGCATTGTATTACCATCATTTTACTTTCGTCGCATTTGCTGCAAGGTATGAGTATGAAAGATTTAGATGCTCCAGGACGGAGGACGAGGTCGCGGGCGTAGAGGAGAGCCTCGAACACATCCTGATTACCGTTGCCGACGGGAATATTTTCGAAATATTTCCCGAAGTTTTTGTGATCGCTGAACATTTTGCCATTAACCGCCACACTCCTGGGCTGATCGTAGACACCTTTGCCGCCAAAAACGACCAGAGAATATCTGTTGTTGGTGATGTTGTTCTCGTTGAGCTCCTTGTCGAGCGACTCTATGATCGTGTCGATATTTTTCGTCCTTTTAATGTTGTTGTTGCATTGCTTAGCCTCGACTATAAACACGATGTCCGCGCTTCTTTCCATTTGGTCGGGGCCCAAACGGACCGTTCTACCCTCCTTTATTTGCGTGCCATTAAAAAGATCGCATCTGCAAAAATAATTATGTTGCTAAACGTTGCCTTCTCAGGCATTAAAACACCTTAATTTGTTTCTTTCGAGCTTGTTCATGCAATAAATTCGAATTCCCGTCCGAAATATAAAAAGAACTTATCTTGTTGTTTTGGTTAACATTTAAAACAATTAAATTATTTACGTTTATCCGCAAATACCGCAAGAAACGGCGATATCTACCCGAGCGGAAAACGAATTATTTTATGGGAGCAAAAACTTCCAACACAAGCAGGGAGATGATAATCTGACTGAACAATGCTTGCTTGCATTGTAGTTAATTTATTTAATATAATGATGTTGTAATGAAGAAAACACTGTCGGCCAGGTACATTGCGCTTTAAGGCAATAATGTTGTATTTCAACCAAGTGTCCAGTATTCCTAAGAGATGCATTAGTACAAGCTTTAGCTTAAAAGGCACTTAATTATAACAAGCCACAAGCACTAATTATAAAAATATTGTTTCATTATACCAACACAGAGAATTGAAGTTTTAATTCTCATACAATGTGGCAATAAAACTAAAACACAACAAGAAGTTTAAAATTTATTTAATCTAGCTCGACCTATTACTCGTGCTACGGTGAGTAAAATTTAACGGAAATTCAGAGAGATTGGACCTGTCAAAGATATTCCAAAACCTAGCCGTACGAGTATTAGTGAGGACACTAAAATTGACATTTTGTTTCGTGTGGAAGAAGATCTTCACAGTGCTTCTAGCCTAGTCGCAGCTGAAAGTCAAGTCAGCCATTACGTTTTATGAAGAAAGAAAAGTACCATCCATACAAAATTAGACTAGTGCAGGAACTTAACGAAGATGATCCAGACCGTAGACTACAATTTTGTGAAACTATGATGAATTTATGTAACAATTATCTCCACTTCCTCGTAAAATACTTTTTTCGGAAGAAGCTACCTTCTGTTTGAATAGTACAGCCAACCGTCAAAATTGTAGATACTGGAGCAGAGAAAATCCTCATTGGGTAGTAGAGGCAAATTCCCAATACAGGCAAAAAGTGAATGTCTGCGCAGGAATGGTGGAAAATCGGGTCATAGGTCCTTTCTTCTTTGACGAGAATATGACAGGACGAATGTATTTGGAATTTTGCAAAACTCTTTTCTTCCCACATTACCAGAAATGTTTCCCAATGAGAATAAAGGTTCAGATCTACCAAGTGATCTACCAGATCTCACCCGTCTTGATTTTTTCTTATGGGGCTACCTTAAATCAAAGGTCTACATTAGCAGACCACAAAATTTAGAAGACTTGAGAAAACAAATTCGTGAAGAATGTCGGTTTATTAGTGCGTAAGTCATCCAAAACGTTCTCAGAGAATTTTCGGATAGGCTTGCTTACTGTCAAGAAACCAACGGGGAGCAATTCGAACATTTCATTGGTTGCTGTATCCATTAAAAGCATTTTCAAAATAATTTTCATGAATATAAAATTTTGTTCGACTTACCTTACGCATGTGTCAGGTATTCTTAAAGGTACGTCTTGAAAGCCGCATACTTCGATGTAAGCCACCGCTGAAGAGCAGGCCTCTGTTTCACTAGTGCTCTCTAGGCACATGTTCCAGAAAGGATCCACTGGTATTTTGGAGAAGCAGTTCTCCAAATCGGACTGCTTGCTTTGGAAAAAACTCTCGCACAAAGGTTTGAACATCGGGTCGATAATTTTTTTCGTCGGTTGATGTGCGGTGCGGCAGTTTTGATTGGCCGTCCAGCTTTGCGCGAATGTGTTTATTTGATTGTCTTTGGCTTTTGTTTGGTTCGATTGAAGTAGATCGTCGGACGGTTCATTATTCAACGTTCCCAAAAGGCCTGCGGTTTTTCCGAAATACCAGCCTGTGGGACAGGAATAAAACAAATGAATTTTAGTTCGGCGCGAATATTAAACGTTATCTGTCTTAAATTATCAATACCCACCGGACAATTGAAGTGTGCAAATATGGAATTTCATGTTGCATTTGAGTACAAAACCCAAAGGACTTTCGACGGTTAAAATGTCCGCCTCTCGGTATACATATGCATGGCCAATATCTGCTGGTAAATGATCTGCCATTCCGGAATTGCCAATACGAACGGTCTGAAAAAAATCCATTATTTAACGCACTTTTTTACACACAACACAATGGAATATCGATTTTGTTTACTATGCAAAAACATTTTCGATTGTGTTGGTGACACAAAAAAAACAAGCATGAGATTAAAACCATCGAGATATAGCTGAATGAAATAATAGAGGCAGTTGATGACAATTAAGAAAATATTGACACAAGAAAACAATGGAAATATTGTCGAGCTGTTTCCCCGCGAAAATACCGAATCTGCAATTTTGCTCGCCCCTGAGGCGTACAGATAAAATAGCAATTTTCAATTACTATGTGCCAAACGAAATTTATTAACAGGATTTATTGTACCTATTTGTACGTTTTCACTAACAAGTTAACAAGCGAAACTCTAATTGCGATTTTTTTAATAATAAACCGCCACCGGGCCAAATTAACTAATATCGTTTGGTTGATTTGACAATATTACGTTCGTCCGCCAAAACAGCTCCATCCAATATAACGATGTTGATTATGCCGTAGATTTATTAAAGCAAAAACGGTTTTAATGCGATAAAAAAATCATTGCAATGACTTTTCATGGCTATTGCCACATATTCGAATCGTAAAAACGAAATGCAAAAATGCAACTCGATCAACTAAATTAGCTTTTTGGTTTAATGTTTAACACTATGTATCTACATTATTACATTTACAAATATGCCGGGTGTCCAAATTTATTTATTCTTAAACTATCTAATAAGATCAAGATTACGCTGCCTAGTCTGCGTGGCCAGCGTTTAATCTTACGCATCATATGCGCGCGCGGAATTGTGCTAGCGGGCCCGACAGACGTTGTCTTGCCGAAGCTAAATGAGTATGAGTATAGGAACGTATTGCAGGCCCCATCGGCAACGCCTTATACTGATCTTCCAGGGTTATTTTACCCTCTTTCGGTTCTCCTAGGTATATTCCGAATTTTTACCCCGACAGGTGGATCACATTCTCGATTGTCCTCCGGGAATTTTGTCGCCGGGCCGGGACGTACGCCCGATTTAGGCTGGTGAAGAGTGGGACTAAGAGGGAAAACATTTTGGTTTTTGCGGGACATTGAACTGACCCAAAACTAAGTACAATCCGAAGTCCCCCTCAACCAGGTATTTAGTAATAACCCCATTTAATTTAACTTCATGAATGGGGCTTGGGTGATTAGTACTTAGTTAGGAGTCGAAACTAAATTTTGTGAAAAAGTTATTGCAATATTTTATATTTATTATATTATTGGACCTATTTTTTCTTGTATTTTTATTTACTTCAAAAATATAACAGTACGTTATTCGAATTAAAAGGAATATGGGGATGAAAAAAGAAAAGCATTACTTACATCATCGAATACATTAATATAAAGAACAGTTTTATTGACAATAAGCAAAAACTCGTTCGTATTCTGGGTGACGTCGTAGGACGCGAGTAAAGTGAAATTTCCATCTCTTAAATCTGTCGCTAAAAGATACGTACACCCTCCCTGAAAATCGTAATATTTTCTGTCAAAAGTGACGTAATGTTTGTTTCCAATAAGCATGGCCTGTCCTGAAATGAAACAAAAATATTCATATAATGCCTTTTGAATACAAAATCATACGTTTACATGATCCGCAGAACTTTTAGAATCAAACAACTTTGTTCAACTTTTATTTTTTTTTGCTTTCAACAAAACGAGAACATCCGTTCTATAATTTAGATGACTCGACAAATTTTAAAATAATGGACTATAAATCTTCGCAAATGTGCAGCAGGGTATACTTGACCCTATATAAAAATAATCTTTATTGTCCATAATTTATTTCGCATATATAAAGGGTGTCTCAAAAGTCGCGCACCACCTTGATCTTCAATATTTACGCATTGAGTTTTAAAACTAAATAATGTTTTATCCTATAAGAAATTTATTTTAGAATTTTTAATTGAATAACTCGCCCTTTACTTCGCTCCCCTGCTCATTGCCCTCATTAGTGTCGGGCAGCCATGGGGTGTGGATACACTGTCACGACGCTATAAAGCAATCAAATACAGCGACAGCTCCATCTGCCGTCAGTATGTTTCGAAGTATGCTCCACACCGAATGCCCGGCACTGATGAGGTCCAAAAGACCGAAACAGGCTGATATAATAATGAAAGGATTGTTTTAACAATTTTTTGGAAATCCTGGTACTCACCTTTATATAATAAACCAAGTATATTATTTAAATATTGCGCAAAAAATCACCTACCTTTAAACGGGGGCATCCAGTCACTAGGGTCCGTGTATTGACGGTAATTGTTATAGAAGTTCCAGAATGACAGTTCACTAACCGAGAAATAGTCCTTTAACGCGTATAAGGCCTTTATTTCTGGGATTTCCTGAAAAATTGTCATAATTAGAGAAAAAAAGCTCCTAAGACGGCAAAATAGGAACGAAAAAGTCTAAAAAGACAATATTAAAAAATAAACATATTTACTTTAATATACATTAAAAATGCTTTGTTGTGTCTACACAATAAAGCCCGCTAACGAGAACGGGAACGGGAACCATAACGGTTAAGGTGGGAGAGACTAAGGAAACACTATCGATCAACAGTGGTTACTTGGTCTTCCCCACCTTTACTGTTCAGGTTCCCGTTCAGACCAGAGTGTTGCAATTTATCTTACCTAGTATATAAAATGTGCTAAACCAAAACTAATAAAATTACTTTAAGAAAAAGTTCATAAAAAATAAACAACCACAAACTTTTTGTTTGACCAGACTTGAAAACGGAGATGTGTGGAAACCCTAATCAATTATTTAGGTAAGGTTTTAAAAATAAAGCTACATCAAGCATTTTCTATTGGATTAGTGGTGTTGCTGGGAAGTGGGTTTTGGATTTAAAACAATAAGCACTTACTTGATACTTGGGCGTTTCGTTAAACGCATGCCAAGACATGGGTAGTTTTTGTTCCAGCAGCATGACGCCATCATTGGGTTCAAATATGAATTTGGTTTTAGGTTTGCGCTGCCTGAAACATATAATAATTAATTCGATATTCAAAAGCGTTTTGCCGTATATGAGCTTCGTGTTCGGCTGGAGATCTTTATGGAAATTTAAACGCGCAAAATATTGAAAACAGGTCGGTTTTTCATTTTTAAGCGCCGTTTGAATTTCCATAAAGAATATCCAACAATAGGATCGAAGACCCAAATGACAGACCACTGGCTACTTTATTCACCTATGCGAAATAAAAAGCGGTCGTATTTCTTGGACATAATTTCGTGGAAAATTTTGACAGTTTAAAGCCGGGTGAAATAAATTTGCCGATTGTGTGTGGATGACCCAACTTTAATCGTTTAGGGGAGAAAGAATAAGAATGGGGAACACTTACTTATTATCAGTTTCCAGAGCTGTTGGGGTGTTATCAGTCAGTTTGAAATAAACGGTAGTAAAAACTTTGTGCAAGTTGCTTTCTATCACGAAATATTCGTAGTAGTATCTCACAAATTCGTATGACTCGTTCCATTTGCTGGTAAGGTATTTAACAGCCGGTATATTTTGTAATTCAGCGACTTCCCAGATTATTTCGCTAATGACTGCCTTCACCTCTTTCGCGAACGGCACATTGTTAAGGTACTTTTCCTTCAAAAAGTTCCACGCTATTTTCGTGTACTTGTAAATACTTGATATTGTGTTGTTTCCGGTTATATCGCGGTAGAACTTATCAACGTCCTGAGTGAAATTCGAGAGCTTCGCGAAATACGGATTCCCAATGATTTCAGTTTTGCGGATGTAGAGAAAATCTGTAATATAATTACCTTAATTAACAAAAAAAGAAATTGCCTAATTAGACGCTTTTATTAATAAAAACATGTTTGCCTTTTTAAAAACAACAACGTTGACCGTACATTAGATCAAAGATGTGGAAAGGTTCATTTTGTTTTTTCTTGCCACTTTTTAATTCAAGTCACCTTTTTGTTTCAAGTAATTAAGGTAAAAAGTTAAATAAACTCAAAGTCTATGGCAATCTGTTTTTTTCATTTTGCAGCATATTTTTTGAATAATTTCATTTTTTTCATGTTGGTTTTATAATATTTTTTACAAGCAATTTAGCACGCCATATGAAAGTATAAAAAATTATTAAATATTTTTTTTAGAACTCTTTATCTTTTGTTTTTATCTTATTAATTTAATTAATGGACATGGAAATCACTATCCCACTTCTGATGTAAACATTAATGTATTATTCCCTTAACAAAACCCAAAGTAAAAAGACTGATTCCGTCCTGTCTTTACATTTTTTATTCTAACTTACCTATTTTTCAAACATTTTTACAAAAAAAGGTAACATTCACTCTAGCAAAATTTGGACATAAGAGAAGGAGACAAATTTGGCTCTTAACTCTTAACTCTTTCACCTAGATACTTTTTCCCAGTGTTCCAAACAATAACTTTCCATTATTTTTTACAAAATAAATCACTCCAGAAAATCTCATACATACGTGTAGAGACAGATTTGGTTGGTGGCTGTGGAATTGCTTTTGCATCTAAACCATAACCACTTATATTATTATTTTTAACCCTAGATACTAACGCTTTGTCTTTTGTTTTTAATTTATTAATTTAATTAATGGACATGGGAATCACTATCCCACTTCTGATGTAAACATTAATGTATTATTCCCTTAATAAAACTAAAAGTAGGGAGACTGTGTTCGCTCTGACTTTCCAATTTTTATTGTAACTTACCTATTTTTTACAAACAATTTAAACAGGGTGTCACGAACTTCATAGCACGTCCTTTGAAAGTTATTTCAAGTATAAAAAATAACTAAACTTTTTTTTTTAGATACTCACTCCTTATCTTTTGTTCCTATCTTATTAATTTAATTAATGGACATGGAAATCACTATCCCACTTCTAATGTAAACATTAATGTATTATTCCCTTAATAAAACTAAAAGTATGGATACTGTTCGCCCTGTCTTTCCAATTTTTAACTTAACCCACCTATTTTTTTACAAATTTTAATAAAAAAGGTAACATTCACTCTAGCAAAACTTGGACATAAGAGAAGGAGACAAATTTGGCTCTTAACTCTTAACTCTTTCACTTAGATACTTTTTCCCGGTGTTCCAAACAATAATTTTCCATTATTTTTTACCAAATAAGTCACACAAGAAAATCTCATACATACGTGTAGAGACAGATTTGGTTGGTGGCTGTGGAATTGCTTTTGCATCTAAACCATCATTACTTATATTGTTATTTTTAACCCTAGATAATCACTCTTTGTCTTTGGTTTTTAATTTATTAATTTAATTAATTGACATGGGAATCACTATCCCACTTCTGATGTAAACATTAATGTTTTATTCCCTTGATAAAACTAAAAGTAGTGAGACTGCGTTCGCCCTGACTTTCCAATTTTTATTGTAACTTAATTATTTTTTACAACCAATTTATACAGTGTGTAAGGAACTCCATAGCACCTCATATGAAAGTTATTTCAAGTATAAAAAATAAAAAACTTTTTTTTAGATACTCACTCTTTATCTTTTGTTTCTATCTTATTAATTTAATTAATGGACATGGAATTCACTATCCCACTTCTGATGTAAACATTAATGTAATATTCCCTTAATAAAACAAAAAAGTGTATTTCTACATAACTCTAACTTACCTAGGAACTCTTTTCCGGTGCTCCAAACAATGGATTCCAAGTAGTGTATGATTTTCAAGAAGGTGGGTTCCAAGTCCCGTAAAAATTTGTGCCAGTGGTTAACAATGAGCAAGTACGTTTGCGACCAAATTTTCTCCATGTACTGTATTACAGCGACATGCATACTTTTGATGTACTCGTCATATTTTTCGACGAGTGTTTTGAGCAGATTCGTTAAATGTTCTATCGGATCGCCGTAAATGAGTTTCTTTACAAAGTCTGCAGTCTCGGTGTAGTATGTTTTTAGCTTAAATATAATAATTAGTTATTTAAAGGATTGCCTTTGAAAATTTATAAAGCAATGCTGCTGCTTTTGATGTAAACTTTTCGGTTTAATTTGTTATAAGGTATTAAGTTTTCCATTCATTATTTTAGGTATTTAGTGTAAGAGTGATACCTTTTCGACGGCCCATTTGATGGTCTTGTTGATTTTCTCGGCTGATGAGCCCATCACTTCCCATATTTCTTGCACGATTTTCGGCAAGGAGGAAAGTCGCGACTTGAGAGATTCATCGAATATTGTATTAACAACTGTTGCGATGTCTTTTATGTAAAACTCATTCTTTTGATAGGACTCATTTAAAAACTTTTTGAATTCCTCGAAATCATCCGCAATTACAGTCAGATTCCTAAACAAAAGTAAAGAAAAAGTTTTAATGTGAATTTTATTCAGGAGGAATTAGCAGTTAAAGAGAAAAGTTGTAGAACATATTTTTATCGCTTAGCTGGAGAAAAGGCCGAGCATTTAGTATAAGTTTTTCCCGGCTAAGCAATCTTATTAAAAATAATGAAATATTTACTTGACTCCCGAGTGCAAATCGATAAATATTTCAGTTCAAACAAGCACCCCGGAATAAAGGTTGTCTTTATTTTTCGACACGTTCGACTTTTTTCATTAAAACTAGCCTCGAGTTCTACTTTCAAATCACCCTTTTCCTATCAACCTAATACCATAAAGTCATTTTACCAATATTTTTATCAATTTCAAAAACTATATTTAAATTAGCTTAATTTTTAGCACACAGAATATTACCACGAACATTTTTACTCCCTTGAGTTCACTTCATTGATACAGAGTGACTTTTTTCTCGTTTTGGATTTCTGCTTTATTTTTTACTATTATTTACTCTCAGTAGGTCACTTATGTTTTTATAGGAGAGAATGAAATAATTCTACAAACTGTTAAAATTCTTATATTTAAAGTAGAAATAAAACTCTCTCAGAAGTGTCTAAAAATTTCATAAAAATCTGACAACCTAACACTGCCATTTTAAGAGCTGGGAAAACAGACTCCTAACACCAATTTGGCTACTCTGTAGATTCTTGAAAAAAGGACAACTTTGGTGATAGGTTAAACAAATATTAGAAATATGCACCAACACCAAAACAAAACGCAAAAGTACTTTAATTGGGGAATATTTCTAATATTTGTTTTACTCTATAGATGTCGCTCGTGACAAATAAAATTTGTTACATAAACTTAAGGAAAAAATTAAAGGATACTGGCGATTCTCTTTAAAATTCCATTTGAACTCTTCAGAACTCCCTCGTATATTGTAGTATATTTATTTATATTTATGTTTTCATAACTAGTACATTTTTTGCTAATATAATATGAACAAAAAAAAAATCAAGAAACTTTAAGTGCGTTTTATCGCATTATAGTCAGTTTAATTTCTGTATTTAACGGTGCCGGTTAGAAACAATTATTAGTTATCAATATGGTTCGACGATTTTTAAACCAAATGAAAGCAAGCAGGGCAGTTGGTATGCTTTCAGCTGGTGTCCGACAGGTAGATGTGGCTGGTCATTTTGGAGTGTCGCAAAGTGTTATTAGTCGACTTCAAACTCGTTTTAATGAGACTAATTCTGTAGTCAGACGTAGGGGACAGGGAAGAAGAAGAATTACTACCGCAAGAGAAGATCGTTTTTTAACTATTAATGCGAGAAGACATCCCACAACTCCTTCCACAAGTCTGAGAAATCAACTTCGTGCATTTACTGGACGGAATATTACGGCCAGAACAGTTCGAAATCGCTTACATGAAGTTGGTTTAGCTTCTAGAAGGCTTATGCGTGGAGTTCCTTTGCAGCCACATCACAAGCAGCAACGACTAGAATGGGCTCGTCTTCACATAAATTGGGGTCCTGAATGGAACTCAACTTTTTTTACCGATGAGAGTAGAATTGGTATTCATAATGACTCTAGACGTATTCGAATTTGGAGAACTCGAAGAACTCCCCGCCATTGCGCTGCTGTTCAAGAAATACATCCTTTCGGAGGAGGGTCAGTTATGATCTGGGCTGGTCTAAGCTATGGAAGACGTACGCCACTGTACATTGTTGAGGGTAATATGACTGCAAACCTATACCGTGAGGATATTATAAATGGTATAATTGAGCCACTAGCGATTGAACTTGGAGATAGGTTTATTTTTGTGGATGACAATGCACGTCCACATAGGGGAAGAGTGGTACTTCAAGCTATAGAGGATGCCCAAATTCATCACTTGCCATTACCACCCTTATCACCGGACCTCAATCCTATCGAGCATGCTTGGTCGATGTTGAAAAGGGCCCTTGAAACGCATCAACCACCTCCTACAACTTTAAACGAATTGAAGGAAGTTTTACCGGATTTGTGGAACAATTTACCTCAAGAACATTTAGATAATCTTGTATTAAGTATGCCTCGTCGATGTAGAGCCGTTTTGGAAGCAAGGGGCGGACATACAAGATATTAATAGAAAATAATATGTTTCATATTTCGTATCATTAAAAAATTTTTGTTACTATACTGTTGTTTCATTTAATTCACAATATAAAAGCAATTATTCTTATTCACAATTGATAGATTTATTGGAGTTATAGCGAAAATAGCTTAAATTATTGGTTTTTTCATTAAAACTTTTAATATCCTTTAATTTTTTCCTTAAGTTTAATACACAATCCATGTGTGGATTGTGACATAATATACAATTTATTTATTTAAATATGAAAAATTGATATGTAAACTTTCATTTTGGTTAAGCACCCTATGTATATATGTATGGTAACGAACAAATTTTAATATGGCATTATGATTATATTTACCTTAAATCCTCTAGAAAATTATTAACGAGAGGTTTTGCATCTAACCAAATATCGTGGAGCGCATCTAAACTTTGCGCAATAACATATTGTTGAGTTTCATTAATAGACTTTAGAGAATCGTTGTAAAACACTCCAAAGCTGTTTCTTATTCCATTCTAAAACATTCAACAATCAGTTCGAGCTCTCTACAGCATAGAAGGGATTTAGTACTTTGGAAATAAATGATTGTTGTTTGGATGTGCGAGAAGGATTAATTAGTAATGATAAATGAATTGATTGATGGATACCTGTACGTCGGAGACAGCTTCCTTCCTCCATAACAAACTGGACGTAATTAATCTCGAGTGATTCAGTCGTAGGTAGTAAGATAGGTCCGACACTCTGATATCCTCGTATTTGCGCCAAATGTCAAATATCGCGCTCCGGGCGTCCGGGATTAGACCGTGCACATGCAGGCTCTGCGACCCGTCTGCGAACAATAAAATCGTAACTTGTTATTTATATAATTTATATATATAATTATATAATCACAACCAATCTTATATGGAAATACGAGAAACAGTATTTAAAAAAAATTAATTAAAAATAAAAAGCACATTATCCTAACCAATTTCATTACAAAAAAATAACAAAAAATGTGAATTTTTCTGAAAATAAACTTCACAGTAAACTAGAATTAAAGAAGAAATAATGGGTTTTTGTTAATTAAATATTCAGTATTGCCACCTTAAACAGAAACCTATTATTTTTTATAAATTCTAATTTATTGTAAAGTTTCTAGAAAATTTGTTTTTATACATTTTTCTATATTTTCTATATACAGGGTGTCCCATAATTAGCGTGCAATACTTTAACAGCAGATTCTACGTACAAAAATAAGAAAAAAAGTTCCTATAAACATAGGCCGAGAAATGCTTTCTAAGGGAACTACAGCCCCTAAATGAGGAGCCCCTGAAGATGGTTTTTATTTAATATATCCAAAACCGTTCAAGGTAGAAAAGTAAAATTTTGGGAATTAATCAAACTTTTTATGGCCAATAAGATGTAATATTAACAATTCAAAATTTCCATGAATTACCTTACATAGCATAAAAGATCATAATGAATTCACAAGAGACAAAAATTCAGAGTAAACCATGGAACACAGCTGCCATCTTTAGGAAAAATTATTTAAGAGAGGTGACAGTTTCATGTAATATGTGACAGGGTGTTTAAAAATCGTCCATGGTCATGTTTAAAAAATGTCCATGGCCTACGCTGAATCTTTTTCTCTAGTTGTGATTTCATTATGAATTTTTATGCTATGAAAGGTAATTTTTACATCGATTTTAAGTGAAAACGGTCGAAGTTCATCAAGAGGACCTTTTTTGTTTGTAAAAATTTTATAATCTGATATCAAATCATAGCACAAGATACGTACAAAAAAGTTAGGGTAGTTTTACCCCCACTCCCTTTTTATCTGACCAACCCATTATAAAAATTTTGAATTTGTTATTATTCCAACTTATTGGCTATAAAAAGTTTGATTATATCCCAAAATTTCTTAAACAGTTTTGGAGATATTAAATAAAAACCATCTTCAGGGGCTCCTCTTTCGGAGGCTGTAGCTCCCTTGGAAATCATTTCTCGACCTATTTTTATAGGAACTTTTTTTCTTATTTTTGTACGTAGAATCTGTTGTTAAAGTATTGAACGATAATTATGGAACACCCTGTATATTATATACAGGGTGAGTCATTTAACTTGAAATTTTGAAATATGTCAGTATGAATTTTACGAAAAAAATTTTAAAATAAAAATTAAATGATTCGAGAGGGGAAATCAATCACTACTAAAATTGGTCCTCATACTCTCCTCCTTATAGGCTCAAAATTTCCACAACACAATATTTTTTATTGCAGGTTCGGATCATTCGACTAAAAATGGATTTTTAGATTTTATCTAAAACATTTTTTCATATTTGTAATAGATTGTGCTGTAATGAAAAAAATCAATTTTGTTCGATTTTTCTTATTAAACGATTCTGCAATAATTTTTCTATACAAATATGACTTTTGGAAAGAATTATCTTAATAAATTAAATCTGATTTTTTAAAGTACCCACGATTTTTTAACTAATATTTAAGTATCCTTTGGTTTAGGATTTACTTATACATTATTTCATTCGGTGATAATTATCAATTGCGCACCAAGGTCACTTTTTATCTGCCAGCATTAAATCCTTTAATATAAAGGATTATTGTACTATTTTTAATAAAAATGCCTTATTTAAGGTAAAAAAACATTATTTTGTCAATTAATTAATTATATAATAAATGGTATTTAGTTATAAATAATAATTATTATTGAGGTATAAAGAAACTATTTATACATAGTTTAGCATTATTTAATCAATTTAGTTCGAACATTAATTTGCAAACAAAAAGACTTCCTTTCATTAAGCAGTTATTCATAATGGATTTTTTAACAGTGGAAGAAAAAATAGAAATGATTTTGATTTATGGATAAGCAGGCAGGTATCTTGATGATGCTGTTAATATCTACGCTCAGCGTTTTCCGAAAAAAAATCGAACACGTACTTTATTTCACCGTACAGACAAGCAGTTTACTCTAAACGGGAGTGTTCAACCGAAAAAAAGAGTTCGTCGAGCAAATATTTAATATTGTTATTTTGAGCACCTACTTTAATTAAAATTTAAATAATAAATAAATAAATTTAAAAATAAAACCAAGTATTTTATTAAAAAATTATTGGAGAATTGTTTACAGAAGAATAATCGAACAACATTTTTTTTCATTACAGCGCCCTCTATTACAAATATGAAAAAATGTTTTAGACAAAATCTACCTATTTTTAGTCGAATAATCGGAATCTGAAATAAAAAATAGGGTGTTCCATTGGAAATTTTAAAGTTACCCCCTGTTCCCCCTATAAGGAGAAGAATATGAGGACCAATTTTAGTACTGATTGATTTCCCCCCTCTAATCATTTAATTTTTATTTTAAACATTTTTTCGTAAAAGGCATACTAACTGAGATATTTCAAAGTTTCAAGTTAAATGATTCACCCTGTATATTTATATATACATAAATCAAGTGAAAAAGTTAAAGGTGGCACGTGGACTGTTTTTTTAACGCTTAAAAATATGGCGATTGATGGCAAAAAATACACCCTTCTGTTTGCATACGCAAACTGCTTGGAGAAACTTTCGGTTATTGATTAAACTAATATTTCACATCAAATTATAAGGGCTGCCTTATTGGGATTAACCCGTCTTGATGGTTAAATTTCAACAATTAAACTTTGTCTCTGCAAAAACATTGGCAAAATGGAAAACTCTGTTTAGAGCACTATTATTATCCACATCGGAAATTTTAATCTTTAATTAAAGTTTATGTTTATTTTAACAGTGTAAAAATCCTTGCGTCCGATCGATTATAAAACTTTGAAAGATAATATCGTGTGTTTTTCGAAAACAATGCAATCGCTAAGAAGCTTTAGTTTAGTTTCGAGTAGCTTTTACTTTCATATAATCAACAATTGTTCAACTTTGCAACTTTAGGTCCCCATTATCCGACCGTTGAACATTAAGAAATCAAGAACAAAGAGAACTTGCCGCCAATAAAAATGCAGTATTGTTTTGAATAAAAATGCCATATAGCTTTTATCCTTAATTGATTTCGTGTAGGAAATTATGAATAATTGTACACCGTGTAATTAACCTTTTATGATAAAACTATTGATTATTTTTTAAATCGTTATGAGTACTTTAGTCGCGACTATTTTTATGTTGTGTTCTAGCAACGTCACCGGTAAGTACATTTAGATTTTTAATTACAATTTTAGAAAATTTCTGTTGAACATAAAAAAGGAGTACATATATATTTAAAAAATGTTGAAGTCTAAAAGGCAAAAACCTTGTAAACCAGTCTAATGTTTTCTGCAAGTGTTTCGGGGTGAATTTGAATGTACGAGTAAGTTGGAAAGTGAGAGATTTGCGCGTAGGATAGGGAGGGGTTTGCGGTAAATTCGTGTTATCCACTTACCTCTTGTCATATTAAAATCTAGATAGAGTAACTTTTTTTTTAAGTTGAGGTAGAATTCGCCTGAAGTGTCGTTAATTCCGTGTGTGGCAGATATGTTAGCAGTATAAACAGGAAACTTTCCACCATATCTACCCCATAAATAAGACAATCCAGCTACGTTGTTCTCGTTCTGAAACAAATTTTAAACTTTTATTTCTAGTGAAAAATATATTCTTATTTCCAGCTCTACGTCTTTTATAACAGATGTAAAGAATACGTACAAAATATCTATCCATTACATTAACCCAACCCTATTCATTATTCAAGTACGCCACAGGCACTTTCGAATTTTTTCAACAAGCTCTTCAATTTTTTATTCTATAAGTTATTGTTTCAATATTTTATTTCCAGACAAACTTTTTATTTTTGCCTAATGGATCCTGATTGTTATAAATAATTCCTTTCCACGGCAAAAATCCCCAGCCACAATTTAAATATTTATTAAATAATCCCCTTACTTTTCTACAGCGTCATTCATGTATAGTATTTAACGTCCGGATTATACCACTGTCCTTTTAGAGCACTTTAAAAATGCATTTTTGTAAACAAAAGCTTTGCTTTTTAGCTGACATTTTTAATTACTTTAATTAAGTGATTGATTTGACAATTTGATTGTGTTGAAATTTTAACACAACAAGTGGGTAGTAAATGTTATCAAATTTACTCTAGAAAAGTAGTTGATGAAGTATTAATAATTGGCGGTTAATGCTTTTTATAAATCATTGCTAGGCAATTTACGGTATAATTGCATGTTATAAACAAGAACTGCTCTGAGAAATAGCTAATTAAAGTTTAAGTTTAGAACGTTGTTGTGCACTTACTTTAAGTTCGATGGTGTGGTGGGTAAAGTTGACTTTGGCAAAAGTGACAGCCTCACTCATAGCCAAATAAGTTCTTTTATAGAACGTTAAGTGTTCAGTGCCGTAGCCCTCGTTATTCCAATACAAATCACCGAATGTTTTAAGTGACAGAGAAGTGGCTGCATGTTCCGCTTCGAGCATGTATGTGTAATTTGAAGTAAAGCTGTTTGATTTATCGCCAAGAGATCCCTTCAAAGACACTGTCTGATCGGGATTATTTGAATAGTTTACGATTACACCCACATCAGCGGAACTCGCGTTATAACCATACTCACCCAACAATGTTACGTCCTAAAATATACAACAGATTATCACACCACTATTTTTTATACCCAAAATGATGCATAAAAATGGTTTATTGCTTATACGAGGCGCGTCCACAATTTAAGTAAACAAATATAGAAAGACTGCTGGAATGTAGGCTGGATATAACTGTCTTAAAAATGTCACCTTAAGCTAACTTAAGCTAGATATAACTCTGCTAAGAATGTCAACTCAAGCTAGATATAGGGGAAGGTGGGGGAATTTTGCGCGGTGGGTAATTTTACGCATAAACAATTCTTCCAGATATTAAGTAAATAATACATTTTTTGAATGTTGCAAACTTGGAAACGTTGCTTTGGGTATACGGGGACTAAAGTGTACCGCAATTAAGCTTGTAGCTTTTCTCTATACAGCGCAAATTTTCCCACTATGATGCGCAAAATTACCCTGATAGGTGGGTAATTTTGCGCAAATGCATTATTTAAAAAAATGTAGTTTTTGCATACCAAACATTTTTTTTATAAATTGCGCATTATATACACATAGTAAACATAGTAGACTATCGCTGGTATTAATTGCAAAATTTGACATTTAAACTTAACAAAGATACTAGAGATTTTGCTTAGATGCGCAGAATTCCCCCACCTTCCCCTAAAAGTTTTAAGAACCCCAACTTAAGCTAAACATGAATGTCTTCAGAATGGCAACCTTAGTTGCATATAACTGTCTTAAGAATGTCAACTGTCTTAGGAATGACGGCTTCAGTCCATAGGGGTCGTTCATAAATAACGTACGTCACATATTTTCCCCCTTTGTGACATGTTGTCTCAAAGTTCCGACCCCTAAGATATAACTATCTTAAGAATGTCATCGTAAGCTGGATATATCTGTCTTAAGAATGTCAACCTAAGCTAGATATGACTGTCCTAAAAATGTCAAATCAAGCTTAATATAACTGTCTTAAGAATATCAAACAAAGCTGAATATAACTGTCTTAAGAATATCAAACAAAGCTGAATATAACTGTCTTAAGAATGTCAACCTAAGCTAGATTTTACTGTCCTAAGAATGTCAACTGTCTTAAGAATGACCAATTAAGTCTATAGGTAAGATATAACTATCTTAAGTATGTTAACCTAAGCGAGACATAACTGTCTTAAGCCCGGTCTACAATTCTCGCAATAGACCGTTCCGCGATAACTGTTAACCAGGTTTATAAATTTCATCCTAAGCTAGATATAACTGTCTTAAGAATGTCATCGTAAGCTGGATATATCTGTCTTAAGAATGTCAACCTAAGCTAGATATGACTGTCCTAAAAATGTCAAATCAAGCTTAATATAACTGTCTTAAGAATATCAAACAAAGCTGAATATAACTGTCTTAAGAATGTAAACCTAAGCTAGATTTGACTGTCCTAAGAATGTCAACTGTCTTAAGAATGACTAAATAAGTCTATAGGTAAGTAAGATATAACTATCTTAAGTATGTTAACCTAAGCGAGACATAACTGTCTATAAATTTCATCTTAAGCTAGATATAACTGTCTTAAGAATGTCATCGTAAGCTGGATATAACTGACTTAAGAATGTCAACCTAAGCTAGATATGACTGTCCTAAAATGTCAAATCAAGCTTAATATAACTGCCTTAAGAATATCAAACAAAGCTGAATATAAAAAACTTCATATTTTTTGTGTTTTTAGACCCTCTTGCCTCCATGTGACATGTTGTCAAAGTTTAGCCCCCTAAGATATAACTAACTTAAGTATGTTAACCTAAGCGAGACATAACTGTCTTAAGCCCGGTCTACAATTGTCGCAATAGACCGTTCTGCGATAACTGGATAACCGGTTTATACATTTCATCTTAAGCTAGATAACTGTCTTAAGAATGTCATCTTAAGCTGGATATAACTGTCTTGAGAATGTTATCTTAAGCTAGACATAAATGTCTTAAAAATATCAAATATAACTGTCTTAAGAATATCAACTTATGTTAGATTTAACTGTCGAAAGAATGTCAAATCAAGCTAGATATAACTGTCTTAAAAATGTCGACTCAAGCTAGGATAACTGTCTTAAAGAGTCTGCATAAACTAGGTTTAACTTGTCATGTAAAAAGTAAAATTGGCCAATAAATATATTTTGCTTTGCCAAATTTGTGGTTGCGCCTCGTAGTAAAGTGGATTTAAATAAAGTTGTGTAAAAAAGTAGCTAGTTTATTCTAGAGAGGTGTTAATGTTTGCCGTGGTATTGTAAGTGAATAGGTTAAATATTTTGATACGACATACTCGTTCGAAGGAGGGATGCTTTAATGTCAAATGAATTTGGTCTTTGTTTGGCGAGGCTCTTATCCAGTCCACTCCTGCCTGTACAGTTTTGTTGTCTTTGTCCAACATAAGAGAGACATCCGTGGATACAATCGAATCACTTATGTTATAAAAGCTTTGCGCCGTGAAATTTCTACGAGGATACGAAACGTTGATCTGTATTTGTTGAGCATCGAACGTCTGGTCCTGAAAGAAGAGGAAAAAAACGATATTTCGATTTAATAGAACATTTGAATAAAAGATCACTCCTCAGCCACATTTTATTACCACGGTTCTGTTTAGGAGATTCAGATCGTAATCTATCCAAATAGTGGGACTCAATTCCATGCGGCCATGCTGTTTGTACTCCCTAGCTAGCACGTCATAATCCATCCAGAACTTTGCCGTGCGATTTAAATGAGTAACTGTTACGAAATAGTCCTGTCCGCTTGTCCTAGTCGATATTTTCAACTCTCCCGTAACGTTGAACTTTGAGGCATTCTTTAGATTAAATAAATTCAAATATTTGCTGTCCTGCAAAATAAATATCATAAACCACATTTCCTTAACAAACGACGTCTTGAATTTGCAGAAAAACAAAACGATGAATACGGATAATCTCCACGAAAAAACCCAAATAAATCTAACAAGACACACAAATCACTGCCGAATAATCAATAAGTTTAAAAGAATAACGGTTCAACATTTTTACGTCTATTTTGATCGGGACTTTTGAAACCCACGCAAAAACACATGCTCGCGAATAAATCAAAAGAAATAAAGAAAAAGCAAAGATTAAAAGGATCATTCACTAATACAAAAATATATCATCAATCTTAAAATTATGGTATTATCTAAAGAATCCAAAAAATAAACAATCAAACCCAAGAGGCGCATTCGCCATTTTTGTAACTTTTAAAATTACATTATTTTACAAAAAAGTTTCAACAATGGCGAATGCGCCAGGAAATTTTATTTTTTTCCAAAATTTAAAAATACCGGGTGACCCAAAAATGACGCTTTAATGGTATATTACACTTTACGAAGGTAAATAATTTTAATTTTTTCTATAAAAAACGTTTTAGAATGTTTTATAAATCGGTTTGGAAAATAAACAGCGTTGCCGAGTTTTTCTTAAGTGCTTAATAACTCAATAAACAATAACTAAATAGCTTTAAAACTACTTAAAAATGTTAACTTAACCAAATGTATTTTTTTCGTCAGTATTTATACACTAAATATAACTGTCTTAAAAATGTCAATCTAAGCTAGATATTACTATCTTAAGAACGTCAATTTAAGATAGATATAACTATCCTAAGAATAAAAATTTTAAATAGGTAAAATTGTCTTAAGAATTTCATCCTAAACTGGATATAACTGTCTTAATCATAAGAATGTCATCATAAGCTATATATAACTGTCTTAAAATTGTAGACTTAAGATGGATATAACTATCCTAATAATGTCATCAAAAGCGAGATATAACTGTCTTAAGATTGTCAACAAGCTAGGTATAACTATCTTAAGAACGTCAACTTAAGATATATATAACTATCCTAACAATGTAAACCTTGAATAGGCAATAATTATAATTGTCTTAAGCTAGATAAGACTGTAAAATTCTCGACTTAGGCTAGATATAACTTTTTTTAAATACGTTAACTTAACATAGATTTAACTGTCTTAAGATTGTCAACCTAAAATAGATATGTAAATTTAAAATAGTTTTAACTGTCTAAAGAATGTCATCATAAGCTAAATTCCCTAGGCTAAATATAACTTTCTTAAGAATGTCATTATAAGGCAGATAAAACTGTCTTATTGTCGACTTAAACTAGATATAACTGTCTTAAGATTGTCGACAAGCTAGATATGTGTCTTAATAATGTCAAAATAAGCTAGATATTACTATCTTAAGAACGTCAATTTAAGATGGATATAACTATCCTAAGAATAAAAATTTTAAATACGTAAAATTGTCTTAAGGATGTCATCCTAAGCTGGATATAACTGTCTTAATCTAGATATGACTATTTTAAGATTGACAAAAATAGACATAACTGTCAATTTTTAATATAATGTCTTCATAAGCTAGATTTAACTGTCTTAACAATTTTGACTTAAGCCAGACTTAAGAATGTCGACTTAAACCATATATAACTCTATTATGATTGTCGACTTAAGCTAGATATAAATGTCTTAAAATGTCGTAATAAGCTACATATAACTGTCTTAAGAACGTCAACTTAAGACAGATAAAACTGTCCTAAAAATATCAATTTTAAATGGGAATAACTGTATTAATTTAGGTATAATTGTCTCAAAAATGTCGACTTAAACTTAAGAATGTTGATTTTAAATGGATATAACTGTCTTAAAAATGATGTAATAAGCTAGATATAACTAAAAAATGTCCACGATCTAGATATAACTGATTTAAATGCCATCATAAGCTTGAAATAACTGTTTTAAGAATCTTGTTTATTTTTTCCCTACGATTTTTTTATTGTGTCTTACTTGTCGCCAAGTCACAGACAAGATATACTAGAATTATTAAAACAAATTGCTTGAATTTCTGCAAACTTAAAGCGCCATTCGTTATTGACAATAAAACAAGAGGTATTTAAGGGGATGAAAGAGTCCAGTAAATTTGAACTTTAAACTTAAACGTATATCGATAATAATAAATTTTCCGTGCAAGTAGCACAGTCCGGTTGTGTGTGTTAATAAATTTAATTTGCGGAAAAAATTAAGGTTAATTTAAGGTAAAATTATGTAAATTGGAGTAAGTTTGTGCTAAATTGGTGTAGTGATAATAATAAATTAAGGGAGTCTTAGGAGGTGGAATTAAAAATGACTAATATTTTTTAAAGCGAGCACAAGTATGAAAGTAGGAAGTATTCCGTTGCGGGAAGGAGCAAGGAATTGGAAGAATGGTGGCCCAGGTCAGACTATAGATTACAATGGAATTTATGGGATCCGCTGATTTATTTGATGCACCTACATTTACCACAGCAGGAGCATTCAAGCGTTCCCCTGCTGCCTGCTTTTCCGAGTTTCCTTCCATTTCGGTTCCATGTTGCCGTTCCGTCGCTGTACCGTGAACGTAGTGCGCTCCTATTGGGAATCTGTCGTTCTCTAATTCGACCACGATTGTTTTCTTATTAAAATGTTCACGTCTCTCGCCGACACATTTGTATTTTCCAACCAACACTTTGTCGCCATTGTAATGCACGTTCGCCGCTCCTACGCTCTCCACCTCTGCTTTCTAACACCCACCACAAAATGTATGTTAATACCTATTCTTATTACATCACCATCTGTTCATGAACCCCAAAGAAAAATACAATTTTTTGTATATATACAAGAAAATTATATTTTTTTTAATTTTAAAAGTTTGATGCTTACGTCATAATTGAAGTCGACCAGAACGATGTGGGTAGTGTTCAAAGGTAGTGTGAGATTAAATCTGCCTTTGGTTTCCGATTTTTCCTGCCCCTGAACAATATTGCATATTCCATCCAAAGTAGCTGAATCATTGTTCCAAAATACTTTAAGGTATCGATTATAGACGGCACTGGAAAAAAATTGAAACGCATAAATCAAGCATTCGACTTTTTCAATGCTTTTCAATTATATGCCCAAACGGGCCAATTAAATGTAAAAATAGTATTATAAATTGACATATTTAGCGACGAATAAATAACTCGACGCAGCAACTCCACTAAAAAAAATCACAACAGGACTTTAATTAGTATTTTTTTAATTGGACAATTTCGATGTTGCAATCCCATCAAAATAAATGAACAAAATAGATAATCAGAGACCGAATTCTACCCAAAATACAACAATTTTAGGATGGAAAATTTTCTCACTAAAATGTAAAATATTTTGCATACATTTTTAATAACAATATGCCAAAATATTGATATTTGCTAATGATCTCTATAGAAAGCAATAAACCAATCAGAGCACGGCATTCTTTACATCACACTAGGTGTATTGTAGAATGCTGTGCGTCGCATATTTCAAGAAAAACCTAATAAATTTATCTAGAATTAGTTAAATTTTCATTTTTAACAAATTCTAACTCGATTTTTTCTTGAAATTTTCGGCTTACTTTCTATAGAAAATGATCTCTATAGAAAGCAATAAACCAATCACGTCACGGCATTTTACACAGCAAACTAGGTGCCATGGAGAATGCTATGCTCTGATTGGTTATTGCTTTATTATAGAGATAATTTTCTATAGAATTTCAAAAAACACCTAATTAATCTTTAAATAGTTAAATTGTCATATTTAACAAATTCCAACTCGATCAGAGGGTTGTTTCTAGAAATTTGCTTTTTATAGAAAATAATATCTATAGAAAGCAATAACGACACTAGCTGCGATAGAAAATGCCGTCCTTTGATTGCTTGATTGCTTTCTATAGAGATTACTTTCTATAGAAAGTAGGTCATCCTTCCTATTATGCTGTGGGAATGCCGTGCTCTGTTTGGTTTATTGCTTTCTATAGAGAGTATTTTTTATAGAAAGCAATAGGAAGGTGCGATGACAAGCACATAAATCAAAGGTAATTGAGCCATCTACAACTTTCTCTTGTATAGTTTTGGTATCGTAGTTCGATACTGGCGATTTTATGAAGTTGAAAAAGTCCTTTTTTTACGAAAATTTTTATTTTCTGGGAAAGATAGAAATCGAAAAGATAAGTCCAGTTTGATTTATTTTACGTATAGATTATACTTAAAGGTAGAAAATAACCTGCTGTTGATAAAAATCCATGGATAAATGGCAAAGTTATGAATTTTTCAGTGAAAGACCAAAATTCAGTTTTTTCGAGAATTTTTACGTTCTTTACATTTTATTGAGTTATATAAAGTTTAATATTGAACATTGATTTTTATTTTAAACATTAAATATTGAAATTAAATTATATATTAGATATTGAACAATAAATATTGAACATTGAAGATATTAAAAGTTTTATTTTGTTGTAATAAGCATAGATTTAAAAAAAATTGTCTTTTGTTGCTTTCGTATTCCGTTTCTCGTATAAGGAACCAAATGTAATCACTAGGGATGGGATATTTAGGTACTAAAAACTGAAAAATAGGTAACTAAAAAGGTACTAAAAAAAGCATTTTAGGTTAAAAAAACAGCATTTTAGGTAAAAAAAAAACATTAAAAGTTTAAGTTTCGTTTATAATTTTGTTTAGCCGCATACCAAAACACAGAACATATCCACAATAAACTATTTCTATGCAATAAACTGTGTTTTACTGAGTGACACTCACTACACAGAAGTTCTATGACAGAACTCACTAGTAGTGAGTCACTACAAAGAAGGTAACTGTAAAGAAAGTTACTGTTACCGTCTGTAACCATAAGAAAAAATTCTATACCGTTGAGTTGCACGCCCTGGATAAAATATTGGCGCAAATTTTAAAAAGAACAAGTAAAAATACGTAAAAATAGGTAACAAATATATGAAAATAAACTGACAAATTAAAAAATATGTAACAAAAGTATAAAAAGGTAGTTTAAAGCAAAAACCTCCAAAAAAGGTAAAAAAGGTGAAAAAAAGTTTAAAAAATAGGTAACAAAAGTATAAAAAAGGTAGTTAAAAGCAAAAACCTCCAAAAAAGGTAAAAAAGGTGAAAACAAGTTAGGTTCATATAAAAGAAAATCTTTTAAAACACATTTTGGCATTATTGGTTTTCAAATAGTTACATCGGTTAAAAAAAGGTAAAATAACTAAAATCCCATCCCTAGTAATCACCCATCATGGCTGCATCCCAGAAGCCGTGATACCGCCGCTCCATACCCTTCATTTGCTGGTGAAAACGTTCTCCGTGCTCATCACTAACGTCGCCCAGATTTTCCGGGTTATTTACGCACTCGAACTCTCTACTTATTTTACACTTTTTATTAACTAAATAAAACCATGCTAAAAATACTCTGTTAAAATATCAAAAAATAGCATTAAAATGTCACTATGCCAACATGAGAAACAAAAGAATTCACGTTTGCGGAGTCATGTCAAATTTAAATATTATATAATGTTTTCGGTGAAAAAAGTACGTAAAAAACTTAAAAAATTCCAATCATGCACTTTAATTAGGTTTTCATTAAAAAATAAACATATTACAAAATAAAAAAATAAATAAAAATCGTCAAAAAGCTGAATTTTGGTCTTGCCACTAAAAAAATCATAACTTCGCCATTTTTTTTATGTATTTTTATTAACATTAGCTTTTTTTTCTAAAAATGTCAGCTTCACGAAAAAATCCAAACTGGAGTTATCTGTTTGATTTAAACACTTCCCAGGACGATATGTAAATTTTCGACATCAATTTTTACCATAAAAACGATTTTTTTAAATTAAAATCGCTAGCGTCAAAATACTTACAAAAGGGGCTTGTTTGACCAAATTGATCAATTAGATTTCAAGCTATACTCAAAAACGTTAAAACACCTCCAAAAATTACAAAAAAACAATTGAAAATTCTTATTTCAAAAACGCTTCCATATTTTTTTTTGTGATTTTCGTGTTTAGTGGGTCAAAATACATGGAAAAATTATAATGGGATATGGTGGGCAGAATTTTTTTTCGATTTTGTAAACTAGTGTAATTTAACCAATCCTAGATCAATCAGGTGTTTCTTGAAATTTCTATAGAACTGGAGTTCTAGAAACGGGGTCTCTGTAGATAAAAAGTTGTACTTACGCTGAGGTTTCCGTATTGAAGCGGGCTCCGGCGTGCTTAATTTTTTTGTATTGCAGGGAGATGTTAAGCATTCCATGCATATTGCCTAATTCTTTGTAATTAACTGTTCCGTAGGCGACAGATTTGTTCTCTGGATAAAACGCCTCACCGCTGTAACGATAAATTTTCTCATATCTGAGCTGTGTGGAACGGTTAAAAACACTTACCTTACATTATAACGATCGTCCAGAGTTTTGAAATTGAAAAGGCCGACGAAGAGATTTTGATCTTTGTGCTTGGGAGTTTTTAATTTGTAAATTAAATCAAATGCACCTTTGGGTTTTTTTAAGTTGGCAAAGTTATTATACATTTTGCCGTCCCATTCGACTTCAATTTCGCCACTTAGATCTTCTTCATTTCGAATATTTATCTGAAAAGATTATTTTAATTAGACGCTTTTAAAAATAAAAATATTAAAGTATAATCAAACGTTTTCGATATCGGAAAAAGTTATAGAAAGAAGATTGTAAATTAAATTTACACGTAGGTATACAGAGATTTCGCGCAAATCGGATATTGATATCCTTTTCTCTAATACCTTTAATCGATGAAGAGGATAAGTAATTGAATTTTTATTAACAACTTTTGAGAAGTTTATTTCCTACCTGTCCTGAGGAGCCATATTTCTTATTAGTCTGCGAGGTGCGATATTTCGCTTGATAATTAATGTTTTTAAATTTACTCCCATAACTCATGCTAGTAGAAAGGCTATGGACGTCTTTTGGAGTGCTTGGAAGTTTGATGTGAGCTTGTAAATCCACGTTAGCACTCGACGGCACGTGAACAGTTACATTCGAGCCTCCCCTGAAAATTTTCCAAACTAAATAAAAACAACGCGAAACAATTTAATGCTAATTCCTACTCCCAGAATTTGTCAATATTGACGTCAGCGCCAATTTGCATGCTCTTGTATTCCTTATTTGGATTCAAGTAGCTAAAGTCTAAATGAGAGTTTTTCTCCAGCTCGCTGTTCTTAAAATGTGCGTTAACCTTAACCATCATGTTTTCTAATACCACCCAAATTAAATTTATGTTTACTCCACCCTTCGACTCCGGCAATTCGAAATAGCCGTTAATAGTTTTTCGCAAGCCGTTGCTCCTGAAAAACAAATTATAAAATCGACTGTTTACGGGACACGCTGCACAGGAAATCTGATAACAATTTATCCCGAAAACAAGTCTACAATTTTCATTTAAAAAGATTATATGAAAATGTGTTTTTTAAATTCGCGGCCTTACTTTCTATATAAAGTTATATCTATAGAAAGCAATAAACTAATCAGACAACGGCATTTTCCATCTCACCTAGTGTCGTTTTCTTTAAAAATCAAATTTCTAGAAACCACAATTTGTTAAATATGACAATGTAACTAATTAAAGATTAATTAGGTGTTTTTTGAAATGTGCTACTAACTTTCTATAGAAAATATCATGTATGGAAAGCAATTAACCAATTAGAGCACGGCATTTTTTATCGCACCTAGTGTGCTGTGAAAAATGCCGTGCTCCGATTGGTTTATTGCTTTCTATAGAGATCATTTTCTATATGAAGTAAGTCGAAAATTTCAAGAAATATCTAGTGTGATGTGAAGAATGTCGTGCTGATTGGTTTATTTATTTCTATACAGATCATTTTCTATAGAAAGAAAAGTCGCTTATTTTAAGAAACACATCATTTTTGTTCATAATGTCAAAGTTTTTTAATTAAACTTAACACTCCTTTACGACCTTTTTATTTTTTTGAAAAGGGTTACAATATTGAAGGAGCAATGAAAAAGTAACAAAGACTTTTGTCCAGCCAGAATGGCAATCTAAATCTTACAATAGCGACAGTCCAAATTTGGGCGTTTCCAATTTGGGAATTGGTGTTGTTAGATTAACAGCCAAGTTTTTACTGTCCTCATTCCCTATAGCTTCTGCATGCATGATGTATTCCTTTTTGGATGGAGGTCGCACCTAGAACACAAATTTACCAATATATATATATATAGAAAGGAATAAACCAATCAGTGCACGTCATTCTCCACAGCACACTACGTGAGTGTTCTAATCTACCTAATTGGTTTATTGCTTTCTACGGAAAGTACTTTTTAAATTATACCGGTATATAATGGGGCAAAAACTACAGTGGATCATTTAATAAAATATTGGTTAGCTGATGCCTTGCACAAATAAAAGACAAGAGCATAAAACATGAAAATAAGCGTGTAAAAATGCTTATCGTAAAATATCCTGAATAAACGTAAAACGTAAAATCAGCGAAATAACAAAATTATTTGCAGGTTCGTTTATGGATATTTGATTTTAGCAAATAACGCTTACTTAATAATAAATTCTCTGCTCAGTGAAATACTAATTGCCTAATTTATTTTAATGCTTGCTTGCTCTGAAATGTACGTCGTTATAACATTTGAATTTAAAATTAAATTTTTTAAGGGGGGTAGCATACATTTCTATCAGAAATCCATTATTTTATAGAGAACGTATTCGCAGAGAAGAATTTAAGATCAAAAGGAATTTTTGATCTAATACAATTTTAAATAGTTTTAATCTCCTCTGGTAAAAATTAAAAATGCTTCTGTCACACACGCGCTTTTATCAAAGGAACTAGGTAATATTGATTCTGGAGAAATTAATTAAGGACTGGACCAATAATCTGAGCTGAATACAAATCCTCATAATTCAATAAATCTGGCAAATAATTTAATTTAAGTAATAGTCTTTGTTTGCGAGTAATTTATGCGATTTTTGTTGCGAAATGTTATTTGCATATTTATTTCCAAGGATCTTATAAAGAATTTCACCGTCAGAAGCTATGCTTCTTAAAGCAGACTTAAAATGGGGATTTAAGATAGAAAAACCAACCGACCGATTGACATGATACGAGCTGTTTGTCACGTCGGTGTTTTAAACTGTTTTAGGTATAATAGTGCATTCTCAATTCGACATGTAACCTGTAGGTAGGACAGTGGGATAAATTTAAAAATTGTCTGACAAATTCGCACATTGGGATAAATTTAAAAATGGTAGGACAAATCCGCACAGTAGGACAAGTACTTAAGATTTTGATTTTTTTTTAATTTTTCAAAATTTACAAATTTTAACATTTTCTTAAAATTTTGTAAATTTACAAAATTTCCTGCATTTTTATATTTCAGAAAAAGATTTTTTTCTTTTACCCTTTTTTCATTATTAAAAAAAATGTGTTTTTAAAAATCGAAAACATTGTTTTGTGTAAACGAATGTCATGGATGAAATGGGTGACATAAATAGTTGTTGATAAAGGTGTTTATTAAATTGCCATACCTTAAACGAACATTTCCAGTTGAATATATCACTGCCAGCGGTGGTCGCATCAAATTCGGTCATTTTATCCGAACGCTGTACTGTCCCTGCTAATTTGTAGCCAGTTGAAACTTGCTGAATTTCATATTGTAATTTTAGGGTATCCGTTCCGTCGACTGGCCTTAATTGAACAGAAACATTAACGGGAATTTTCGATTTAAATTGCATGTGTCCAGTTATATTAAATAATTTATTTTTTAACTGTAACGTGCCGTTTAAGTGTTTTAAACCATTGGTATCCGGGTAAAATTTACAAACCACGTTAATCGGTATCCTGAAAAAATATTTCTTTAAATGCTTCCTTTTCTTTACCTGGCTACTCGGCACTAATGCGGTCCAAAAGACCTGTCGGTGCCTGTTTATGGAATTACACTTAAAACAAAGTTCCTTAATGTATGTAACTGAATTTTCGAATATAAATATTATGTTAAGAAGCAAATATTTGACATTGAAATTAGTTTAAGTTTATAAGAAACATGTGCTTGGTAAATATTGTATTAGCTAACAAAAGTTAACTACTATTGGCTTTGCTAATATGTTAATTTTATTCAAGCTTGAAACATGTGAAATAAAAGAAAAAACATGTTTTTGCGTTTTTTTTTATTTCTTAAAAAATGTTGTGTGATTTTTGGAATTTAATGGATATTAATGGAATGTTTTTTCGCAGAGGGCTGTTCTATAACAGGCAGCAATTAATGGAGCCGTGAAATATATTCGTGTAATTAAAAAGATGGGTAAATGCATTAAGGGTTAAATATAGATCTGACACGGACTCACCGCTTTCTATTTAGATCCAAAGTAGAATTAATTTGCAAATCATTATCAATTAGTGATGATGAAATTTGAATTGTAACAGGATTTAAATATATTGCAGCCCATATGTTTGACTTGTAATCCCCTATATGCACATCAATTCCTCCGGTTATGTTCTCCAACCCGGAAAACGGCGACTCCAACGTTATCAAAGTTCGGAATTTCATTTCTGATTTTATTAACCATGATGTGTTCAAATAAATCTGAAATAATTGTCAATCTATTACAATCAACGTCATGCTGCCCCATTAGGTAAGAAAATATTTCGAAAATATTTTTATTTTGCGGTGGCAAATGACTCGGAAGTGCTCACCCCATATCAATTGACAAATTTATTTAAAAGGCCCGTCGCACAGTCATCCGATAATAAAACATTTTAAATCAAAATCTGCAATGCATTTTCTTAAAATTCTCATTTTTTTTTAACCACTATAACACAGGGTTCCACCCCGTTGAAAAAATGAGAATTTTAAGAAAATGTGCATTTTAACATATCAATTGAAAATTAACTACTGTGCGACGTTTTATCATAACGCATTTTGAATTTTCTTACCTCTTTTTTAAGACGTTCGGGACAACTAATTCTTACTGCTATGCCGTTATCAATTTCTGTAAAATGTTTTTTGACATTTACATACACTGGAGGGATGTAGTAGGATTTTGTTTTGACTTTGAGGTTTCCAATAATTTCGGTTAGCTCGTTTTCGATCTAAAAACAAATTCAATTAATAATGGAGGTTTATATTATTATTCGAACACAATTAATTTTCAGCATAATTAATAAATGTAGAATAATGATTTGTTTTGATGAGTGTTTGGATGATACCTAAAATATTATTTTACAAATCACGATTATTTAGAATATATTTTGAATTAAAATACTAAAATATTAAATAATGAAAAATTGGCGGAATTTCCTTAAAATAAAGAAAAAAAACAGTTTAAACATGCAAATAATTCGCACCTTCAATCAAGCAAACTCTTAAACTTATTCAAAATCGGTACTTTGTTATCATTGATTAATAATCAATGATTATTGACAGTTCGGTAGCTATTCTGGTTTCTCTGGGGCTACATGAATAGTTTAGTGTATACACTTTGTGTATAGCTAAGTATGCAAAACAAAAAACAATTATCAACAATGTAATCAATGATAACACATATGTAAATTTTTAATGAAGGTAGATTATTGCCCAATGTGCAAGCATATTTTGCGTCAGTTGTCATAGGTCAGGAACAACCAGTGGCGGCCCAAAATTTCAACTTTACTAATAAAAATTTTAATGATTTTTTTATAAAAAAAATGACACTGCAATGTACAGTCACTTGTAGTAATTGTTTTTGTATGCATAACTTTTTTCCGTAACTGTACATCCCCGGCGTATTTAACCCATACGTTCGAGTACTTTGAAAATTTAACAATATCCTGTTTCGATAAAAACCAAAGCCAACCTCAGTGGTATGCTCGGATATACAACTCCCATCGGGCTTAATACAGCCGTACGAAACACGCGAGCCTGATTAAATAAAAGCTTTGCATTAAAGGAAAAAATCGCGATATTTGCCTTTCCAGTTTACATTTTTACACTTGCCGTTTTGACGGATGACATGTCTATCTGAAACGTTATAAAGCAATTTTAAAACTTGGCAAGGTGATTTCTGTGAATATCATTTTGTTTGTTTGATACTTAAACTAATAAAAGGCGAATTAGTTTGGGGTTTGTTTGGATAAAAATAAATAGAAAAGTTTATAGACAATGTAAAGTGCTCGGGCAAAAAATGTTGAGACGCTGCGATGCGATTTCTGCTTTGGATTTCGAGAATGAATTGTTTCAGTTGGAAGTGGAAAGAGAAGGGGCTTCAAGGGCTTACTGAATGCAGAATCTAAGTAGAACTGCGGTCCAAGTGACCCTATGGGACATATAACAGTCGTTCAGCCGTTCAGCCGTCCAGAATGATAACTAGCTATGGTCCAATCTAATAAAATATTGCAGATCACAGTAACAGAGCCGGATTATATTTTCCCGATTCCTTTATTTTCATTCAATTTATTTAGCCAACCTTTTCCGTTCCGGCCAACACCTGTCTACCACTTTATTTCGATTATATCCATTTATTTCTTTTAACTTAACTCAACTCGACTTATCAGCATTTTTAAATGTCCAAACGCTGTCAACAAAATATCCATCTTTAATCCAATGCATTGGAAAGTCTCACCCAGAAAAATGTCCTCTAAATGATGTCTAACCTCCATTTGAATACTTGTCTACCGTTATTTATAGTTAGTCAGCGTGAGTAAGCAGCGGTGAGAGGTAGCGCTACTATATTTGTTTAAAACTTTGTTATTTAATTAAATATTTAGGATTTTTTATAGCAATTACGTTTAATATTGGCCATGTAACATATTAAGTAAATAATATTTTTTTTTTTTAATTTAAGACATTTTAAAGACATCCTCTAAGAAATCTATATCTTTTAGCCATCTATAAACAAATATCTGGTAGATTTGTTTTTAAGGTGTCTAATGGGTATTTAAAAAAAGATATCTTATAAATGTCTTTCAGAGATTTATTGACATTTATCGACAATTAAACTAGAAAAAAACATGATCAAAAACAATTTGCTAAAGAAACATTCAATTTATTTTATCAAAGGAAGCGTTCATTTTTCGAAATTGGTTTGGCCAAAGGTCGTACACTGGATTTTAACTATAATAATAAATCAAGTTAAAATTTATGTGGGATTCGCTGGGGGAATATACACACATAAGAAGAGGTTGATATATTTTATGTTAATAAATATTAAAGAAAAACGCCACAATATATTTGTAAATTTCGCCAAAGAAAATTTATTTAGATTACTTGACAACTTTTTATTATTGTTTCCGTTGTTTTTTGCACTGATATCCGCATAAAACGATGATTCGGGGCGGTTTTATTATTTTATTAAACAAAGAAACTCAAAAAATCAACTTAGGAACAAGAGCCTCCGGCTGGAATATTTGGGCTTTTTTACATCACATTTATCGTCAACAGGGACGGATTGTTTCGATTTTTAAGTTAAAAGAACGTTAAGCCGAAACAGAACAAAAACTGCGGTCGTTTTAAATTAAAATAATGCCTGGGATTACAGGACAGAATTTAAATTTTACCTCGCGAATAAAGTTCTTAAATTAAGTACTTACTTCTTCGGTGACATCAAAGTCTAAATAATTACCCAGAGTACTTCCTGAAACTCTGGCTCTGTAAAAGTTCTCTTCACTTTCATACTCGGCACAAGCATCCAATTTAGGTAAAGCATTAAAGGGTGTTACAATTTTTAAAGTAGCGTTTAGTCTCGATTCGTTAACCTCCTTTGTCTCAGATAAGTATTTTGCTAAGAAACTTGTCTGCAATGAGATTTTAATGTTTGTACTGTAATAGATTTAGTGCCTTACCTTTATTATTTTCGTCTTGTTTTGATAGTCGAAATTGGCGTCCAGTAGATACGTTTCATTTCTTACGACGTAGATAATGACGTTGGAGTTGATTTGTTTGAAATCCTCGTATGGGGTTTGTATTTCTAATACGTTTTTCATTTTCAGCATGTCGTGATATTCGAAATCGTCGTGGAGTATGACGGTTTTTCCGCCGGGGAAATACATTTTCGAACGTAGAGAATAAAAAGGCCCATGCTGGTCGATCTCCAATTTTCCTTTAATGGTAGGGTAAGTGATGACGTCAATTTCTACCAAGCCCGCCCAACTAATGGGTTCTTTAGTTTCCTTCTCGCCCTTTATGTTTTTTTCCAGTCTTGTTCCGTAAATTTCCTCGATTTTGATGTCGAGCTCTTTCAAAGGTCTCGGTTTCGGTTTGCCGCGCAATTTAAGTCCCAACTAAAAACAAGGTAAATTTCTCATTGCGTAATAAAACATAATTTACGACCATTATGGCCTTAATGTAAATCCCGGGAATATTGCGAAAGAAACTAATAGATGCTAAACATAAAGCAAAAATAATCTCGTGGGATGTAACCGTATAATGGCGGCCTGGGTATCCCGTAAAATGCCTTTAAGGTCGACTCAGCGAAAAGGGGATAAGAACAAGACTTTCGTTTATTTCACTTTTAAAGAAAACTATAAAAGATAGACGGAATCGCCTTTCTTCTATCCCATGCGTCAATTTTGTTTTATATTTTATACATATATTTTTGATGCACAATACCCTTTTTAACTTTATTTAATATAACAGCCTAAGGGTACTAATAAATCAAATTTTACAAAAACCTAAAATAACTAAAAGGGAATACATAAAATAACTTGCTTTTATTTGCCAATAAATTCAATTTTTAAATCCAAATTTAACTTGCGAGCGAGTGTTTAATAAGAACGAGTGTCTTGAAAACGAGTTGCATACGACGAACAGAAATAAGAATTTAAAGCCAATTTTAATTCATAAATATTTGACATTTGACGAGTTTAACCTTATTTTTTCGCAATTTATAATAAAGCTAACTTCAGCTCGTTACTAAAATATCATAATGTCACAGCTCGTCAATGTAAGAGTAGATAATAGTATATTATGTATCAGGTTTTATAAACGCCATATTAGTTACGAGTGAAGCTTGCGAGCGAGTGATTAATAAAAACAAATATAAAACGACGAACACAAAGAAGTATTTGTTAAACATTTGACATCTTTCAACTTTAAACGGATTTAACGTAACTTTTCCCTAATTTATAATAAAGCTAACTTCAGCCCGTGACTAAAATGTCCAAAATCCACTATTGCTTATTTTACCCCTTGACTATAACGCCATAAAGTCACAGCTCTTCAATGTAGGAGTAGATAATAGAATATTATGTGTCAAGTTTAATAAACGCCATTTTAGACACGAATTTAATTTAGGCACGAGCGAGCTTGCGAGAAAGTGTTTAAATTAATGAGTGTCTAGAAAAGTTAATAAACGAGTTGCATGCTATACTTTTTCTACGACAAATACTACTGATTATCATAAAATGATAATAGGTCAATTCTGGGTTCTCTCGTAAAATTTCTGTAAATTCGTAAATCTATAGCTTACGATGATCTGCAACTATAATGCTTATAGAATTGTAAAAGTGGCAATTCTGGGATGTTATCTGTAAATGTCCAATTTAAAGTAGTATAAACGAACTACTGCAACTTCACGCCTATTTACTTACGATCAGACATAACCTATATTTTTATATGTATTATTTGGTTTATCCACAGTTTATCGGTTTTCATTTATGTATCAGCATATAATATAATACAAAAAGTAAGAAATTTAAACTGGTTGAGGAATAAAATGAGGTAAGATAATTTTACATTTAAAAGAACATATAATATATAATGAATAAAATTGTTAGTGCGTTGAGTGAAGAAGTCAATCAATGGTTAGTGGTAACGCAAAAGGAACAAAGACAAAAAGATAAAAAACACCACTCCTCAACAGTTGAACTATATTTGGATGCAATGGATGGAGATTATCCATTGGGCCAACCATGGCAGGATAAATTTGAACAAGGAGCAGAAAATCAAAAAAACATTTTAAGCTTATCAAAAACTATTTAGAAAATTATATAAGGCTGAAAGAAGAACAATTAGGATTTGAAATGAAAAAAAATAAATTTTTAAATCCAAATTTTGAAATTTGACCTATTAATTTTTGACTAATTAGAATATTTATTTATTTTGTTGTTTATTTCTTTTTTGACCGAGTAGGCTGTGGTTTATTTTTTTTAAGAATATTATTTTATTTTATTTTCATATGTAAAATAAAAATACCTATAAAGTTTTTGTATTAATACAATTGTTTTATTTAGTCAAAATTGAAATTATTTCTAATGTAGTTAGCCCAGGCTGCTTGTCCCAATTGATAAATATTACCATTATCATATCCACATTGACATTATTAAAAATATTCATGTTTTTAATCTTTAAAATAGCTTTACATAACCTAACAAAAACAAACTGTAAGTAGCAACGATTGGGAAACACCCGATCGTAAATATTTACGATTCTATAAGATTTTCTGTAAGCTACAGGAAGCGCAAAATTGCAAATTGTCTATAAGCTTATAGAAAGTTACAGATTTGCTTATAGATGCTTACAGATGTGCGCAGAATTGACCTATTAAATCAAAGATTTGCATAGAGTGCCATCTATAAAACAATAGGGGAATCTGTGTTACCGTCAAATGTCAAATTTTTATGTGTTATAAACACAGATTATAAACCGAAATGTATTCCTTGAAAATGAATAAACAACAGTTTTTCATAGTGAAAGTAAAGAAAATGTTTTATGGGCACTTCACAGTGGATTCCGAGCGTGAATTTAAGTTATATCTTGTTTAATTCCGGTGAAATTAAAAGGTCAGTACAATGTTCATATAAAATGAAAACATCAAACTATACATGTTGTCCCAAGAGTCATGGACAGTAGAAATGGTGATTCCCAAACAAAACTAAATACCCAATTTACTTGTTAAGTGAGTTAAGGAAAAATTAATTTTTAAATATAGTACTATTGCTATATGTTTCGGACTTGCTTGTGTCCTTAAGTTAAAATATTTTTCTAAGAAAAACTTTTTCTTGTAAACGAAAGTTTTTAAAGAAGTTTCCCGTTAAACATGTAGAGTAATTGATTACTTAGGGAAATTGATGTTAGGTATATATTATAAAGGAAATGTAGCTAATATTCACATGTCAGAGAAGATGATATCGGAATTCTGAGAAGCAGAAGATATAATGTACTGATCTCAGTATTCAGTATCCTAATGAAATAGTTGAATGGCTTTGACAAAGTGTTCGGCAACTGATTACTATAAATCAAAGAGAGAAACTTCCCCCAATGAGTGTGGCAACCAGATTTTGCGATAAAGAAAAGTCCTTTTTGAGTTTGAAAATAAGATAAACGCTCAAAAGTCCGTTTGTTGCTGTTCATAAAATTCTAATTAAAAACCAAACTATTATTACGAAGTAAATTGTTCTATGTATTCTTTTAAAGTGGATAACTTTAGAAAAGTTGAAGCTGTTTGGAGCATTTTTTTATTTATTTTAAAATACAGATTTAATTAAAGTCGAGAGTTTCAGCAAACTATAAAAAGTTAAAATAAATCATTGAAAAGTAATTTGGAAGTTCTTAATGAGAGGAAAACTTTAACATTTCGCAATAAATCTTGCTATCTTACTATTAAATTTTCTGGAATATTTAATAGGTTTTTATTGCTCACAACCAAATGAAATAATTATAAAAGTAGATTTTCAAGAAATCGAATACAAACCTTATGGATATATAACTTAATAGAAACTTCTAAGTCTAAACCCTCTTGGCAGATAAGTTTACCAACTACACCATTTTCTTCAAAACCTTCTAAAGGAGTGTAAATCTTGTATGTGTATTCGAAGTCTGTAACATTAACATAATGCCAAACCCCTGAGAATCCCACCACCAGAAAGTTCCAGCCAAGACGAAAGTCTGCCTAAAATATTATTTATTTCATTAAAACTTACGACAAAAGTATTTTTAAGCAAAACTGATTAAAACTTGTCTGCTTAGCGCTTACATCTCCTGGCTGTAGTCTAGCAACAATCAAGACACTTCGTATGAACTGAATTGGCGTGTCAAGAGTGAATTTAATATCGAAATCGCTTAAACTGTGCATTTGCAGTAATAATTCCGTTCCGAGAGTTCTGTTTGGCAGAACGGCTTGCGCAACAAAATGTCGCTTCTCTTCGGATATAATAAAGCGTGCCTGATAATCTTCATCATCCGCTGTTACATTCACAATTAGTTTACTGTTGGTAAATTTCCTAAAGCGCCCTAAAAATAAAACAACTTATCTTAGCACAACACCTACGCACATTTATCATTTCGCTTTACACTGCGAAAAACATCTTCACGACTATCTTAATTTTACCCACTTAAAATTTCTCATTAAATTAAATTTTCTTTTTTTTATCTAATAATATATATAATACAATAATAATATTGTAAATATGTTTCTAAAATGACACTAAAACTGTGTATATAACATATTTTAGTAGAAGTGGTGTCACTTTTTCTGAGCATGCGCACTACAAAGTAAACAAAAGCGCATTGTGTCTATTTTAAAAAATAATGGAAAAATGAGGGAGGAAAAAACTTTCTTAAAGGATTACAACTTATTTGGTGACACCCTGTACATAGTTTAATATTATTTCCCCCATTTTGTTTGTTTCTGTTTGGCTGAAATATAAATTAATATTTATTATTTTCTCAAAATATTTATCAAAGTGAATTATAAAATTAAAGGAAAATTAATTAACTTAGTTAATACGCGCGAAAGGTGAATAATGTCCGATTTCTCAACCTTTTGTGCACATCAACAAAGGTGTATTTGTTTATTTAATTGAAATATTGCTTCGTTAAGTCAAACTGTTTTTCAAAAAAGAAAATGAATAAAATTTTAATTTACATTATAAAACATTTTCAGACATTTCACTGCTGTTTTAAATTATTCTTTTTAATAGCTTTAACGGTGGACACAAAAAACCGCACATTCTTTTCAAAAGATTTTTCGTTTAAAAGCACCTTAATTTATAAAATAGTCTGTGCTAAAGAGACCAACATTTTTAAAGTCATTTTCATTATAAAATAATTAATGTAGAATTGTATACTTTATTAGTACGTGCATGTAAGGCTTAAAAATTTATCAAGCAGTACAAATATAATGGTTTAAAAACACTTATGGTGTAATTAAAATATTACAGTGTAAATTCCCCGATCTGTAGTATAAATAAAATTACTAAAATTAATGCGGATATTTTTGGCAGCGTAATAGGTTGTAAAAGCGGGGTTTTTATAGGCGTTTACATAAAATAAAAGTTTAAAACCAAGGGGTGTTTTAATGGATAATGAACTTAAACGTACCTTCCAAATTGATGAGAACTTTTTTTTTGTTATCTAAATTTAAATCGGCGATTCCTCTTACATACTTCTGATCGGTGAAGTAAATTTTGCTGATTAAGACACCTGTATTTAAGCCTCTGAATGGAGTTTTCAGAAACACTGTTCCGGTTAAATTTGTGTTGATGTTATCTACGACTTTGCTCCATTTGCTGTCCACATCAATTTCGAATTCGGGATTATACTGTAATCAAATACAAGTTAAAGCATTTTTCAAGAGGTTAGTTATACTCTTAAAAAATTACAAAATATGTCTTAAAATAGACTTATTGTCCAAAAAACTAATAAAAGTAAAACAAAGGTTATTATTCAAATAGGTTTGTAATATTTATGTATGTACATATATGTAACAGTCCCAACTAGACGGAGCATGAAAAGGCTGTTATGAAAATTCTATTGTAAAGGGGAAATATTATATCATTTGGCGGCAAGGATAGTGCTGTTTTATACATGGCATTTAATTCAACTCAACATTAACAACTGAGCAAAAAGAAGGGATTATTAGATTATGTATAGGGACGCAAAATAAAGTTTGTTTTTAACTTTATTGGTGCTAATTGGTTTTTAATTAACCGAGTTACGCTGAACATACATTTTCATTAAGCAACAAACAAATTAGATTTTTCCCTTTAACATAAAGTTGAACTAATAGTTGTTTTTTAATAGTAGTTGCAAGCTTGTTGTAAAGAGCTTTTGGCCAGGTTAGAACTTACTATCCACAAGAGTGCTGTTTTGACTAAGCTTACAAAGATAACACTATAAACTTTTAGAATATTAATTTTTAATAAATATTAATTTTATACAACAAGCAAACGAACAAGTCACAAATAAACAACCCAGTGTTTTAAAAAAAATACAAACTGCTGTTTGCATTTTAAATACTTTACGTAGATTTAAATGCAAAATATACATTGTTAAAAATGTTTGTAAAATTACTAAATTTTTACTAAGCAGTTGCATAGTAAAATTACAAAATGTTGTATTGTATTGCAATTTTAATACACATTTGTTGTAATATTACATTTTGTTATAGCCAAAGTACTAAATAGGCTATACTTTTACAATGTTTTTGTTTCAGATACTTATAGTAATTTTACAATTCTTTATTGTAGAATTTAATTTAAAATTTCTATACATATTCAGAATTTAATTTTACTAAGATAATCAATAAAATTACTAACCAAAATTTGCTATTTGAATTACAATAAGTGTTTGGGAATATACAAATCGTTATTTATTTTATACAACTTCTCTTTGCATTTTTACTATATATCATTTGAATCATGTACACTGTTAAAATTTTTGGAAAATTACAATTGTTTTGCAAAACAAAGAATGAGTAAAATTACAAATTAGTGTATACCAATACAAAATTATAATACAATTTGAATAATCTTCCAAGACATGTTGGGAAATCTACTGAGAAAAGTTGTAATTTTAAAATTTATATGTATAAATCCTATACGAATTGTAATTTTACTAAACAGTTTGACAGTTTCTAATAAAAAGCATCTCAGATTTACAACGTTGTTTGTAATTTGATTTGGTATAATGTTATGTAAAATGCATAGTATGTACCGATTGCGGCAATCACGTGATGTTCTTACATCTCGCCTCCGTTGACTTAGGTCAGGTGTCTTTCGTTTTTGGTGTGTTCCAATACACCAAATTGCCCGACATTTATAAGACCCAAAATAGGTCTATCTGTCTAGCTGTCTGTCGGTATTTGAAATTGGTGGAACGTAATTAAAACAAAAACTCTGGCGAGGTAAAGATTCACCTTTTTTTAATCTTTATAGTAATGGGTCAAGAAAGTTTCTAAGAAAATTGCAGTTTTTTTTCGTAGTATAATTACAATACCATCATTTTTAAATTACTAAATATTTTTAGTGTAATTTGTTGTACAAAATAACAATACCCGTATAGTAATTTTACTGAACAAATTTTTAATAAATGCTTCGTGAATTTTAACAAACGTTTTGTAATTTTCCCAAATTGAGTTGTAATGAATCGTGTAGTTAATTTACAAAACTGAGTTTTATTATTACTATATTGTGGTGCGTAAAAACTTCCTGAGCATGTTTGGTAAAATTACAATAAAATTTTTTAACAGTGTATTTTTTTTATTAGCCGCTTAAAATGCTCATCAAACAAAAAGAATCTTGTGGTTATTCAAATACTGGCAGTAATTATGGAGGCCGGAATAAAATGTTATGATTATGAAAGCAACAAATTAAAAATATGTCAACAAAGTCCACTAAAAATTACCTTAAAATGCAAATTTGAATTTAACGTTGAAGAGTTCTGATAATGTATTATTTTAGTCGCCACGCTCGGTATGTTACGCAGTGTGCTGTCCAGTTTGAATGTATAGTTATAGTTGGAGCTAAAAGGCGTTACGTAACGATCGCCGAAACAGTTGACTTCTATTTTCTGCCTGTGGTCCCATGTTACACCGCCATTTAACAGATACATATTTCGCAAATGCTCGAACCTAAAAAATTAAATTTACTCATTTTAAGTCACCAGATGGCTACCCGGCTCTGATGAGGTGCAAAAGAAACAATTTGTCCTTGTGATCAGGTTCCTTAAAATAAAAACTTACTTGGCTTTTATCATCATAATTCTCCAAGACTCGAAAGGAGTGATCACTTTTAGGTCCAAATTAACGCTGAACCCTTTTTGATGTTGACTAACAATTAACAAGTCAAATCCTAAGGATTTGTCGTCATCCCAGGATATACTTGCTAAAGCGTCAATTTTCCCTCCTGAAATAATATTAAACGTAATGTATTTTTCGGATTCATTTTTGTTTGCTTACGGTCGAGAAAGAATTCGTATTTGCCGAGGATTGTGCGTCCAGGATAGCTCATGACAAAATCTGATACCTGATTGTATTGCGCGATTTGGCTGAAATTAGCGGTTAACAATAGTTTTTGCGTGGGGTCCCGGTTTGCGTCCCATTTAATATCAAACTCTATGGCTTTATAAGTTTTTTGATTATAAAGGGAAACCAAAAAATGAATATCGCGTAATCTGGAAAATAAAACAAAGGAAAGGAATATTAAAGCATGCTTGCGTTACACAATGGGTGTTGGCTTTATTCCTTTGGGATAATGTGAAATATTGCCTTTTGGAATATATATTATTAATGAAGCATTGTTGAGAATTTATTAGGATAAATACAAATATTTTCCTTAAGGTCCCGGCAAATGATATAAATTTGATTGTGATTTGAAAGTCAACTTATTTGTAAATAAATTTTCATAAATACATACTGATCTATTTTCAGTTCGATTTCGGCTCTTCTATACTCTCCAGAGTAAATAATCGCATTCATAGTATAAAGCTGCTTTTTATATTTTATTTTTGCATTGGTGTTTACTTGGTGGGGTGATTCATCTTTTTCAATGAACACAATATATTTGTCCTTATTTACCTGCAAAACATTTATCAAAAACTTTCTACTCGCACTAATTGCTTTCAGATTTTGTTCATTTTTTTTTGTTTTTGTTCTTTGGAATAATGGCAGAATATTCCCCTGAGACCTCAAATCGTCCCAATAAGAAATAAAAAAGGTACATAGTCAAAAAAAAGTATAAATGAAGCGTCTAAGTGCTACTAGCTAGTGCCAAAAAAAAAATGACTTATTTAACAATAATTTTTATCCGAAATAAAGTAGAACCTTACTGCCGATTTAATCCGAGTATTGTATGCAACCCATTATACATTTTAAGATGTGTCTACTGCTCCTCAGCAGCAACTAAATAATATTTAAAAAAGCACCTTCGCGGAGGTCGATTGGACCCTTTCATAAAATGTTGTTTAATAAAAATATTAAGTTAATTTTATTAATTAGATTAAAAAATCGCCGCGGCGGGCAAATATATAATAACCGTCGCAACAAACGGTATACCTACATTCAAATGGCATTTGATTTAATCGAAAGCCTCGTGATAAAACATACGACTTTACTGCCTTGATACATAAATAACTATTATAAGAACGATTACGTATTATTTAGATTGAAGGGACAGAAAAAAAGTGGACAAAATCTGAGTAAGCAAATGGACTGCGACTACCTTAAAATCAAACATCCAGTTGCTGATGTTCTTGTAAAAGACGAGATGGACGTCGAATTCGTCGAACAAGGTTTTGGAGGGGTCCTGTATGTTGAATTTGAACCTGTGGTCGGTGGCTGTATCGCTTTTATCCTGATAAGTTCCTCTTACGACCACCGAGTCGCCGCTGAACCAGCTAGCGTTAATGTTGGTTACATAATCTCTGGGCAGCTTTTCCTCCAATTCGAATATCAATATCATCGGCTTGTAGGATGGCACGGTAATGTTTAGATCGGCCTTAATTTGTTCGAGAGTGGTGCGCGGATGGGAAAAAGCCAAGCTTACGGCAACCTCTTTATTGTTAGAATTCACCGAAAGCTTGCAATTAAAATGATCTCCCATTTGCTGGTAAAATATTGAACCTTTTAAATTGAGATTACTGGAGGGCCGCACCACGGTAACTTCTGTACTTAACGATCGTTTACTATCAATAAATTTGTACGAAAATGATAATTTAAATTTTAAAGTTTGTTTTGCCGCGTCCGGATGGCTCTCCGTCAATGGATTCTGATCCAAGGTCACGTTTAATTCTACGTGATTATCCGTTTGCTGAAACACCAATTAGATCAAACTTTTATTCTACCAAAGTTTGCATGCATAAAGTTGGCTGATTTAGTTAACCAACTCATTAGCGCCGGTTATTGTACGAAAATATAGCCGTAAAATGAAAATGTATCATTTATTAATAGTAACATACAAAATTTAATTGAATTTCCTTTGTTAAACCCAATCACATTAAATTTAAATAACATTTTAATTAATACAAGTAAACATGCAATACCGCAAGCAGCATTTTAAAGCAAAAAGTATAATCAGCTTTACTACTTATGTTATTTTATATGAATAAATACGGAAAACTTAGCTTGTTTACTTCGGAATTACTTCGAGTTGAACAATAAATACACTTAAATTTATATAATTTTCATAAAGTAAAACTATTTTGATCGCAATTTCACCTAAAAGGTCAAATGATACATTTTCACTGGTGATGCAACGGAAGCAAAAGTGGACGCTAAAGCAGAAGCAAAAGCGAACACAGATCCCAATAGTACATTTTTTCGAACAGAATGGATGCGGATGTGGATGCGGAAGCGATGCGGATGCGGAAGCGGTTTTGGAGGCGGAAGCATAATAAAGTAACAAATTTTTGTCAATTATTAGTTACCACACTTTTTATGATCACGGCGTAATAACTATGAAACATAAACGTTGTGGGTCGCACGTGCCGGCTCGCTAGGTGCCCCACCACTGGCGCGCCGCCATTTTTAGAAAGTTTCAATATAAACAAAAGTGCTCTTTTAGTTCCACCCTTACTTTCTAAGAAGCCCCAGAAACCAACTGAATGGCTTGAGCGGGTTAGGGGTTGGGTTGGGTTGCTTTCGATGTTATATTAGATGCAGAAGCGGATGTGAAAAAGTGTGCAGAAACTCCGCAGTAGCGGAAGCGGCATTTCTTTTTGACGATCATAAAACTAACATTCTTTACAGTTAAAGGAACTCATAGTAAAGAATACTGAAAATGATGATTCTTATTGTTACAAGTACTTACGTATAAAGCTAAAAGGGAGTTGAAGTTAAAATTAGGATAGGCAGTGCTGTTTAAGTTGCATTCTCCCTTTATGACGACCATGTTTTTCTTTGACCTGTTGGCGAAACCGAATCTTAGAGAGACCCTGTGCTCCTTGGTATTTTGAAATTTGTAGTCCCATTTTAAGTCGGTCGCCAGAGAGTTATCTTTTTTCGTTATGTAACCGAATAACTTTGATGTTAGCCGTTTTGTGAGGAATTTCAAGTCCACGTTGTAGTGCGACGTACCAAGTTTGCTCACCTGCTTTATTTGGCCTGAAAAAATTAAGATTGTGCGAAATGGAAACTGAATTTATGGCACGTTTTAAGTTTTGTTAAATTTTAATGAAAATTTACTTTTCAAAATTGAATCTTAAGTTTATAATTAGTTTTAAAATTAAAACTAAAAAAATACCTTGGAGTTCCATAACCCGTTCACTATTGACTCCCAAGTAAGCCCTCGGTTTAAAGATAAATCCGTTATTTATTTCGTCTTTGGTCAAAGCGAGCAACGCATTAAAATGCTTTTGGTTATTCACGTCTAAAGTGAGCTCTACTATTTTTTCGGCATCGGTGTTCTTAAACTTGACCCTCGCAGACAAAGCCCCATCCGATGACCTAATAACCACTGTAACGTTCTGTTTTTTCGAATCTATCGTCAAATTGGCCGTAAGCAGCCGCTTCAACTGAGACCCAGGTGTGTCAAATATTAACGAATACGAGCTAACATATTTCTCCATTGTCTTTTTGTACTCGAATAAGTATATTTTAGCGGTCGGATCAGATTTGTTCAGATACCATCTGAAGCCAGCTGGGCCGGCCAAAAGGAAATAAGGTACATTGTCGATTTCAGTCACGTTCGTGAAATGATAGTCTCCACAAGGCTTAAGACCCACTGCCTTGTCTACAACTGCCCAATAACATATTGATTCAGATACACGGTTTTTAAACAAACCACTCTGAGGGACATCCACATCATTCTGCTTCACTATCAACTCAGACCTAAAATTAAATGTCATCTACGATCTTAATATTTTGTTTTAGTTGTTAGTTATTATAAAAATTAAAAATTGTATGAGAACTGGCCTTAACCTTGTTTTAGGTGTGCTCCACAAACGAACACAAACAGACAGCATGTGGTGTGGCTATAAAGCAGCAGGATGCAGCGACAGCGGTGAGCGAAAGGTAATCAGCCTCATCTACCGTCCGACGGATGTGAGTTGCAGATTTCTGCATACACATACATAGTTGGCCGGTAGATGGGGCTGATTAACTTTCTTTCACCGCTGTCGCTGTATCCTACTCCTTTATAGTCGCACAGACGTCCAAAAGACCGAAACAGGCTGTATGTCGGTGCCTGTTTGTGAAGCACTTTGACAGTTCTCACAATTTGGGAACTCCACCTTATGTAGAAAATCTATTTTTACGACACTTAAAAATTGTATGTTAGGATGTTAGTAGTAGTAATAGTAGTAGTATACCTGACTCCAATTAGTTCAGTATTTTGCCTAGGTAGAGTGGTTTTAATGCTGACTAACTGTGATCCCCGTATTTTCGCGTGTGTTTGAACAGAGCTGGCTGTGTATACATTTGTTTTAAGCTTAATTCCCGTGCTGGCGTAGAAAGCATTAACCGACATTTCGCCAGATATATCCAAAGAAACGCTCGGTTTGATGTTGACGGTGATATCGAGCTCTTTGTTTTTAAGATAGTTGCCGGTTAAGGAGCCTTGGAGTTTAATGTCGACCGAGGCTGTACCTACAGCGTTGAGCGCGATCGGTAGCCCCGCTCCCGATGCTACATTATAGCTGCTATCCAGGAACATTAGGGCCTTATTGTATACGATTTCCTGCGGAATAAAGATAATAAATCTTGCTCGGATGAATTTTTATTGGTCGATTAATTAAAAACTTAAAGCGATAATTAATGATGTCTATTCTTGAAATAATTTATTAATCTTACCTTTCCCGAGAGGATTTCTTTAATATGTTGGACAGGATTAAGTTTTCCTAGGGCGTCCTTAATTTCCTTCATGCCGCTTAAGGTATTATACTTTAACTCATTGCCGAATATTTTAAATCCGAGGGACACCTGTTGAGAAACAATTATAATTAAGAAATTATCAAATTTTGACTCGACTTTCGCTCGAGGTTTTTTTAATTAAACTTTGAAAAAAATAATTCCCCTCTTTTAACTTATAAATGGAATAATTTTCAGACTTGAGTAGTCCGGAGAAACAAATTGGAAAAAATAAATTAAAATTAATGAGGTTTGTGAAATGTACTCTTTTAAACGTTCGTCATAAAAAGCAAAACTAATTAAAATATAATATCTGAACTTGGTACCCACTTTTGGATTTTCATTAAAATCTTTCTTTATATTAGGAATGCCCTCCACATCCCCAATTAACGCCTTATCATCGTCTATGCCTCTAGTCCATCTCATTTTACGAAATGGCAATTTATCGGTTATATTATACGATGAACCTTTCGGCCCGAATAACGATTCCAAATATTGCTCGAAGCCCTCCGCTCTTGCGTTAATCTAAAAACAAATTCATATTTCCACTTCACATCTTTATTTCAACCCTATTTACCTCTAAAAAGTTAATTGACTCCCCGAACACATTTACTGTCAGATTAAGCATCCCCGATCTTGGCACGTACGAATCCGGAGAAAAAATTACATTGTTCTCGTAGCTTCCACCTGAATAAAACACATTGACAAGGAACCAAGCGGCAAAAACTTTTTCTTACCTGCTCTAAACTGATCGAAATACAATGACCCCTCTCTATTATACGAAAATTTCCTGACATCAGTGTCAAACTTCCTTATCAAGTCCTTTTCAGTCAATATACTCTGCACTTCAACTCTGGATGGTATGGCGGACTTCAATAGGTTGTTTAAATGCGTCCAAACGAAAGAACCAACCTGGTTCACCTCTTCATTTAACATGGTATTTTTAACATTCCTAATGTTTAAATAATTCGGGCACTTCATCAGCTGTAGGTAGGAACTTATTCTTATTTCCACATCTCGATCCTGATCCATATAGATATCCTCAAAGTAATCCCTGTTATTCTCACAGGGCATTCTTCTAAATGCGTATACAGCCTCAAGTCTCACTTCCATGTGGATATTTTTATTTTCTATTATATGGTATAACTCTTCTTCAAAGTTTGTGGTCACTATGCCGATGTTTGATAAGGATTTCAAGGCGATTATCAACTATAAAAATTTGAATTAAAATAGATGTAAGCCTGTAAAACTAAATACTTACACTTTCCTGTATTTCTCTATCGTTATTCTCAGGATCGTAATAGAATTGTCGAATTTTGTCTTCCAAATATTGCACAATAGCTTGAACGCTATCATCATCAGCACAATCGTCGAGCAGTTTGCAGTATGTGTGGGTAAGCGTGGAAATACTTAACGCTAAATCATGGCTAAATGATTTTTCGCCTAGCAATAATCCAGCGGTTATTTCCATCATGTTTTTGTCAGGTTTCGTGGTAAAAGCAATGGATGATATCCACTCTTTTTTTGTGCTTTCGGGGATCGTGAGGCTTTCTTTCAGCATGATTTCCTTCATTAGGCGCACAGAGGCCGGTGTTCCGATGTAAGGAAGGCCGTCGATAAAGATTTTTCTAAAAATGAAATCATTGTAAAATTTGAATTGAATTTGTATAAACAAAATTTAACAGAATATAAAAGTAAATTTTTCACTTTTGACTGGAGAGAATTGTAATCTGATTCAGTGCTCTTTATAAAGGTGATAACTAAATAACCTTGCGCCCTTTTAAACGAGTACAGGTGTCCCAGTTGTGGTCGAGCTGATCAACTAAATTAAAATGGATAATTGTGGCTATGATGTATGGCTTACCTAAAATAATTACGCTTTGAACTTTAACCAATCAGGTGCGCAAATTCGCCGAATATCTTCAAAAGTGATTGGTTTGGCGGTTTACGTGTGTTGTGTTAATTATTTTAGCGTGTATTTTACTCATTAGTGAAATTAAATTCTTGAAACAAATCGCATAAATTGTGCGTTTTTCGACAAAAGGAAAACAGTGTATGCAGCATTTGTTGAACTATTGATTTTTAAACATATGATACTGTAACCAAAGCTGTAGTGATTAATGGGTTTTCATAAATAGGGGCACAATTGTTTAACTTTTGTTCGAAACGCTGCTATTTTAAAGTAAAAACAATAAAGTCATGATACAGGGGACTTAGGGCTTTAATGAATGGATTGAAGCAGACTTTATTCTACTCTTTCGAATTATAAATGACTTTGCTTTAGTTTGAATAGAAATATAAAGCCGGATTTCACCTAATGGATCACGATAATTTGATGACTACATACATAATGAAATAAATAACGAAATTGAAATTTTGCATAAACCCAATCATCAAATTATTCAGCTTTAAAAAAGAATTAAACTTTGCACAATTTTGATACATTTAAAAACGATTACTTTAATAAGAAAAAGACAAGATTAAAAGTTTTCAAATTAGGTACGTCTCTCGAGAACACGATATAACCGCATCTCTTTAATATTTATAGGTGATTCCAGTGCAAAACACAAAAATGCTTTAATAAAAGTTGAAATCGATTACAAGATTTAAAAATTTATTGCAAAAAATATGTTTTGAGTGGGCTTCCACACCACATGGCTGCCCGACACTGATGAGGTCCGCTTAAAACAAAACCGCGCTGACAATATAAAATATTTAACGCATGTGTTGGCAACCTTATTAATAACTTGAATACAATCGATATATGTATTTGTTTTAAGGTTGCAAACCTGTTGCCTGGCTAAATACCATTAAAGCTCGAGACCGACTTGTTAAATAATATCCGCGAGCTAAGAAGACAAATAAAAATCTTGCGTTTATTTTATTTTCGATCTCTCAAGTTTCTATTTCAAGGAAAATTACTTTTTGCGGTTTTTTCTCTTGTTTTCGTCTCATTTTTCAACCGACAAATCAAATATTACCCGGAAGTTTTTATTAATATTTAACTGGAAACGGTTTTTTTCAGCCGTCCACAATGCCACACAAATAAACGATTTTTATATAAAGAGATCACAAGCAGGTATAAAAATTTTACATAAATATTTATTACTTTTCGTAGGAGATCAAAATAAAAAGGCAAACCTTTTGTTGCTTTAGTGTAACTGATGCAAAAACGTTTTGTTGTTCAGTTTATGGTAAGAATAATTCACCATACGATGATAACTAACTACTGATGAAGCCCTGTTTTTATGAACTGAACTAACCAAATTTTACAAGAGTGACTTTCTATTTAAATTAAACAGAAAATTCGAAAAAAAATCATTTTTTAAAAATATCCAGTGCCGTTCAAGCACTATCCAAACCGCATCCAGGTAATTTTTGTACTGTGTTATTTATAAAAATAACTTTTATCCGAAATCGGCAGTAAAGTAGTCAATAATCGGCAGTAAAGTAAAAGAAATCGTAGAACTTTACTGCCGATTTAATAGGAGTATTGTATGCAACCCATTATTCATTTTAAGATGTGTCTACTGCTCCTCAGCAGCAACTAAATAATAAGATTAAAAAATTGCCGCTGCGGGCAAATATATCATAACCGTCGCAACAAACAGTATACGTAGACACTTCCTACATTCAAATTACATATTTTCAATATTAATTATTAGTAATATTAAATGTGATTTCGGATAAAATTTAATATGCACCTCGGCATTAAAGTCATTTTTTATCACTCGGCAATCGCCTCTGCAAATAATTTCCACATTCGTGATAAAAATACGACTTTACTGCCTTGATAAATAAAAAAACTATTGTGAAGTTTCAATGTCAACTAAAGTAAATCAAATATTTTTTGAAAGCTTTTTATTTAATTTAAGAGGCTTTGCTGTGCGTCCGCAAAGCAAACATAAATAGACAGGGCTTGCTCTTTTTATTTATTAAGTGAGCAAACGTGGGAGCAGTAAATAGACTTTTCACCGGATTTAAACGTTGTTATGCTGATGAAAGATTTACTTACAAACCAGTGCTGCAAATCCTGGCGGCATGTCCATGAAGCGACTTGATAGCTGGAAAGGATAACACTCTGGAAGTGCGTATAAATTTGCTAAAAAGATCCGACATTTGAAATTGAATATCGTCGTGATCTTGTTGACACAATTTCTTTATTAAGTCCCTGGACTCCTTTAGCTTCGCGTTTGTCACTTTTTCCGTTAGCGAATGGTCGAAATGAAGATTTGTCCGCTTCGTTATTTCCGGCTGTTCGGTCTCTTCGGGTGCAGGTGTTACATTGATTAACGTTAAATTTTGGGTAATTACGCTCGTAGCCCCGGCCTCTTTGTTCGACAGAGGACGAAGAACGTGCCTCTCCTCACACACGATACTATTGTAGATGTTTTGATCAATCGACATCTCACATCTGCCCCAAGACTTCAAAATGTTATTTTCATCCAGTCTCTATAAAATTAACAATCTGGTGTAATAATAGTATTGTAGCGAGTACCGCTCTGGATCTCGGAATGATGACTCATCGGCGATGAGTCATCGGCGGTGAGTCAGCGCTCGAGCGATCGAGAGCGGTCCGGAGCTCGCTGGAATATATAGGCAGGTAGGCACTAAATATATAAGGAACAGCGCAGCATGGAGCAGGCAGTCAAGCTTTGGTACTCGCGACGAAATAAAATAAATATACATGCATATAAATAGACTCTTGTACAGTAGTGATATATAAATAATTAGTAGTGTTTAGTTAGTTTTATAGTTTCTTAGTGTTTTAAGTGCAATTAAGTTATAAAATAATTCGTTTAGTTCGTTAATAAACAGTGCGTGTTTTTATTCACTCTACGAACAGTAAAAAAACGTTACAGTATATTGTGCGACTTGTGAGAAAAATAATCTCCTCTTTTGACCAATAGACGCAAACAATATTTAATTTAACTACCGCAAGGAGTTTAACTGAAAGCTAACACGCCCACGGGTTAAAGTTAAGAAATGAACAATCAGAGAATTCATTATTCAACCCAACCCTCAATAGGGACAGGAGTTAAATAAACACAACTTTCAAAATAATACAACAAAGAATAACAAAACAAAAGAAACAATGAAAGCCGATATTGCCATAAATATTACTTTACAATGTCTTTGGGAAGCGTAGTATAGAATATAAATAATGCTCTTAAAAGAGATATCTGTCAATGCAAGATGAACAGAACACAATATGACAGTTTACATTTTATCAAGTCAATTTTCTGACAAAAATATTGTTTTTAGTAAACTTTTTTGAATAACATATTAGATATACTGTACCTATATTAAAAAAAGACCAACAGTTAATATCCTTTTTTAATATTTTTTATTTTACTATTATTAATTGGAAAATAAAGTATTCAGGTGCATTCACCATTTTTGACAATTTGTCCTTATTTTTAAAATACAACGTGATAGAGGAAGTTATTTTAGGCACAAAAAATTTTATAAGGTTTATAAAATGAAATTTTAAGGGATTGAAAAAAATTAAGGCCATGAATTGTATGCACGTAAATGTACTACACATCTCGCGAAATTACGTAAACCGCCAAAATTGTATGATTTGACCATTTTGATATTTTTCGTGGATTTATTTTAATGTTCACATCAATAGCTCTCAAAAAATCAGCTTAATCAAAAATGATATTAATATTTAAAGGTCGCTCGAAAACATCAAAAGCAATAAAGAAGCGACCTTTAAAAATTATATTTTGAACTTAAAAAACATCATTTAAATACTTGGGAGTTATCAGATGGTTATTATACAGTGTGTATCAGCCAAATGAAATTTGGCAACACAAATTTTTTCGAATTTCTGTAATCATAGAATTATCGTTCCTTAATGTTTAATTTTCCGAAGCAGTTGAAGATAGGTAAAGGAGGTACATAAAATATGTCTACAATTTTCTGAACAATCCAAAAATTGAATAAAATACAGGGTGTTTCATTTGAAATAAGAAAGTTGGTATTAGTCACTGCTACACTGAGAGAAATGAATTTGTTAAATCAAAAGTTTTAGAAATGCTATGCCTTTTGATATTAAAACAATAAACATTTTGTTGACATAAACTTAAATTTTACTTTCAATTAATATTTTGAGAATGTCAAATTAAAAATGTTATTTTAATAGTCCATTTTATTTAAATCAGTATATTGAATAAATATTGTTAAGAAATTTGATTAAATCATTGTTCTATTAGTTTAATGGACACCAAAATTAAACGAATATGTAAAATTATTAAAGCGATGTTCTTTTATTTTTGCCTTTACAAACTTAGAATATTGAGTCAACATATCTAAGTAATGAATTTCCTAAATGTTGTAAATTACGTCGTTATATAGAGCAGCATGTTCTGCCCTACTCTTTCTCTACCTCTGCCACCACGGCATTGTTCGTTCTAGTGTCGTTTGGGTGCAATTTTACATTGAAAAAACTTTTTTTAATATGTTTTTCTTTTACAACATAGAATGCCTCTAATATGTTTAATATTAAAGTTTTGTAATAATTGAAGACGAAGCTAAGTTTACAGTAATATTTTCTCGCGTTACCATGCTTGTGACATGATTATTACCTACCTACAGTATTTCATAATTAACTTTTATAGCAATGGATTCGTTATTAGACAAATTAATGACATAATTGATGTTTTAAAGGTAGGTTTATTTAATTGTAATATTATTTTACCATAAAATAAACTTTATTGTAGGACAAGATATCGATGAGGAAAAGCTTTTAAATATAAACGCCGACATTTTAAAAGAATTAATTCCAAAAGCAGGTCTTCGAATAAGGTTTTTAAAGAAATAAGAGAAATACAAAAAAACTATTTCGGTTAAGTGTATAAGTATTTAAGTAGTGTATACGTATTCAATTAAACTTTTGTTTGTTGTTAAAATCAGGGTTTAAAAAAATTAGGATTTTTTTGAAAAATTAAACAAATCTGATTTTTTTTAATAAAAAAAAAGGATTTTTTTGAAAAAATAAAAAATCGGATTTTTTTATTAAAATCAGATTTTTTTTTATTTTAATTACATTTTGGATACAACAATTAAAAAAAAATGATTTAAATCTACTTTGTGTTCAAATGAATTTGTATTTATCTAATAAAGATTTTTTTTAATAAATTTTATATTTTATTCAACCTTTCTAGTTAGTTACATTCACATACTTTTATATTTGGTTTAATTATTCAATGTTTTAAATAAAACATTATATTTGAAGTAAAATTTTTTTAATCAATATTTTAATTGTTTGATTTAAGTAACAATTCATTTTTTAACCTTTAAATTTATTGATCCAAGTAATTTTAAAGATAAAAACTGCATTTTTATTATTTCACTGCTAATTGTGCATTTAATTAATATTTTTAATAATTTGATTAAATATTACGATAATATTCTTTTAATAATCCGTGTATTTAATTTTAATTTTTTTAGTGGTTGGACCAAAAAAAGGTTTAAAGGTTAAAATAAATTTCCGAAATTTTAATTTAATAATTTTAATTTGTTAAAACAACATTTATATTTTAACATTTATGAACTACAAGTAAACATTGTTTTTATTGAATGTGCAAAAAATGTTGATTTAACCATTTATTGGTTAATTTAACCATTTTTATTATTTCAGTGTACATGACACACCCTGTACAAAAAGTTTTTATTTTATAAATTATCGAATTTATTCCATTTGCCTGATACACGCTGTTTATAAAGAAAGTCATAATACAAATTGTTATATTACTTGACAATAGCTGGCCATACACAGGCGTTATTTCGCGCGGTTTATCGTGGCGTGTTGGGATGTAGCGGTTAGTATGCACGAAAGAACGGCATGGCAAAAAAAGCGTCATGTTCCATACACTTGATAAAGTATTCAAATGATTTAGCAAGTGATTGCCCGTGGTATATCAGTTTCAAAGGAAAAATCGTATGTGAGTTGGCAAAAAGTGTCATTTATCGAGTCGTTTGAAACTGCATGTGATCATGTACAAATTTTCAACGTGAAATTTTGCCAAGCAAAGGTAAACCGTGACGCGGAATGTGGCGTGTGGACACGCCACACTCCAGAGAAAAGCACGTCTGAAATCCCTTCCCGTTCTATCATTTCGCGCGGCGATACTCACTCACGTACATGATTTTCCATATGTTTTTGCAGATAACACGATAAACCGCGCGCAATAACGTCTGTGTATGGCCAGCTAATATTCTCTACTTTAATGATAGTTTTTAAGGATAATTTAACTACTTAGATTAAGTAATAAATCAGCAAAGCTCGACTATTTTACTTAAAATGCTGCTTGGAATATGGCGTTAGATATTTCATATGGAGCGTAAAAAATCACTTTTTATTATAAAACGCAAATTTCCTTTCCATTTTAGATGTTAAAAATGTTTATTTTGAAGATATCATAAATTTAAGCAAAAGAAAATTTGATTATCTCAGGTTAGTAATATGTTTGTTTAAGAAAATTTTTAAACATATACATAGGCTTTGGTTTTTTATATAATGAATAAATTTAAATGAAATAGGATGATTAATGGTTTTAATTATGGTAAAAAAACTAAATAAATCAACCTTGCTTTTGGTATTATCTTATTCACTCTATCACCCTGTATAAGCAAAAATTATAATGTATTAGTATAAATTTAATCCAAGATTTCATCATAATTTATTATCAAAAATGGTGAGAACCTGTGTAAGTATTGAAGTAATTAAAAGAGTATTAATAGTGGATGATATATGGGACGTTGGAAAAAGTAGTAAGAAGAAGTAAAATAAATTGAAAGTAGAAATATGTGTTATTTGATTAGAAGATAAAGGGCAGGGCATTTAAGAAAAATATATATTAGGTAGAAGTGGTAATAAATTACTAACCGGCTGAGAGCTATAGGGAACAGATTGTACGGCTGAATGTAATTTACCACTTGTCTGACAGGAGTTTAAATCTTTCGTTTTTTCTATGAGTAAGCTAGTTTCTTTTGCCCCAATAACGGCATACTTAGTGAAACATTTGCCTCGCACGTCCTCTTCATCGCCATCGTGATCAACATCAAATCTGGCCATGCTGTTTTGCAGCATGGATAAAATGCCTCTTTTGAAATTTAAAACCCAACCCTTCTCGTCGTCCGACGGGCATAGCTCAGAAATAATACCGTCATTAAAGGAGAATCGCAACGTATTTTCGGTAATCTCTTTCGAGAAATGCTCGCTGTTAGCATGCTCCGAACTTTCATGGCCATCTCTCGGGATGTATTCGCTTAATTTAACATCAGACAGGGTCAAAATTCCGTCACAAGGTGTTATGAAAGCCAAATTCACAATCCCCTCCACGTACAAGTTCGATTCGTTCCTGCTAGTCCCGTTGAACAGAGATCGCACCTCCACGCTGTACATGTAGTCCTGCCGAACTCCCGGCCCGTATTTAAACTTCTCATTCCCTAAACAAATAACTACTGTAAGAGACAATACAAGGTGTCATGTCATCCCTTGGGGGTGCAAGTTCTTCCTATTTCCTCTTTTACATTAGTGATGTTTTTTAATAAAAAAAATCATAAAAATTTACATACTTACACACATATACAAATCATTGGTGGGGTTAAAGTAGGGGAAGATAATCACATAGGTGATTGCATTAAGGCGCCACGACATTTAAAAATACGAGGTGTGTTCAGAAAATAACGGGAATTTTTAAATTTCTCGGGTTTGGAGAGTCCGGTTGTCATAAAATTGTCTTTATTATGTTGGTATACATACCCCTGAAGAATGATTAAAATTTTAGTTATTTTCATTGTTTACTTTGTCTGTGGCAGCCGCTAAGGTTAGACGTGTTTTTATGAGCTCGTTAAAAGAAATGGATCAAAGAATTTGTATCAAATTTTGCGTAAAAAAATAAAATAAAGTGTGTGAAATGTTAACAAAGGCCTATGGTGAGTCTGCTATGAGTAAAACAAGAGTTTATAAGAGTTTCCAAGGGAAAAAACATGGAAAAAGTGGAAGAAATGGTTAAGAACGATCACCGAATCACAATCAGAGAAGTCGCTGATGGTGTTGGCATATCGATTGGCTTATACCATGAAATTTTTTCGATTGTTTTGGGTATAAAACGCGTGGCAGCAAAATTTGTTCCAAAATTGTTGAATTTTAAACACAATTTTTTGCCAAAAAAAATACTGTAATGATGCCCCAGCCTACATATTCGCCAGACATGGCTCCGTCTGACTTTTTCCTATACCCCAAAATAAAGAGAACCTTAAAGGGCCGTCGTTTTGCAAGCATAAATGACATTAAAAGCGCATCGCTGAAAGAACTAAAGACTATCCCAAAGATCGTGTTTGAGAAGAGTTTAGAGGATTAGAAGAAGCGCTGGAACAAGTGCATAATATTTAATGGGGACTATTTTGAAGGCGACAACTTTAATGTACACGAATAAATAAATACTTTTTGCAAAAAACGAAAATTCCCGTTATTTTCTGAACAAACCTCGTAAATACCATATTTTTGTCCTTATTTGAGAAGTATAATAATAGTATATTAAAGAACTAATGTCATAAGACGTCATTTTGTCGCACGCGGACAATTTATAAAACGAGCGACGAAGGACGAGTGCGACAAAAGGTCTTATGACATGAGTTCTTTATGCTATTTTATCTATTTTGCAAAAATTTAAAAAAAAAATTAATTTTATAACTTAAATTTAATTTGGTCGAATTTTACTTTACATAGTTGGTATCACAGTCAATGGTTTGAAAGTTAATGTCAAAATCGATTCGCCATGCCGTCCTTAATTTACTTATTTACAATAAGCGGCTGTTAATGTTAAAGAAGAAAAAAAGGATTTTATTTGGTGTTTAACAAAATTTATTGCCAGAGAAGTCTCGTAAGTACTAAAAAAATCATAAAAATATTATAACCAATATGCAAAATATTATGCTGTAAAGTAAAGCTATGCTGTAAAGTAAATATTATGCTGTAAAGTAAAGCCAACCTATAAAATCAAAATTTTGGGTTTGATAAAGTATCCCATTACAGCACCGAAAGCGGTGTCGTGCCAAATAAATGTCTGATAATGAATTAAATTTTTATGATTTTTTTATTAAAAAACCATAGCACCAATTCAAAAGTAATATAGGAAAAACTTGCTTACTTTGTCCAAGGGAAAACAACTTATTACATGACCTGTATAACAACAAAGGCCAAAACAGTGAAGTGTGTTTATTAGTGGATCAATAAAATATATTTGCCAACACTATAAAAACAAAAAAGTTTTATCCTAGTCATTGCTTCTAAACAAATATTAACTTCAAAAGGATTCCATATTTTATGAGTAAATAAAAAACCTACCTGTGCATTGTGGCCGACCACAAACTCCTGGGTCCTTTAGCGGATCTGGAAACAAACAAGGAATTTTTTCAAGATTATCCACAACACGAGAGTTGGTCAATAAGTCCTTACAAAATCGAAAATGTATTTTTTTTATTAATTCAGAACCAATGATTTTATTTATTTTTATGCTAGTAGCAAGTATAAAAATTCATTGGTAAAGAAATTGCTATTATTTTATTAATTTAATTTGAGGTTAAAACTGTTTTTTTTAAACTGGCCCATAAAGTAGAAAACAATTTTAGTATGTGGAAATTTGATTGAAAGGTGGGATGTGTAATACAAAGCATTAAAGCTGCACAGAAAAATGGCTCTTCCAGCAAAATTACATTAGATAAAAACGAGACTCCTTTTTGAAAACAAACGTCGGTTTAGCTTCATTTTAACATTTACTGTTTAAATTTAGGTCTGACTGACGTGGCCATTAAAAAGTTAACAATTTTCGTTTGTTCTGTATTTTATGATATTACTCCTCTGAAATTTGTAATGTTACACCTATATTATTCGAAGTAAAAACCATTCCGGGCTTTATTCGTTTTAACATTTGGTGTTTTTCCTTCCGTTATTGTGATTTTATTAAATAAATAGCGTAAAAATAACGGCATTTTTTCTCTCGAAATGATGTTGATAAAAAGCTTTTATGTTTAAATTATTTTTAATTTAAAAGCACGGTTTAATAAAAATATACAGCATTTTTACCAGCATAAAATTTAATTCCAGGACCTGAAATCCGGGTAATGTTAAAATGCGTGTTTTCCATTTTTTACATTATTTATTGAAGAAAAATGCACTTTTCCAATTAACCATTTTAAAAATGGATTTTATAGTATTTTTTTTACTCCCACCTTTAAAACGCCCTTTTTCGTACATGTTTCCATGACACTAAGTGACCTTTTAAATACACATTGACAAGTTGTGGCTTTATGGCGCTTTAGTCAAGGGGCTGAAGTTAGCAACAGATTTTTAGTCACGGGCTGAAGTTAGTTTTAAGTTAGTTGACAGTTGTCAAATGTCATACAATCGTTAAAATAAAGTGCCTTTGTTGTAAAATAATACTAAATGTGAAAATTATTTTATTATCTCAATACAAAAATACAAAAAATATTAAATAGTTTCTCAACGCCAATATTTGAAAAGTTTATATGAGCATTGTACAGGGTGTCCCAAATTGGTTGTCCGTATAGGCTATCTCAGTAAATATAAATGCCAGAAAAAATTCGACCACGCATCCCCGTCGTCTTTTTTAAAAATACATCGGATGATGTCTTTGAATTTTCTCGATTCGCATTTGTTTAGGAGATACACCTATTTTTTCAATTTTTGCCAATTTTGACAAATGCTTGTAGCTTCGTTAATATTTGAGTTACGAATACAGGTTTTAAATGTTAGGTAGACACTTTTTATCACAGAATTCATTAGTGTCGACAGATTTTTTTTAGCTCTTTTAGGTTAAGAGATATGACCCTATACGGACAACCAATTTGGGACACCCTGTACTGACCTTTTAATTTCGCCGGCAGTAGACTATAACTTAAATTCGGGCACGGACTCATAAAACATTTTTTTTACTTTCACTGTGAAAAACTGTCAATTTTCAAGAAATACATTTCGATTTATAACCTTTATAATTGTGTTTATAAAATGTAAAAATGTGACATTTGACGGTGACACACAGTTTCCCCTATTGTTTCATAGATGGCGCTCTATACAAATTTTTGATTTAAATCAGTTGAGAGTGTTTAATAAAAACGAGTGTTTAGAGAAGTTTATACTATGACGAACAAAAAGAAGAATTTAAATTCAATTTTATTTTTTTAAATATTCGACATCTGTTTCCCAATTAATAATAAAGCTAAGTTCAGCTTGTGACTAAAATGCCCAAAAGCCACTGTTGCTATCTTCAGCACATGACTAAAACGCCATAAAGTTACAGTAGATAAAATATGTATTGCTTTCCATAGATATCATTTTCTATATATTGTTCGTTTTTTGGTTAATAACGTGTATAAAAATAGGTAAAAAAGCTTGAAAATATTCATGGTTAGTTTATGAGATTGCGTTCCTTAAAACAATATGCATAAATTTAAAAAGCTAAGTGTGTGTGTTGCAAACTTAAAAGCCCTTGTGCATTTTTAATACGATTAAACGTTTCACGAGATAAATTTGAAAAAAAACGATCATCGACCGCTTGAACGTAACCAAATAAAATTTACCAGGCTATCAATATGATAATACAACTAAATTGCAAATTATTATCAGATTATTGCAAAATAAACTTCTCGATATAAACAACAAATAAATCAATTTGATTTGCAAAAATATCCCGACAAATAAATTTCCCTCACCAAATAGGAAATTTTCATTGTTAAATGATTATTAATTTAAAAACAATATTTTTATTATCCATCCCGCTATAAAATAGGTTAATCCATTTATATATCGTTTAAATAAATATTTAAAATAGTTTAATTACACTGCTCAGCACGTTTTAAACACATAATTTTTTCCTTTGCGTTTTACTCATCTTTGTAATGTAATTTCACCGAAATTTAAGCCTTTTTCAGGGCTGGTTAAAATCCAGGATTAACATAATAAATTTAATTAAAAAGTCTTTTATCACAAAAAAAATGTATGTGCTTTTAATAAATCGATATCTATTGTGATTCCAGTAAAATTAAAATAAACTTAATAACTAATTTGAAATCTATTAAAAGTATATTACGTATCAACGCCATTTTATTACGAGTTTTATTAGGCACGAGCGAAGCTTGCGAGCGAGTGTTTAATAAAAACGAGTGTCTAGAGAAGTTTATAAAACGTGTTGCATACTGTTCTTAATCTTCGACGAAAGAAATAAAAATTTAAAGTCAAATTTAATTCATAAATATTTACGAATTTAACCTCACTTTTTCGGAATTTATAATGACTCATGACTAAAATGCCCAAAAGCCACTGTTGCTAACTTCAGCCCGTGACTAAAATGTAAAGTCACAGCTTGTCAATGTAGGAGTAGATAATAGTAGGTACATATATTATGTATCAAATTTGATAAACGCCATTTTAGTCACTAATTTTGTCCCGTGACTAATAACCTGTTGCTAACTTCAGCCCGTGATTAAAACGCCATAAAGCCACAATGTGTATTTGAAAGGTTACGATAATAAGCGTTTTAAAGATGGGAGTAGAAAAAGATATTTAGATTTAGAGAATATATTGCAAAAATAACAATTTTCCTAAATGTTGTTTTTGGTAAAAAATAACTTATAAATATTGTTTTAGGATACATTGTGTAAATTAATGTAAATTAAAAAGGTAAAAAATTGCTAATTTCATTATGACCAGTTACTATAAAATAAAATATCAATCCCTAATATTTAGGATTCATTACAATGAATACCTAACGAAATATTAATAGTTGGTCAAATGGTAATTACACATATTACAGAAAATATGTTCTAGTTTTACAAATAAGTTAATAGTTGTTAAACAGAATAATAACCTAACAAAGAAATTTTTCATGGATCAATTTGTCGAGCATTGTAATAAAACTGAAATTTAGTTATTTAATTTAATATTTTATTAAAATCCATTAAAATGTTCCGACACACAAACAATATATTTCATTATTTTTATGTTATTTACCGCATTTACATTATATATAAATAGACAATTCGAATAAAGCACTAAATGTTCGTTTTTGGCTATGAAATACATTATGATTTTAAAGCGGAATTAAATTAAGCAATTAAATTTGTCGTTTTAATCTATTTTTAGTGTTTATCTTAATTAAAAAAAAACTTACTTTCAAAAGATGAAACACAATGCACTGACACCAAAAAAATAGCACTCAAAAAAATGTTTCTCCCAACACTGTCCATTGCGTAGGGCCCCATCACCATGGACCGTACGATGATTTAATTAATATTATTAAAATAATAATATTAATAATACTTTAGGTCCTACAGATTGCTGATTGAGGATGTTAACTGACGACGTTAACTGACACAAAGGTTATATGGGGCCAAAAATGATAAAGAGATCGGGGGGTCGAAGGTTATATATGATTCTAAGAATTAGATTAATAATAAGTATTAAGTATTAGATTTTTAAATGTTTAGGGGAAATTATTTTCAAAACAAAATTATAGAGATATATTGTTCTATATGCACCTTAAATATTTCAGGTAAAATTATAAAGTAATAAATAATATAAAGGTGTAATCGCCTTCGTTCTGACACGTAAATTTCATTTTTAATTTAATTTTATAATGATGTCACATACCTTTAATTAAAATAGAGTAACCTAAAAAATAAATGAGAAAAATCTTGGCCGTGCTTTCGATAAAAGTTTAAAACTTTTTCCATGTCATTTACGTGAAGTTAAAACTGTTTCTTTATTTAATATTTTTGTTGATATTTAAAATGCAAATAAATTGCAATTTAATTAATGGTAGTGTTTACAAAATATATCAAAAGGAAAATAAAAATATAGCTACCAATACTGCCGAACTATAATTAGGGCTAAACAAACATGAAAGCAAATTACTTGCAGCATAATACTAATAGAAAAAATACAGGGTGAATAAAAATAATTCAGTAAAACAATTTATTAATAATAGTGAAGCTTGCCAGCGAGTGGTTAATAAAATGAGTGACTAGAAAAGTTTAAAAACGAGTTACATAATACGACAAATATTATTGTAAAAAATATTTTATAACTAATTAATTTAAATATTTCTATACAAAAATTGTTGTTAGGAATCTGTGTTTCAAATTTGTCTGTAAAAATAGAAAAATCTTCCTTAAAAAATGGACTAAAAACCGTTAAAATTCGATATAGACGCAATTTTTTACAGTGAAAAATTTCAAAATCAAAATTTAACCCCATCTTTTTTAAATAGGTATTGACTTTTTTCCATTTTAAACCAAGGTCGAAAATACCTATAATATCTTACTTAGAAGTTATTTCCTGTACTACGTTTATATAACATTTTTTAAATATTTTAAGAAGTTCCACCACCTTTTCGATAACCTTTCGTTAATAAAAATAATTAATTTATCATAGCTGAACCAACAATAAAATTGCTTGAACAAGAGTAATTTATTTATTTAACAAAATAAATTGGATTTTTATGAAAAAAATAATATTAAATTTACTTTAAATATGTGCTATTAATAAACTTGTCACTACTTAATGTTCAATGACTTTGAGATTTGTGGAAAATACTTAAAAGTACATGCTTCTCAAAGAAATGTTCTACTTTTTTCTGTTTTAAATCTTTTTTCTACTCCCACCTTTAAAACGCCCTTTATCGTACATGTTTCCATGACACAAAGTGACCTTTTAAATACACATTGACAAGTTGTGGCTTTACGGCGCTTTAGTCACGGGCTGAAGTTAGCAACAGGTTTTTAGTCACGGGCTGAAGTTAGTTTTAAGTTAGTTGACAGTTCAAATGTCATACAATCGTTAAAATAAAATGCCTTTCTTGTAAAATAATACTAAATGTGAAATTATTTTATTATCTGAATACAAAAATATTAAATAGTTTCTCAACGCCAATATTTGAGAAGTTTATATGAACATTGTACTGACCTTTTAATTTCGCCGGCAGTAAACTATAACTTAAATACGGGCACGGACTCTACTGTAAAGTCCTCAAAAAACATTTCCTTTACTTTCATTGTGAAAAACTGTCAATTTTCAATATACATTTCGATTTATAACCTTTATAATTATGTTTATAAAATGTAAAAATGTGACATTTGACAGTTTCCCCTTTTGTTTCATAGATGGCGCTCTATACAAATTTTTGATTTAAATCATTTTAAGATAATAATAAGTTTTTGTCGTAGAAAAAGTATAGTATGCACCTCGTGCTCGCTCGTGCCTAAATTAAATTCGTGTATAAAATGGCGTTTATCAAACTTGATACATAATATACTATTAAAGTTTGCCGTTATCTTTAAATTTTTCTACTCGTCAAACCCTTTCATTTGATACCCAAGTCAAGGGGTTGTGAAGGGTAATCCGCCATATTGGGGCGGCCGCCATATTGGATTTAGTATTACGTCACTCACCTTCTCGTTTTCTGCTCGTTAAATCCGTTGACAGTTGACATAGGTCAAATGTTTAACAAGTTAAATTGGCTTTAAATTCCGTTTTGTGTTCGTCGTAGATAAAGTATAGTATGCAACTAGTTTTATAAACTCCTCTAGACACCCGTTTTTATTAAACACTCGCTCGCAAGCTTCGCTCGTAACTAAAATGGTGTTTATAAAACTTGATACATAATATACCATTATCTGCTCCCCCATTGATAAGCTGTGACTTTATGGCGTTTTAGTCACGGGCTGAAGTTGGCTTTATTATAAATTGTGAAAAAGTAAGGTTAAATCCATTGACAGTTGACAGATCTCAAATTTTTAACAGCTAAAATTGGCTTTAAATTCTTATTTCTGTCGCAACTCATTTTATAAACTTTTCTAGACACTCGTTTTAATTAAACACTCGCTTGCAAGCTTGGCTCGTGCCTAAAAAAACTCGTAAGTAAAATGGCGTCTATAAAACTTGATTCATAATATACTGTTAAGCACATTGTTTTTAAACTGTTAAAACAATGATATAATTGAAAATAAATAATATTCATGGCTAAATCAACATTAAAATTGCATATAATAAAATAATTGTTAAACACTTCACTGAGATACAAACAATACAATATAGGTATTTAATTATAAAAAAATAAAACAATTAGATGTACATAATATATATTAAATACTAAAGTTCATTATTTATAATTTAGTTACTTATTAAACAAAATAATTTTTAAAAAGTTCATTGAAAATAACGATTAAAAATAAAGCTTATTTATGAGTAAGTGGCGCCATCTTTTCGTAAATTGCCGAGTGGGAAATCAACGCGTAGGTATGACTTTAATATGTAGTAAAACAATGTAAAATTAAATGTTTAGGGCAATAAATATAGACGTCGAGTTTGAATGCGATAATAAACATGGATGAATGAAATATAGTGTCAAAAATGATTGAATGTTAAACTATGCAACGCGTTTATAGTAGAATGCATGGAATAGCGTTGCGTTTAAGTGCAAAACGGTCAAAATGAAAACATGCATTTTCCGATGCGGTGCATAGAATCCGTTAGGCTATTAAAGTTTATGTATTGACGCTTTCATTCCCTGAAAATTGTTGAAAGGAGCCTCGTGTAGAAGCTGCGCAGTCAAAATGTTGCGCAAAAGCTCGATTCGGTTTGTCGTCAACTTAGGTCATGCTTACTCTGCAACGCAGGACAGAAATCAATACTAAACCTTTTCTGATGAACCCAATGCCCCACATTGCTATCACATTCACACTAGAAACCGTAGCCGGTAGTTGCATTTTAACTTGAAAACTATTCTACAAAATTCCCGCGGACGCATAGTTGTAACAAGGGCCAGTGATTTAATAATGGGATAGCATCAGAAACACCGAACATAAAAACCTAAAACGACGTCTAAGGTCAGTCTTTAGCTTCATATCAAATTACTCATTCCACATCAGCTAATCTAGCATCTGTCGCAGCAGTAAAGTAAACAATACACTATTTACCATAATACACTATCAGACCCACACCATACATATCCTTTGTATTTAGCTGCAACAACTAGGTCATCAACAACATGTGTTTTTCATATTATTATTATATTCCATAATACCTACGCCAACGCAATCAATCAATTCTAATATAAGTTCTTCTATTTTAGCAAGGCTGATTGTTTGATATAAGATGATAGATCCATCATCTTCTGAAGAAGACAGTGATGAAGAGCATGGGACAGGTCATCATGGAGGTCACCATCCTTCATCTCATCACCATTCTCAGCATCACCCATCACATCAAATGCCGGTAAAATATACTTGCTTCTATATATTTATCCTTCATCCTATTCTTGTTCATGTTTGTTATATTTAGTTGCAACCCTTGGGTTGAAGTGGGTGTTGTTGTTGTTTTTTAGACTGAAACGTCTCCATATCACAATCATCCTCATAGCAATTCAGAGCTGGGTAGTGGAAACTTGGAAGTACCGAATAACACAAATCCGCAGCGGTCTTTATCACCATCAAGTGCCGTTTCAGCTGAAACGCTGACTCATAGTATCGGGTCGAGAACGAATTCCTTGCCGAGACCTACGAGCCCATCGCCGTCGATAGCCAGCGAAAAAACCGAAGTAGATCTGCAGGAGAAGCAGGAGCGCGAGGAGGAGGAACGGAAACGTAGAATACAGTTGTACGTTTTTATATCGCGATGTATAGCCTATCCATTTAACGCGAAGCAACCCACCGACATGACCAGAAGACAAACCAAAATAACAAAACACCAATTAGAAACGATCAGCAATAGATTTCAGGTGGGTTCTTATCAAACAAATATTAGAAATATTCCCCAACACCAAAAGTTGTAACTGGTTACACTTCGCTTCTGAAGATGCCAACATCGTTGGCGAAAAGTACTTTAAGCACTTTGTGTTTTGTTTTGGTGTTGAGGAATATTTATAATATGTGTTTAACATATCACCAAAGTTGTCCTTTTTCAAGTATGGGTTCTTATTATTTACGTTGTTACAAGTCTTTAATTTTAAATATTGTGTGTTTTTTGCAGAGCTTTTTAAAGGGCGAAACACAAATAATGGCAGACGAAGCCTTTCAAAATGCTGTACAAAATTATTTTGAAGTTTTTTTGAAGTCTGAACGAGTTATTAAAATGGTACAGTCTGGAGCCTGTTCTCAATACGATTTTAGAGAAGTTTTCCGGAACAACATCGAAAAACGAGTCAGGTATGAGTTTTGTTTATGCAATGTTATTTATGATACCGTAATTTTGAAATTGAATTGCAAATTCTGCGTATTAACATTTCAAATGGTCCATTAATTTAAAATCAAAACTTGGGTGAGGGAGAAATGAAACTTTAACAACCCTTTCAAAGCACCATGCAACATTTTGGTGTAATTTTCTAATTAAATAATTGTTTTAATTAGGTCGCTTCCAGAAATAGAAGGAATAAGCAAAGAAACAGTATTCACCTCGTGGATGGCAAAATTCGATTGCATCTTAAAAGGTTGTAAAACGTATTTAAAACGCATGAAATTCAATCAAATGTTATTGCAGTTGCCGGCGAAGAAGATAGCAAAAGACCTTCGAGAATGCAACAAAATCTGAATTCTGAATTAATTTTAACTAAAGAACAGTTGTACGACATGTTTCAACAAATTTTGGGGGTTAAAAAGTTTGAGCATCAGCTGCTTTTTAATGCGTTATTGGTAAATATTTTTTTAGTAGAAGAGTTTTGTGTTTGAATGGGTGTTTTTTTAGCTTGATTCAGCTGATGAACAAGCAGCCGCTATAAGAAGAGAATTAGATGGAAGAATGCAAAAAGTAGCCGAAATGGAAAAGGTTAATATTTCTTAATTCAATCAGTTAGTTTAAAATGATAATATACATGATAAAGTGATGTAAGAATAGCTTCTAACACGCAATGTTTCCAGAACCGAAAATTAATGCCGAAATTTGTGCTTAAAGAAATGGAATCACTGTATATAGAAGAGCTGAAGTCATCAATAAATTTATTGATGGCGAACCTTGAGTCGCTGCCTGTATCTAAAGGATCAATGGATTCTAAATATGGCTTACAAAAACTAAAACGCTATAATCACAGGTTGCATAACCATAATAATTCGTATAATGTGAAGCACATATTGATGAATTATGTTACTTCTTTTAGATCGCAAGGATCTTTAGCAAAACTTGAAGGAGATTCAGCTGATAGTGATACACAACTAACAAAACTTGACGTAGTATTAACTTTTCAATTAGAGGTAATAATAATTTTCAGCTTTGCGACCGGCTGCCTGTATATGTTAAATCTATACCTACCCGCGCTATATTCAAACCTTCTGCATATTTCACTCTCTTCAAAATTCTCACACTTCGGAATGGGTATTTCTTCTGTGTCCGATCACCATTTCCCAGCGCATCTGCCACTCCATCCTACTACATTGTCACCGTTTATTGTAGGTCATTGTAATGGAGGTTAGAGGCTTAAAATCTCTGGCCCAAAACCGTATCGTTTACTGTACCATGGAGGTCGAGAACGGCGAAAAACTCCAAACAGACCAGGCCGAAGCCTCTAAGCCCATGTGGGACACGCAGGGCGACTTTTGCACCACCCACCCTCTACCAATCGTCAAAGTTAAGTTGTACACCGAAAATCCCGGGATGCTTGCTCTCGAAGACAAGGAATTGGGAAAAGTTATCCTGAAACCTACGCCGCTATCTCCCAAGGTAACAAAGCACTCCCCATTTCAACAGGTATAACCCACACAAATACACTGTTTTAATGTAGACAAAACACTCTTCTCAAAATGAATAAACATAAGTAATTAATTCACAGAAATCGTTATCTTGCACAAATCTAATGTATTTTTATTTATCGCTAACTAAAAAGGTCAGTATATTGAAGTTTAACATAATTAAAGCTTCATCATCAACCCTTGCTTTATTGAAATTTTAACTTTGTATTTTCGTGGCTCCAAATTGAATATTGTGCCGAAAAATTTGTTACAAAATTCCAATTAATTAATAAATAAGCCTAAAAGCAATACAAATCAATTTGGAACCCATACTATTATTTTGAATTATTGTCATCCTTTTAAACCATCATTATTAATTCCATATTAGAGTTCTGTGGAATTTTAAACCTATATTATATATGTTTGTTCAATTTGTTTATTGCTAGATAATTTTTATTAGAAACACATTTCAACAAAATGCTAGGAATATGTAAGTGTACGATCAAAATACGCTTCTTATTTAAAATACTTAGAAGAAATAACCAACAAACCAAAGTAAAACTGATTTAAATGTAAACGTTATTATTTAGGTTCCGGAATGGCATAAAATGACTGTACCAAAAAATCTACCAGATCAAGATCTTAAAATTAAAATAGCATGCAGAATGGACAAACCATTGAACATGAAGCATTGCGGCTATCTATACGCGCTGGGAAAAGGGGTGTGGAAAAAATGGAAGAAAAGGTACTACGTTTTGGTACAAGTTTCGCAGTACACGTTCGCGATGTGCAGCTACAAGGAAAAAAAGTCCGAACCATCCGAGATGATGCAGCTGGACGCGTACACCGTAGACTACATCGAAGCATCTAGTGGTAATATTTCGCACCAAAGTCTTATAAATACGTTCTCAATGTTTATTTTTTTGCAGCCAACCTCATGGTTGGAATGGGTAAGCGTAAGTTTTCTCTAATTATACAAAACCCTCTTTGCATCCCTCCTGCTCACGAGTATTTTTTTTAGACCTTGAAGGGGGCAGGTTCTTCTTCAACGCTGTCAAAGAAGGCGACAGCATCATTTTTGCCAGCGATGATGAAAATGAATGCCACCTATGGGTGATGGCGATGTACAGAGCTACCGGCCAATCACATAAACCAACACCTCCAGTCACATTGCAAGACAAGAACTCCACCATCTCCAAAATACAAGGAGGTACACTTTTTAAACTTGTTTTTGTTAATTTCTTATAATAATGTTGTTTTAGATGCCGATAAGGCTAGAAAGCATGGGATGGAAGACTACATTTCAGCGGATCCTTGTCAGTTCGATCATGCCTCATTGTTCAGAATCCTGCAGAACCTGACTCTAGAATATCGCCTAAGTGATCCTTATTGTTCATTGGTAAATATTTAATTGAAAAAAATAATATTCACTACAGATGTATTTCTTTAGGGTTGGTTTAGTCCAGGTCAAGTTTTTGTGTTGGATGAATACTGCGCTAGGTACGGAGTTCGAGGTTGCTACAGACATCTTTGTTACCTTTCAGATCTTCTGGATAGAGCCGAGAAGAACGTGATGATTGATCCAACGTTGATTCATTACAGTTTCGCATTTTGCGCGAGCCACGTACACGGAAATAGGTTTGTAAAATGTTACCTTAGGGATTAAAAACACTGATTAATTGATAACAACAGTAATAACTTTAGACCGGACGGTGTCGGGAGCGTAACTCACGAGGAAAAAGAAAAATTCCAAGACATCAAGGAGCGGTTGAGAGTGATGCTCGAAAACCAAATAACCAATTTCAGGTAACGATATCGATGTCTGTCTGTCTAGATGTTTATATGTATACAAGCAACCACTTCCACAGGTCACGCGAAAACACTGACAAAACATGTAACCACATCAAACTAACAATCCACGAAATTTTTACAGGTTTTGTTTTCCCTTTGGAAGACCAGAGGGTGCTCTTAAAGCAACCCTTTCTCTATTAGAAAGGGTGCTAATGAAAGATATTGTTACCCCGGTACCGCCTGAGGATGTGCGCGGCATGATCAAAAAATGCCTTGAAACTGCAGCCTTAGTCAACTACACCAGGCTTTCATCAGAGGCTAAAATAGAGGGTAACCAGAGACAAACTATGACATGAGTTGTTACTAAATTTTATTTTTCAGAGGATCTTAGAGGCGACACCATAGTATCACCAAATAAAAAACTGGATGACCTTATACATCTAGCTGAGCTCTGCGTAGATCTTCTACAGCAAAATGAAGAACACTATGCTGAGGTAGGTTGAAAACCATTGTATTAAGAATCTAAGGTGTCATATAATGATTGTGAACTATAAATGTAGAACTGTGAAAACTAAGAAACTCACTCAGCCTTTATAATGAGCAAGGTTCTCGGTTTATCAAACAAAATTTATTATTTATTATACATCAATGAATGAAAAAATAAATTATATGTCTGCTTACGTGTTCCTTATAATTATATGTTACTACTATTTTGCTGTATTGGATAATCTATTTCAAAGTATAATAATTATTATGTCAATCATTAATCAAAAGTTACCTACTTTTATTACAATTATAAAATACTTTTGATTAGACTTATAATGTCTTTATGAATATAAAAACCATACAAGAAATGTCTATTATGCGATTTTTGTATCTTCATGCTAAAATTTATACATAAATTTTTTTTAACCCTAAATTTTCAAAAATTGATATTGATGTAAAAGCTACATCCAAAGAGTGGATAGTTCTTGTATGACGAGGTGTTATGGATATAAACTAAGTGTATTATGTAATGTACTAAATGTTATGTGTAATCGTAATTGGTGATTCTGTATGTACGTGTAGCAACTGCGCAAGGCAGAGCGGCAACCGTCTACACAAGCGGCCTCGGCGGGCGCTAATAGTAGTTCGCCCGCTCCAGGCACCCCGGTCCGTGACGCCAAGCACCAAAATTCTGTGTCTCGCTATTGCATGCCTCAGCATGCCACTAACACCCCAACAGACCCTACGGCACGTACATCTATTATCTCTATTACTCTTTTTTTAATATCTTAGTTCTTATTGCAACAAACAGGATCTACCAAATAGCATTAAATTATTAGGATGAGATAATCCAGTTTGTTGCAATGCAATTTTACGTACGACGTGTGAATACGTATATTTCAACGCTGTCTTACGAAAAATTATATTACCACCTTTGTCAATAGTTTTACAAAAATAAAATAAAATAAAAACTCTTGGCACTAAACCAGGGGCCGACTGATTAACAGTCCCTCAATTACAGAACATACGTTAAACATAATTTGGCAAATCCTTCCATAAACAACTCAAAATTCTTCTCATCTTCTTTATGTTTTGGCTGATGGATAATGATGTTACCCAATCCATTATGAAACAAATATTAGAAATATTCCCCAACACCAAAACAAAAGACAAAGTGCTTAAAGTACTTTTCGCCAACGATGTTGGTATCTTCAGAAGATGCCAACGTCGTTGACGAAAAGTACTTTAAGCACATTGTGTTTTGTTTTGGTGTTGGGGACTATTTCTAATATTTGTTTAAATATTACCAAAGCTGTCCTTTTTCAAGTACCAACCCATTATGTTGGTGTCTTACATTGTATATAAATTACTGTAAACAAACAACGCAAAAATGTTGCTATTGCTTCTTGCGGTGTGATGATTGGCCTTTATATCTGTATCCTTCCGGTTTCATATCGATGTTGCATACTTTTTCAGTCAGCGCCTGATATGCATGTCTAAGGTGATAAGAAAAATGAACTAGGATCTAGCAGTCCAGATAATAAGAACATATTTGCTTTAAGGCAGTTCCAAGTAGGTTTAATAATGATTAATTATAAAGCTACTTCCACTGCCTCATAATATTATTTCTCGACAAATATTTCCTTATTTGAATTCTGGACTAACCCTTGGTTAACCGGTTTTTAATATAAATAAATCTAACAGGCTTTCGCATGGTTCAGCGATTTGCTAGTAGAACATGCGGAAATATTTTGGTCATTGTTCGCCGTTGATATGGATAGGGTTTTGGCGGAACAGCCGGCAGATACCTGGGACTCGTTTCCACTTTTCCAAATTCTAAACGATTATCTTAGAGCTGATGGTAATATACGAACCACATGCAAATTTATATGATGTTAGTTTTGTTTGAACTTTGTAGATAATTTGAAGAATGGCCGGTTTCATCAACATTTGAGAGACACATTTGCTCCTCTTGTAGTGCGATATGTAGATTTGATGGAGTCATCAATTGCTCAGTCGATACATAAAGGTTTTGAGAAGGAAAGATGGGAAATCAAAGGGTAATAATACTCTATATTCATTAAAATAATTGCAATATTTTATTGATATATGTTTGTTATTAGAAATGGTTGTGCAACATCTGAAGATTTGTTTTGGAAACTGGATGCTCTTCAGTCGTTTATACGCGATCTTCACTGGCCCGATGCTGAGTTTAGACAACATTTGGAACAAAGGTTAAAGTTGATGGCGTGCGATATGATGGAGTCTTGCATTCAGAGGACGGAGACTGCGTTCCAGCAGTGGTTAAAGAAGACTGTAACATTTATATCCACTGATTATATTTTGCCTTCAGAAATGTGCGCTATGGTAAATGTTATATTAGATGCGAAAAATCAATCGTTTAAGCTATGCGCTGTTGACGGAATTGATTTGGTAAGTGTTTATTAAAAAATTTGGAAAAATATTGTATGGAGTATTTTCAGCATCAATATCACACGAAAATCGACGATCAAATCGATAAAACTTTAGCGAACATGAACTCAGGAATGATAGCTAAATTAATGTCGGTGCTAGAAGCGACTCTCTCAAAACTATCTCGATATGACGAAGGAAGCCTAATAGGTTCCATATTGAGTTTTACGGTATTCATCAGATAAATATGCGGTCTCATATCTTTAACACTTCGTTCAATATTTCAGAATGTGTCGGGTTCTGGCAAAGACATGGGACAGGGTTATGTGAATTTTACGCGTAACTGTATGGACCAAATTAGAGGGAAAGTAACAGACGAACTGTGGATATTAAATTTTTTTGAACAGTGGTACACCAGTCAAATCAATATGCTTTGCAACTGGTTATCAGAAAGACTGGATCACACTTTGCATCCACACCAATGTACGTGCCTTGCTCATATTGTAAAGGTACATCTAGATTACCATCTTGATTTGATGTAGCTCTAACGTTTGTTGTTTCAGAAAATTTATTCCGATTTTGAACTTCAAGGTGTAATGGAGGACAAACTAAATTCTAAAGCTTACCAAACCATAGCTCAAAGAATGCAGACAGAAGAAGCTACATGTGCTCTAACTATGGGACAAAATGAAAGGTACCTACTGCTTTTTTAATGTTTAGCTTTCACTTAATTAAATTTAATTGTAGTGGCATGGATGGAATGGATGATGAAGGAGATAGCAGAAGCAAGTCTAAAGTGAACATACTGGAAAGTATGGGGGGCGAGGATGGAAATTTTGTATCAAATGTTGGAACCATGGTGGCTGGTAGAGTTGGAAACATGCTTGGGAAAGGTCTTGGAGGATTAGGTTCAAAATTGGGCGGATCAAGCAGCTGGTTTTAATTTTTGATAGCTTTTTGAAATCTGTTATATTTTCCCTTTTCCTCTTCTATCTATATTAATAAACAAAATGAATCGGTCAATATGATATTGGCTGGTTTAATTAAATTGTTCAATATTACAGTTCTATATCATATAGCATAGCATTGTTTCTGTTGGAATGAACATTTGATTAGCTGCTAAAATATATATAAATCGAGGGTTTGGAATCAGGCATATCTTTTAATTCAAAGGTTCATTTTGACGGAAACACAAAATATAATAAAAACACCAAAACGCAGTTATTTTAGCAAATGTTCTTTAGATTTGCAAAACATCATGTAGACCGTTTCAAAATTAAAACTAATGTTACCAATATATTATATATACAAATGTATATTATTTCCAGTAGCTTCATGCAAAATGGTGCACATGGAAATATTATTTTTTATTGTTTTACATTGCTTTATATGCTGGCATCGGGTTGTTATTCATATATTATATTTGCGCTGAAAGAAAAACTATTTTTTCCACATAAAATGTTAGTGTCTAAACATGTTCAAGTTGCAAGTTATTATAAAGTTATTATAGTATCTACTTGGATGAAGTTTTTCGCTGACATAATTATTTTTATTTGGGATCCAATGTGTGGGTTTACAAATAAAAAAAATTCTGCAGCGGAAAATAATAATGGAAAAAATCGTTTTTCGTTCTATATACATTTATATTAAGGCAAGTTACTATAAAGTCGAATATTCTAGATTATAAAAACTGTTAAATAACAACGATTAAAAACATCCTATTACCTATATATTGCATGCTGTTTTTCTCTATAGTTATTTCACCAAAAACATTGACGAGTTCATACAATTTTACGGTTAACTTAGATAGTGCTGTTTTTTCAATGATATACATCTAGGTATATTTGACAAGTGTGATAGGCTTGGATAGATTTAAGTTCAAAACTCTTCAATGTCTCAAATTTTCATTCTTCTATTCTTAAGTCTTACTGCAAGTTTAACCAACTGTTTGGATTAATATAATTCTATGAATGTTGTAGAAATAATCAATTTAACAATTACGTTTAACTATTCTAAATAAAATGCGATTTATAATTATATTAATAAACACTTTATAGTAACTATTTTTTGTTTCTTATTTAAGACAGGCGCACAATTTTTTACAGAATATCTATCTCAATACGTATTTACATATCGAGCACTCTTAGGAACAATGCAAATCCAACATAATAATAATATTAATATTAATTAGATATTATTTATTTTTTAAACAACGATGGTCAATGATGTCAACAGAAAAAGCGTTACTTAATTTTAAATGTAAAGCCTATTACTAATATTTATAAGACGACATGTAACTATGGCAAATAATAAATTGTTTTTAATACCACAAAATTCATTTATTTAAGTACATAATCCCCAATTCGAAATAAACAACAATTTATAAGATAAAATTTGCCTGATATAAAAAATCAATACTAAAGTAACGCCCTAAAAATCAATACAGAAAGTAGTTAGAAAAATACAGAAGTTAGTTAGAAAAACCATGGACTCCAAACAGGTCTGCCATCTAGCTGCAGGTAGTCAAACTAATCCTAAATATGACAGAATGGTTTAAACGACTTTAATATGTAACAAAAATATTTAAAAGGGCGAGTTTAAATTAAAATAGAAGTGCTGTCTTTTATATTTATAGAAAATAGATCTACTTTTAGCGGCATCAGTATTACCGCTTCTGTGGTATTACATCTTGCCCACAAATAAAACTAATTCCGGAAAAAAATTAGATTTTTAGGTCGTTCCGTTAGTAACTGAGAGGTATGTAAAAACCAGGCAACCATTTATTTACAGTAAATAAAACTGGTACTTAATTGGTTTTACAAGTTTTTCAAATCGCTGGAAACAAAGAATGGTTTTATTTAAAATTAGCTATTACCTATTATAGCCTTGGGTATCACGCAAATAAATAATTGTGTAATAGCTATTTTTTTTCACGGAACCGGGCCTCTATTTAATCACGCGATTGTAATCACGAAAAAACAAAGGATTAGAATATACGATTGATTGATGGTGTTTTGGAGAGCAACGGGTCAAGAAATTGCCAAGTGTAGGATGGCAGACCCGAAATGGTATATCTTATGCACCTGGAATTATACTGCCCGACATTAATCCACACCTGCCGGATACCTGCATTTTCCTACTCAGGTACAGGGTGATCCCCTATAATGTCGCCCCCCTTTAACTTTTTTATTTTAAGTGTCCCAAAAAATTTAAAATTGTGGTTTTGTAGGTACTAAAAAATACTTTTTTTCTACGTATAAAGAAAATCTGAAAATTTATCAGTATAAAGGGAAAACAAAAAGTTTACTTTTTTTCAATGGATCACCCTATATATGTATTTATTTTTCGATTCCTTTTAAAGTTCTAAGCATATTTCATATAATATAACATATACCTAAATTCAACTGTTTCTGAAATATTTAAATTATTTTTAAGATAAGTTGAAATAGTTTGTCTTTCTCTGTCTGAGTACGCCATTTTTACTTATTTAACAAGACATATTGACATAATGTAACTATAGCAATTTATTTTCATTAAAAATTTTGGGATACTGAGGCTTTTTGATTTCTAACAGTTTAAAAAAACATGTAATGATAACATTTCGAATGCGAATATTTCAGAAACGGTTGAATTTAGGTATATGGTTTGTTATATGAATTATGCACATTTTATTTTTAATTTTACAAGGAATCGAAAAATAAATTCATATATAGGATGATCCATTGAAAAAAAATAAACTTTTTGTTTTTTCCCTGTATATTGATCAATTTGCCATTTTTTTTACTACTTGGAAAAAAAGTATTTCTTAGTACCTACATAACCACACTTTTAAATTTTTTGGGACACTTAACTAAAAAAGGGGGGCGACATTATAGGGAACCACCCTGTACAGAAAACACGGTGCTAACCTAAATATTGGTTGGTGTACGATTTCATGCCTTCTTCGGTGTTTTATATAGAAGAAGGTGTAGGCAGCACATTAACTCTCACCGCTGTCGTTGCACCTTTTGCCTATATAGGGTTAAGAGCCTCAAAATATTAATCTTAAGTTTTCATTTTTTAATACCTCTACTTAAGGCTTTTCTGAATTATCCGAAAGGATATGATATGATAGATATGTTGATGATAAGAAATGGCGTTCTGCTGTAGATATTTTTGTATACTGAATCCAACTTCCGTTCTTGTTTCATTAAGATTACAAAGCAAAATACAACAACAAATTTTATTGCAGGATTTATTAGAATTGTTTATACCTGTGAGTGAGAGGTAGAGAGATTACGTTGGGCATTATATTTACTTTTTGTTATCCTTGTCTGGGGTATAAAATTTGAAAGAAGGTGGGAGAGAGAGACTTTTGCTAAGCATGGTGACGAAATCAGTCAAAAGTCGAGCACAGTCGACTTAGCGTTCGTTCGAGACCGGACTTGATCGCGAGATATCTTATGTGGGCATAGTTAACCATCTGCGGGTGATGTGAAATACAATGAAACAAACGAATAACTATAACAGACAATTACTAATATTTTAGTTTGTATTATAACGGTTGTCAAGAATTATGTGCGTTGTTGTGAGTGCAGTGTCTAAAATGGGGAACGTGATGTTATTCCCATTAAATCGCTCAGGAAAATAAAGTTAGTATGTGCTAGGCATATGTAGTGCATTAACGAAATTAGTGATTGTTTCCTGTTTTGTTTTTTGCTAGAGTTCACTACACTGGAGGTTTGCTTAGAATTAGAATAAAATTTGTGTGTATAATAATAATAACCTACAAGTGAGAACAACTTCATTAATTAAACAAACAATGAGTGTTACTTAAGTAATAACTCACTTAAATAATTTAGTGCCGCGCCACATATATCACATTACATACTAATTTTCTCCAGCTCACGTGTTCTTCGTACTGCAGACTATTTTTCTATTTTTACTCTAATAATTATTGTTTGTGCTAAATCAGTCATATACATCTGTTAGGGAAACGATCTCTCGTAAAATATTTCTAGGATAAATAAACGCATGAAATAGGCACAATTATAAATAGTAGTGCTCTCAAAATGCCACCGAACTGTTTTGTAATTATTTAACTGACCTAAAACTTTATTTGAGTTATGCCTAGTTTAATTTCACATATTCGTCCCAAATATTTTGGCGCCCGTAGACCGCCAATTATCTTGCGGATACTAAAAACAATAAATTTTCATTAATTAGTTATAAAAGTAGAAAGTTCTTTGTTTACAATATGCATCATATACATCATATTTGAATTTCTATTATAAATCAGTACATTCCGTTTCATTAATATTAAATAAATGAGTCGAGTATAAGCTGCGTTTTTAATGCCATAGTCAGTGGGAACCATTGATATTAACAAACGTTTTTCCTTATTAAAATGCCACTGAAAATGTGATCTTTATAATCTGTTGAATTAAATCTTGTTTCATCAACAAAACAAAATTTACTGAAAATATTGTATTGCCATATTAATATTAATAAGCATGAAGAAAGTGGCCGTAAACACAAAAAAACAATAAATTACAAAGGGAAACATTTTCCTGTTAATGCATTGTTTCACATGTATTTTATTTAAAGGAAAGTAGCCCTAAAGCATACGCTTTTGTACATGGAAAGTGATATACCATACTTAACTGCAACACTATTATTACAACTAATTTAACATGTCAGATTTCAACAGTTGATTATATACGGCTTTATAATTTATTATATTTGAATTAAAGCCTTGCAATCTTAATGCTCTTTACTATTATTTTCGAATAATTTCTTAGACTTGGATGAAAATCAAACTTTTAGCATTGACATTTTTATGAATGAAACAGAAACAGAAAAATAAAAATAGAAGTGTTCTAAAATTGTATCTTCCGTAAGAAAATTTCAATGTTTCGTTAAATTTCAGTGTGTCTCCAATGTAGTTTAACGCGGATTATTTCACAATCTCAGAGTATTTTAATAATTTTGAATTGATTCAATTATTGGAACAACTCTCTTGTTTCATCAACTTTGGTTTTCATTGACTTAACTTGGTAACTAAATAACTGAAGAAAAAGTGCACCTGATTTTTTGATATTCGATACGAAAGGTAATACAGAAAAGTCCGACCTTGAAGTCTGAATTCGGCGATCAAAACTTATAAAACCAGGAAGTCAACATTTATATTTATTTAATTGCACTGCAATTAAAAGATTTGCGAAAGACATAGATTAAAGCGAAACAAAGGAAATTTTATTTGTTTTCAGAATGGCGACGTAACTCATTAAAAACGGAATCGTGATGAATAATCCCAGTAAACAAGCATCAGACAACGGCAGAAAGTCCTCGACGAAAACATGGAACGATAACTCAACGGCGCCGAACTCAGGAATTTACTATTTTATACACGAAGATACGGAGGAGTCCCAAGTGGAAGAAATGCCATCAGACGTTGGATCGAGTTTGGACACTGGATACGAAATGCCAAAAAGGAAGGCAGTCTCCGAGGACACGATAAGACGACTGGTGCACCAAGCCGAACAACTGGTCACTCCGGACATTGCCTTCAGGAAAAACCACAAATCGAAAATAAGAATCGCTGCTAACGACGAAGATAGTTGTGATGCTAGCGGTGAAGATGACCAGGAATCGCTAATATCAGATTACGACGATAGCACGGCCACGTTGAAAGGTCTCAACGATTCTCAAATGACAGAAAACGGGTTGGGTTCGGAGGAGAAGATCAAAAGTTGGAACACGTCGCTTAACCAGGCTTGCTCAACACCACAAAGGTGAGTCCTCATGCAATAATTAATGAAGTGTGGATAATAGGTAATTATGGCACCCGTAGCTTTCGATTACAGTTTACCAAATACTTTTTCATCTAAAAGACTCAGTCACGTTTTGATTGTTGGTTTCTTCTAGAGATAACAATCATTGCTATCTTAATGACTTTAATTCTATAGTTGGTGCTAATAAATAAATCCAGAACGTATACACATACAAAGATAATTATTCTATTAGCGGTTTTTGTTGTTCTTAGCGGTTTCACTTGTTTATAGGGTCATCACACCTTCCTGTAAAAGGCATTAAAATTAAATCGTATTTTTAGGTTTAACAATTTATCAATGTCAGAATCGGCGTTACACAATATGCATTATCCTCACAAATATTTTAACGGCACCGAGGTCAGCAACTCGACATCATCGACAGTCGAAGAGGTTGGTCCGCATTATTTGGAAAACCCTTCCCCAAACCGCAGAAAAAAAAGAAAAAATAAAACTATGGTAATAGGATTATCTAAAAAGAGTATCACAACAAAAAGTTCATATGACCTTCAGGAGTTAAACAAATGTTGGAAATATTCCCCAACACCAAAACAAAACACAAAGTGCTTAAAGTACTTTTCGCCAACGATGTTGGCATCTTCAGAAGCGAAGTGTAACTGAGTTACACTTCACTTCTGAAGATGCCAACATCGTTGGCGAAAAGTACTTTAAGCACTTTGTGTTTTGTTTTGGTGTTGGGGAATATTTCTAATATTTGTTCAACATATCACCAAAGTTCTCCTTTTTCAAGACTCTCAAGAGTTCTTAAATCTACAAAAAGCAATTTTTAAACTGAAGTCTGAAGTCCATATGAACCATGCCGTGTTGAGATACTTTTAATAATTGCTAATTTTTTCTAATTCTCAATCACGAACTTTTAGTTTGGAAAATCCGATCCATATCTGACTAATTGCTCTCCAAGACAAAAAAGCATGTTGCTTAAGTCTTGCTCGTTTTCCGGCTTCAGTAATAAGCATAACGCTAACGAATCGAGCTCGTGCAGCGAACCCGTAATTATTATGCCAAATATTTGTGATACTTCAACGACCAGTGGAGGAGAAAGCGAAGAGGAAATGTATAAACGAAGGTAATTTTACGAGGCAAAAATGCAAATCAAAAAATTAACGTTCAAATTTTTTTAGGGCGGGCAGTTTTAAGGTCGGTTTACGCACCCACTATTTTAATAATGAGGCGAGAGATTATAGCCCGGGGAAAAGTAGTTTGAACATGGAGGAGCAATCTAGTTCCTTATCGGAGGCCTGGGACAATTACCAGGTAAAATATCAAAACATGTCGCTTATTGATTTTAATTATACCAAATAAACATAGATAAACGATAATATACAAAGTGTTCTTCTTTTACGAAAATCATTTTTTAATGTTAAATGAATGCCATAACCCATTTCACTTCTAAGCTTTAACTGGTGGGCGAAATTTAAGTTAACATTGGAAAAAAGTGAGGTTAAACCTGCTTGACAGCTGTCAGATCATCTGACAGCTGTCAAGCAGGTTTAACCTCACTTTTTCCAATGTTAACTTAAATTTCGCCCACCAGTTGAAGCTTAGAAGTGACCTAACAATAAATGATAATAATAAACATATTCTAGGAGAACTATTTGTCGGAGCCCTATAGCGAATCTCGCGATTCAGACGGCGCCAGAAGACTTTTAAATTTCGGTGAGGACTACAGAAATTTCATCGACAGTCCTTCCGATTGGTCGGCATTTTCCGACGTATCGCCGGTATTTAAAAGGAAACAAAGAACACCCCGTAAACCATATGACGATGATTTTTCTTTAAAGCAATTTCTAAGCGATTCGAAGAATCAATATAAGCTATCGGAAGAATTATTTAATTCGCACAATTTAGATAATCACTTTGTTACAAGTGAGATAGTAAGTTTTTGGTTGTGTTTTTGTATTATTTTTTTTTAATGAGGTTTTTAGGATGATTTATTTTCCAACTGTGATCGGCATATTGCCCTTATAAATCGTATTTTTGAGACCCCTGAAGCCCACAAAATCTCTTTAATCGAACAAAAGAAAATGACAGGTAAATGTGGCGTTACCTTATTATGTACAGTTTCTAAAAATGTTTTTTAGATTTACTTCAGCAATGGAGGCTTCTAAAAAACAATATACAAAAAATGCAGGAATATGCCACCTTGCAAAAAAAGATCTCCGAAACGAAAATATTAATAAAAAAACTTCAAGTACCTGAATATCTCAACTTTAATTCAACACCTCTAGACCATATCAAGAACGAAATTGACGTCTGCAAAGTAAGTAAAAAGAAATCTGTACTATATTTCCACCCCTAGCACACAGAGGGTAGCTGTAGATTATTTTTCCTCATAAATAAACGACTATATATACAAATGTTTTACAAAATGAATATGGCAAAACATATGTACATATGTAAAAATTAACGACAAATTTAATTGTTTTAAAATGTGTTTTCTTAGAAAATTTATCACATTTTATTGGAGTGATTCATTAACATACTAATAAACTATATGTCGATAAAAACTGATTATCTATAGATGTTTTAAAAGGCGATAAGGTTGGATTTGTTAATGATTTGGCAACACGGTGTTTGCAACAGAGTGGAGTTGTAAAGAAAAGTCCTGGCCCTTTTCGTCCTTAAAAGTCCTGTCACGTACGGTGCCGTAGCTATACTCAACATGGCTACGCTTTTATCGTTATTTCAAACTAAAAATATAAAACACCATTTTTAGTTTCTGTCTAGAAGTTTTATCATCATATTTTTTTCCTATTTAAATTATTTTATAATTTTAATTTGCTGCAAGAATTTTAAATCTCAAAAGAAGAGTGTGTTTTTTCTAATTTGCATAAAATATGGGGCAATTGATTTTTATGAAAGTATGGTCAATATTAAGATAAGATATGTAAATTTTATGCACAGCTATAGCTAGATAAACGACTTTTCTAAACATACTTTAACATTTGTCTAGCTTTATTTTCAAATTAAATCACTGCAATACAAATCCTTTGTTAACAATGAATAGATTTTATTTCATCCGGAGATTTTTTCATCCCCTGACTTCGGAATTCACGCATGAAATTTTCTTTAAAAACCCCTACCATTAAAAGGTCTATCGCTCCCCAGTTTACAATAGATTTGAATTTGACTAGGCCGCTACAGAAAGAATAAACAGGTCACTATGTCAATTAATATTTGGGGTGCATAATTTAAAATTAAACTATTATTTTGAAATAATCGACATTTTTATTTAAAAATGTATACAAACTTTGTTAACTTTAAAAGTTGCACAACTTTGAAGTATTTTAATGATGTTTATTTAACGTAATTTTTACGAAAAAAATTACTTATAGGTTGTTTTATTTTAAGGGATTTTACATGGTAAATTTAACTTAATTTTCACTTTTAACTAAAGTTTACTTATAAGTCATATTTTTACTATATTATAACCTTAAATATGTCTGGGAACTTTTTAAGGTTTAAAGTGGTATAAAAAAAGACGCCATATTAAATTATTAAAGATGTAATCCAATAATTAATAAAAATGTGTATAATGATTTTTTACAAATATTTTAGAATATAATCTTTCAATTCAAGTGATATATTTATTTTAAACGCTAGAATATTTAGAGGTAATAGATATTTTTATCAATAAGATAAGATGCGTTTGAATTTAAATTCTAAATACAATTAGTTATATTTATTAATTTTACTTCATGGTTAACTTTATTACCTACTTTAAGCATACCATTTTAAAATATAAATTAATTAGACAAAGAAAATATAAATCTTAAAGGTTTAGAAAGAGAACAGACATGAAGTAATTTTAACGTTATTTTTACGTTAATGTGTGGTATTTAATTTGTCTTTATTTTATTGCTCGCTTGAATAGTAAAAATAACGTATTAAACCATTCCCCATGGTAATTTTTACCGTTTTCGTTTACTGTAAAAATAACTTTTAGGCAACTAAATATGTAGTTATTTTTACTTAAAATTCTGCTTGGGAACTACCGGCAATTGCAGTTAAATACTTTTAAGTAAATTTGCAAATAAGATTTTCACAAGTAATTTACACTAGTATTGTAACAATACAAGCAATTGTATAAATCGTAATTGTCAGCATAAATATTATCTTTAAAATGAATTAACATTGAACTGTACTGTAGAATCTATAGCTTGATCAAATTATCACCTGGGTGCATAGGTTTGGGCACATTAGTATTCAGTATGTGATTCTCCCAAAATATACAGAGCAATAACTTAATTTACAATCAACTGACAAGTGTACCTTTCCCCATCAAGTTTTTAAAATTTTATATAATTACAGGGTGTCAAATATATCTAATTACTTTGAAAGGAATATTAATTGCTCATCATTTAAATGTTGCTTTCACCGGATACTTTAATTCTTCTGTTATATCATGGTAATGAATTTTGTATGTAGGAAATATACCAAGGCAGTAAATTTAAATTAGATTTTACTTCTGTGTCTATAAAAGAAGGTATCTGCCCTTATTTTGCTTCGGATGGCCATAAAGTCCGTAATTTATATACATGTTAGTATGAAGGTCGAAAAAGTAACATAAAATGTTTAGTAGCTGGAATCCACCCTATTTACGGGGTCACCCAAACGACAATCATTAAGTCTACCTGAAATCCTAATTTACATATTTTTTGCAGAATTTATTGAAAGTTATTGATCTGTATAGCGAAAAATTAACTGGAATCAATGTCGATGTGCATAGATTTTCTTTGGCCAATCACGATCTGGACTCTTTAAACTCCAAGCTGAAGGCCAACGTTCTGGACTTATATGAACTACTGGATAGTGCAAAAACTTTGTAAGTTGTAAAAAAATTGCATAAAAGCTTACAATTGACAATATACTTTGATTTAGGAGTACTGAAAAACTGGAACAAATGGGAAATCTACTGCCAAAATGGCAAAGTTTAGAATCCAGACTGGAACAATTCCGTATGGACCTCATGGACGACGAAAAAAATATCGACGCTTTGATTAGCTCATTAAATGATGGGATCTTCACTGATCAAACTGCAACTGGAGTCAGAGACATCGCCAAGTTATTGTCTGAATCGACATATCATCAGGTAGTCAAATATTAGAAATGTTCCCCAACGCCAAAACAAAACACAAAGTGCTGCTTAAAGTACTTTTCGCCAACGATTCAGAAGCGAAGTGTAACTCAAATGTTATAAATATTCTCCAACGCCAAAACAAAACACAAAGTGCTTAAAGTACTTTTCGACAACGATGTTGGCATCTTCAGAAGCGAAGTGTAAGTTAGAAGCGAAGTGTAACTGAGTTACACTTCGCTTCTGAAGATGCCAACATCGTTGGCGAAAAGTAGTTTAAGCACTTTGTGTTTTGTTTTGGTGTTGGAGAATATTTACAATATTTGTTTAACATATCACCAAAGTTGTCCTTCATCAGGTATATTCAGTAGTTCCCCGATTCGTTTGGAGTAAACTTTAGACCAACAGATCATTCAAATTCACAATTTTCAAGTTTTTAAATCCAAGATATACAGTGTCGGGGAAAGCAATAACACTATCAATCAAAATACATTCGTCTCTCTCTCTCTCTTATTCGAAAATTAAGGAATGTTTAATAATTTTGATACCTGCTTGTTTATTGCTTCCCTTTTTAGTAGGTAAGATATTTTTTGAATAAAATTGATTCGACGATGGTTGAAGGTGAATATCTGAAAGTGGATCGAACGTCTGTAAGGACGATTTCGCCGGCAGCATAGAGCGCCAATCGTCCCTAAAATCTATTTAGTATGCCGCGGAGCGCTTTTCATTATCCCGAGCGTCATCCTCTCTTCATTCCTTTCGTCTCTTATATGTGAATGTGCCCGAACGAACTTTTAGCTTGTATGGAAATAGAAATTATTGGTATGTTTTTTAGGGTCATCATTTGGGCGATTTCTTGACTGAAGGTTCAGTTTCGGACAGCGGCATTTCCGATGAAGGTTCAGAACACGAAATCGGCGAACGACAAGGCAGATTATCGGCTATACGACGATTAGTCAGGCAGTTTGAGGCCAGTCTACCTTCAGATTCAGTATCGAAAATCAAAATACGAGAAACCATTAACAAAATTGAAGACGATCTTAAAACGCTTCAATCTAAATGCAGGTCTTTGGTTGCAAGGACCTCAGCATGCTCATCATCCAATCTAAGGTACGTGGTGGAAATTGCAAACTTTCTACAGAAAATTAAACTCATCGGTTTATTGCTTTCTATAAAGTCGCAAATGCATATGAATCTCAATAATAGTTATTTATGTCATTAGGTTAAGAAGTAAGGCTTTTTGTGCTAAGCTCAAGGTTTGAAGGCCGACGCGTAGCGGAGGCCTACAATTGAGCGAAGCACAAAAAGACACTTCTTGACCGAATGGCATACAACATTTTATCTTCAAAGCACTTTATATAGGTCAATTTAATTCAACATCAAAGCGGCCTAACCTCACTTTTTTAGAATCTCATTTATTTATTAGCTAAAGATTACATTAAATGTACAATAATTATTATTGCTTTTAGAAGCAGTAATAGTTTGACAATACCTAGAAATAATGATTTAAGTAGAAATGGATTTTTGCTATTACATTGAATTCAATTAATTGTTTAATAAATAGGTAGGTAGGTATTTCAATTTGTTTGAATTTTTATTTAAAAAATAGGTAGTTTGGAATGTTTAAACTTTGTTTAACATTTAATTTCACTAAAATTAAAGGAAATTAAAACTTAAAGATAATTTAAATTGTAGAAAAAGAATCGTGCGTTTTCTTGGTTGCCTAACCTCACTTTTGGTTTTATTATTCATATTTAATTTTACAAAATATTAAACATTAACAGTAAAACAAACAAATTAGTGCTTATTATAAATAAATTAAACCAGTTTAGTACGTTAATTTCTTAGAAAAGGATTAATTTGTCAAAACAATACCCCTAGCGAGAAAAAATCGAACTAATTACTTGCCTCATAAAATTTTTTATCGGCCTAGGCCATAACAAGGTATTTCTTTATCGAATGTTGACAACAATAAAGTTTAAATTATAGACCGCGTGGAGATAAAATATATTTATCCGAAATCGGCAGTAAAGTAGTCAACAATCGGCAGTAAAGTAAAATAAATTGGCAGCAAAGTAGAACTTTACTGCTGATTTAATACGAGTATTGTATGCAACCCATTATACATTTTAAGATGTGTCTACTGCTCCTCAGCAGCAACTAAATAATATTTAAAAAAAAAGCACCGTCGCGGAGGTCGATTGAACCCTTTCATAAAATGTTGTTTATTAAAAATAATAAGTTAATTTTATGAATAAGATTAAAAAATCGCCGCGGCGGGCAAATGTATAAAAACCGTCGCAACAAACAGTATACGTAGACAATTCCTACATTCAAATGACATTTGATTTGATCATCAAATGACATTTGATTTAATCATCAATATTAATTATTAGTATTATTAAATGTGATTTCGGATAAAACTTAATATGCACCTCGGCATTAAAGTAATTTTTTATCACTTACATGGTTATTTGCCTTGGCTTTCGCAAATAATTTCCACATTCGTGATAAAAAAATACGACTTTACTGCCTTAATACATAAATAACTATTTTTCAGTCTTCAGCAAAAAGAGGCGATCCTGAAATCCTTAATGAAAGGCGAGGATCCTCCATCAAACAGCGATAAGCGTCCCAAGTGGTACAACAGCCGCAGTTTCAAGGCGTCGCTGGTATTTCAGGCGATAATATTAACTTTCGTTTGTTTGACATATTTTTTCGATCCGCAATGTTGCGATCACATGAATAATTACAAATGGTCTTTTAGTCCGAAGTTGCATTTTGAAGGACGCCCCCCAGTATAAATATTTTTATAGATCTATTTAAAATAAAAATTAAACTGTCATCAATTAAGGAAGTTAATAATGTCTACTATTTTTATTTTTAGTTGTAGTGGGATGCATTTTTGACATTATTAATTTATGCGTGTTATTTAGCTTAATAGGTTAAGTTTAGCTTAAGTGTGCGCATTACTATATATTAATATTGATGGAAGTTAAATTTTTATTTTATTCTTGTTTTTTTAAGCTGTATATATGAGACAAAAGCATATTTTTATAGTATTACTTACAATATTGTTTGTTAATGCATGTTTTTGGTGAGTTTTATGAAAAAGCAATTTTTCAAGTTTGATGACGGTAACATGTCGAACCATAAGTTTTCTACTTAACGTGTGGTGCCGAAAATTGTAAAAAATGGCATTTTACCTCGTCATGGTGCATTTTGTTAAGTGTACTTCCACAAACAGGCACCGACATACAGCCTGTTTCGGTTTTTGGACCCCATTAGTGCCGGGTAGCAATGCCATGCCACGTCCTCTGAGGGCTTTCGCTCACCGCTGTCCCTGTAACCACATGGCTAATGAGGTCCAAGAAGCACACTTAAAACAAAAAGCACGGTGACGAGCTAAAAGGCCGGTTTTCATTGATTTTTAATGTTACGAATATTGGCAAACATTCAAAATGTTTGTAATTGTAATTTTTATTACATAATTTTATATATTTAATATTATTACTATTTTCAAAAAGTTAACAATTACTATTTTATGGTAAATCGTTGACTTTTTTATTAGGTCCAACCTAAGTAAAATATTTTTGCAATGCATACCTTTTTAAAGGAAATTTGATTGCATCCAACAGAAAGTCTGCAAAAGAATCCTATTTTTCTTGCCCTACTTACTAGACTACTGTTCCTATTTTTATATGTAAATATTTTCGCCACTATTATACCATAATTTTTTATTTATCGTTTTGGTATTTGGTATTTGCATTTTATAGCCTAAAAAATAAATTAACCCGGTGCCTTTCTGTCAACTAAGCCCATTCTTAGCCTCTTTTATAAACATGTTAACATTTTGATTTTATTTAATAACACGCTGTGCAGCACGTTACTAAATAAATCCAAAATACTGCGCATCAAGAGGCTAATGTTTGTATTATATTTATTGATCTGGGACAGACAAATTTTATTATATTTATTGATTTAAATTGATCTGTCCATTTGTATTAAACGTTATGTTACCTTATTTTATATATTTTTTTAGAATATTTACATGTTAGCATAGCATAGCATTTGACAAGGCATTATTTAGGTAGTTTATTTAAATGGTCTGTAGGGTTTGATGAGTTTAGTTCAAATAAATTTTGACAATAAAAAAATTACAAAAGAATACCTGTTTTATTTAAATCACACCAATTAAAAAAATGTACTTTGCGTACTGGCGAGTTTTGATTTATGATAGATAAATCGATTGAAACTATAGCAAAAGTACTTATTCTGAAAGAGTTCCTTAAAGTTTAAGTGATACTTAACACGAAATGGTACCAATAAATGGACCCAAACTGGTCAAAAACATTGCAGAAATCTTCGAAAGTCGTAAAAGCAACATTAAAAGCTTATTAAAATCGATAATAGATGGAGCTGCACATAAATTTTAAATTTACGCGTTTAAAATCTCGCACGACATAGTTGTAAGTATATAGGAATAGAATTCGAAATAAAATTTAAATGAAAACAACGAACCTTAATTATAATTATTTTCGGTTAGTACATCAATGAAAATGCCTTTTCTTTTTTTTTTGAATGAGGATCACATACGATTTTAAGTATGTATTTGGTAACCTCAACGTGTTATCAGAATATAAAACATGAAAAACCGTTATTGATACTTAAGTACTTTGAATTAAGAAAGCCTAATTTGACTAAAACTTTCTTTAATTTCTTTATATGTTAAACAATGGTAATTATTTGATTTTTTCTTTACATAGCAAATTATATTAAATATATATATATGTATATATATATATATATATATATATACGAGGTGTGTTCAGAAAATAACGGGAATTGTTAAATTTCGCGGGTTCGGAGGGTCCGGTTGTCATAAAAAAAATTTATTATGTTGGTATACATGCCCCCAAAGTATGATAAAAACTTTAGCTGTTTTCATTGTTTACTTTGTCTGTGGCAGCCGCTAAGGTTAGACGTGTTTTATGAGCTCGGCGATTTTTCGTTCGTTAAAAGAAATGGATTAAAGAATTTGTATCCAATTTTCCTTTAAAAACGAAATAAATTCTGTGAAATGTTAACAAAGGCCTATAGTGAGTCTGCTATAAGTAAAACAAGAGTTTACAAGTGGTATAAGAGTTTCCAAGATGGCCGTGAAGACGTTGAAGATGACGAAGGCCCCGAACGCACAAGCACATTAACAACCGATAAAAACAGAAAAAGTGGAAGAAATGGTTATAAACCATCAGAGAAGTCGCTGATGATGTTGGTATATTACGTCGATATGTAGAAACCAACGAAAACGGTGAAATTAGCAAGTCGGTTAAAGTTAACCTCGAAAATAACATACCGTTCATCAAGCTAGAAAATGAATTAAAAACAACAAAAATTGAACTAGAGTGTTTCAAAACCATCATTTCAACATTAAAAACCACAGTGAGTGACAAGGAATTGATAATAAATTTATTACAAAATAATAAACAAACAAATCCAGTTCGAACGGATTTCAGCGTTGCCGATGCAGTCACAAAGTTTCCAAACCAGGGAAACCAGCAAACTGATACAAATCAAACATACAGCAGCGTTGCTAATGCATCTAAAATAGATTCAAATCAGAGAAAACAAAACCAGATAACAAATTCTAGTGGAAATCAAGAAAAACCACAAGAAACAATAAATAATAATAAAAAGAAAGTTGTAGGATCCAACGAGGATAAAAAGGTCTTTAAAAGTGCCCCTAGGAAAGCTTTTATACATTTGGGGCGTGTAGACCTTAATACTACCTCAGATGATATAAAAAATCATGTAGTCTCCACGTTTAAGACAAATGACTTTAAAATTGAACCTTGTCCAGTAAGAGAAGGAGCTAAAAGTATTTCCTTTAAGATTGAGACAGACAGCTCAATTGTAAAGGAACTATACTTAAGCGAAAATTGGCCCAAAGGCGTCCTAATTAATAAATACCGATTTTTTCGTAACCAAACAGAAGCAGCAGCAGAATTTAAATAATGGTATAAATAAAATAAACAAACACAAAAAGGTTATAAAAAACAATTCTTCGAAACTAATAATTCCAAATAAAAACAAAGGTATTAACATTATTAATCTAAATGTACAGTGTTTATTAAGTAAGCTGGATGCATTTAGAAAACAAATTGCGGCTGTAGAAGCTGATATAGTAGCAATAACTGAACATTGGTTACAAAAATCTAACCTGGAAACATTAAAAATACCAAATTATGAAATAGGTACTTACTTTATTAGAGAAAACTATCGCCACGGTGGTGTTTTAATATTGATTAAACCACAAATCAAATACTCAGTAATAAATTTACAACACCTCTCTGAAGAGTTGCATATAGAACTTGCCGCTATACACTGTACCCAAATAAATGCAATATTTATAAGTGTTTATCGATCTCCATTGGGAGATTATAATGTATTTTTAGAAAACATCGAGTATTCTTTAAATTTTATTTCTGAAAAGTTTCCAAAAGCTCGCCTGTTTGTTTTAGGTGATTATAACACAAATTTTATGACAGAATCTACCAATAAAACAAAATTACTGGAGGTCATGGCACTTTTTAACATGCATCCACTTTTCCAAGAACCATCTAGAATAACACATGCATCTTCAACATGTATTGACAATGTTTTCTCAAATGTTGATGTACTAGACATGAAAACAGTAAATCTCCATCTCTCTGATCACATGGCACAACAATTTAAACTAGACGTAGAACAAAACACACTAGAAAAAACCTTTACTAGAAATACAAATGAATTTTCCATTTGCCTCCTAAAATCCATGCTTCAGGATGAAAATTGGGAAAATCTTCAAAACTATAATGCTGCAGAGTCCTTTTCTATATTTCTCAACAGATTTTTAACAATATTTAACCATGCATGTCCTAAAAGAAAAAAGAAAATTATAAACATTGAAAAGAGTTATAATTTAAATAATAACCTAAATAAAAGGAAAAACATACTAGATTCATTAGCAGTCATAGCATCAGTAACAAAAAATCCACTTCATTATCAAGCTTACAGCTCTTATAAAAAAGATTTCTACAAAGAGGTTCAAAATTTCCAGAAATCCCAATATGAAACATATATAGTAAACTCAAACAACCTTCAAAAATCCGTGTGGAAAATTATAAACAAAGAGACTGGAAAAGAACAAAAAAGACAAGTGAAAAGTATCTTAACACCAGATGATCTTGGAAAATATTACAAAAACGTACCTGAAACCATTGTAAACCAAATAGATAGGAATGACCAAAACAACTTTAGAGAGCTGCTATTTAAACTAAATATAAATAACAAAAAATCCTGCTACTTTTATGAAACAACCGTTGATGAGATAATAAAAATAATAAAAATCCTTAAATGCAAAGAAACAGCTGATGTATTTGAAATCTCAACCAAAATAATAAAAAAAGTTGCAGAGGAAATAGCCATTCCAATATGCATTATACTAAATAAATGTATTCACGAGGGACACTTTCCAGAACCACTAAAAAAAGCAAGAATAATTCCTATACCAAAAAAACCAAACATTGACGAAGCAAGTAATTACAGGCCTATTGCCATACTACCAGCTTTTTCAAAAATTTGGGAATATGCAATAAAAACAAGAATTTTGGGTTTTATAGAAAATAATAATATGATGAGTAAAGATCAACACGGGTTTAGATCCGGCCATTCCACTACCACCGCAATTGCTGCTTTACTTAAAAGCATTTCTGAAACATTAGATGAAAAAAATTATACATGTCTTACCTGCTGCGACCTGTCCAAGGCGTTTGATACTATTAGCCACAATATCTTACTAGAAAAGATCCACTACTATGGAATAAGAGGAATACCCCATAATATGATGCAATCATATCTATCAAACAGGACACAAGTAATTGACTGGAATGGCAGACAATCCCAGGAGTTTGATGTAAATCATGGCGTTCCTCAAGGCTCCATATTGGGGCCTTTACTCTTCCTACTATACATTAATGATCTACCTACCAATATTCCAAATGCAAAAACATACCTGTATGCAGACGATACATCTTTTTTGGTAACTGGACCATCACTGGAAAATATTATGAGGAAAAAACTGGATGCACTTCAAGCCATCAAAAAATGGACGGATTCAAATATGCTGTCCCTTAATGAAGGAAAAACACAAGAAATATGTTTTAATGAAAGAAGAGATTCCCAAATAAATTTCCTAGGAATCCAGTTGGACCCCAGGCTGAACTGGTCGGGTCATATTCAAACTCTATGTAAAAGGCTTCCAAGTAAAATATTCTGTATAAAAAGATTAATTAAGATTAGTACCTACCAAGCAACTCGTACTTATTACTTTTCCAAAATAAATTCCATTCTTCAATATGGTATCCTGTTTTGGGGAAATGCTGTTGATGGAAATAGACTTTTTATTCTTCAGAAGCGAGCTGTAAGGGCCATTGCAGAAGTCCCGGATAGAGAGAGTTGTAGACTTTTATTTAAACAACACAGAATATATACAATAACAAACTTGTACATACTTACACTAGTCAAATATGTGCACTCAAACAAGGAGCTCTTTACTCCAAATAATGTGTCCCATGAGCATAACACAAGAGGACAACATAATCTACAAATTCCATATCACCGCATCAGGGCTTCCCAAGGAGTAAACTATTGGGGCTCCAAAGTCTACAATAAACTACCACAAGAGTTTAAATCTCTGTCTGTGTACAGTTTTGACCGTGCCGTTAAACTCTTTTTTATTCAAAATATATTTTACAGTCTTGATGAATATTTCTGTTTTTAAATATGCTTGTCTGCGCTATAAACGTGTACTTTGTACCTATATTTTAATTATTCTCATTGTTTTTATTTGTATATACTTATTTATTACTTATTTAATTGTGTTTATGCTATACTTTAATATTTACTTTATATTTTTACCTACCTACCTACTGACTTTTCATGTAATTTTAATTGCAGTGAATAAACATTTATTATTATTATTATTATCGATTGGCTCATCCCATGAAATTTTTTCGAATGTTTTGGGTATAAAACGCGTGGCAGCAAAATTTGTTCTAAAATTGTTAAATTTTGAACAAAATTTTTGGCCAAAAACAATACTGTAATGATGGCCCAGCCTCCATAT